TACTGTAAACCGTTGACTTGGTCAATGGAAAATGATTATTGTTTTTTATTTATTTAGTTTACTGTAAAACGTTGTGATTTTGTGTTGATGATCCTGAGTATATTAAGTATTTTACACTCATCAAAGAACTTACTCCTTACTGTTTATTTGAAGATTGTATCCTTTGTCTATGTATTCTCTTTCTTATTCGTATAATCGTATTCTTGTCTCGCGTTTTTTTTCTTCTTTCTCATAGATAACAAGAATGAGTACACGGAAGGTTACAGTTAATGATTTTCTGCACGTGCAATTTTGAATTTTTTGTTTTCACTAATTGATATTTTCAGCTATGTAGAAAAAGAAGCCGGTATATTATTATAATTGCTGCAAAGGCTTGTGGATAGGCCGATTTATTGGGCTCAGCAAAAAAACAGTTAATGGGCTCAATTTTTACGGATAATTTATTTGTCCAACAGGTGAAATATTGCGTCATATTTCGTTACCAAAATGTTTATTTACTTTGTTGAAATTTAGGAACAAGCCGTTGTTGTGGTCTTGTGGGTCTCCTAAAATGAAATATGCAAAATGGGTTTTGAGACAGTTTATGATTGCGTCACACTGAGAATCCGAGAAGTGATAAAGTGACTTGCTCTTGTTAGTAATCAAATGAGAAAGTGTATTGTTGTAGGTAATCGTTGACTGGTTCTTGAGCCTCTACGTACGATGTTGTAGGCCGCCTCTTCAACGTTAAGGAACATTGTGTCTAAACCAGAATGTTTGTCTCATTAGTCCTTATATACATTGGCCTGCCTTCTGTTATCTTTATCAGGTTGTGTGTGTGTCTAAACCTAAGTCAACTTTAGCTGTTCTGGATTCTTTTCAAACTGTAAGTTGTATCATATATGGATTGTTAAAGGATGCACATAGTTTAAGCTATACCTGGAAATTTTTTTAAAAAGATTTCAACAAGGCTCATGTACTGTCGTTTATTTCCAAATCAATTCACATGGAGACAGAGGCACAGAGTCACAGACACATATACATAGCGAGAGAGAATAAATGAAAACAGAATCACATTTCAAAGACGTGAAAGCTTTGTAATCGATATGTGAATAAAACAAGAAACAAAAAAAGCCAAAAACATTTAAAGTTGCAGCGATCTGGATTCTAAAGGTAGCGGGATCAAACTCGGAAGATAGGCACAGTGAGAAAACCGAAAGATACTCCCAGAAACTATGGGAAACCTCTTGAACACATCTCTCTTGGCAATGTAGATGCAAGCCGGTCCAGCTTGCCCGTCGCCGCAACACATGATCAGGGTGTTGTCAAAGATATAATGCACAATGCTAGCAAACTTGCTAGGGAACTTTGGAAAGTTGGTTGTGGGGAAAGTCATCAATTTCATCCACGCCACTTCCTCTCTGTCAATCTTCTTACTGGTTACCCAAACCACAAGCTTTCCTGCTGCATCGCATCGAGTTAAAAACGAAAACCGATCTCCCTTGTAAACCGCCAACACAAACTGTCTGCCAGAATAGGTCTTCTCAGAGGGCAGGAGACAAAAGGCTTTGATGAATGTAAGCGTGGAAAAATCAAAGCTTTGGATGAGATACTGACGAGTCTCGCGATCGGAACCAATCCAAAACAAGTTCCCGTTCAAGGACAAAGGGTCCATCCCCATGGTGGGACATAGATTGAAAGGGGAATCAATAAACTTCAACGCCTGAGAAGCACACTCGTAAACCGCAAATTTGTGGTAACCTACCTGAAGACTTTCGCTGAGTCTACGGAAACATCTAGAATACCCCAAGATCATGTAACCCTTTTCGTGTCTAGTACTACTATTATCGTATCCTGCACCGCAAAATTCAAAACGTTTATCCTCGAACTCGATCCATGTAACCTGTCTCAACCACGGATTCCAAACCGCAAGACCTTGCTTCCAAAAGTCGCGAAACAATAACTCATCGCAAGCCGTGATGGTGGTATCTATCAAGTCCATAGCCTGACAAGGAAAATCATAGGGTAGCTCACACACCTCTATCGTTGGATCGACGCCTCCGCCGAGATCGATGTCTATGGAATAGATTTTGGATTCGGTCAGGATGATGAATTGGGGACGGGAGCGAGACAGGTGGTTGTTGAGGAAACTCTTGTCGTTGAAAAGACCGTTCCAATGTTTACATACGGTCCTCAATCGAACAAGAGATCGAGGTGGAAGCCGAGAGAGTATCTCTTCCTCTATATCGCACGGAAGCTTCACTGACGCCATTAGGAATTTTTTGTTTTTCAGTTTCAGCAGCTAAGTTATCTGACAAAATATTGTATAGAGAGGGGCGAAAGTATAATTTGTTTTCTATTAGGAAAAGGAGACAATTTTGTCTCTAGGAAACGGAAACTCAGGTATGGCAGAAGATCACAGCCCAGCCTGTCACAGGCTCAGGCAGATTGGGTTCACCGCTACTCCCGTCACATTGGCATCTCCCTCTTCATTTTTTTTCGCCAGCGTCGACCGACGAGGCGACGGTGTCGATGACGGAGATATCCGTCGTGAAGCTGGCGTTGTGGAGCCATTGAGGAGCACTCGAAGTAGCTGAGACGGAGTTCGGCGAAGTAGGGAAGACGGGGAACAAGGCTGTGGTATACGGTCCTCCCTCCCTCGCCGTACTCCGGTGCGTTCGACATCGCATCGACGGGGAAAAGAAGCCACGTTGTCTGGTTTTAGCCGCTATATAATTTCTCCAAACGCTTATGGATAGGCCGACTTATTGGGCTCAGCGGAAAACAGTTAATGGGCTCAATTTTACGGATAATTTATTTGGTCTCAACATGTGATTATTGCCTCATATTTCGTTTCGTTACTAAAATGTTTTTTTTCCCCTCTTATATAAATTAAATAAAAGATTTTACAAAGTCGTCAGTAAATACAGAGAAAATAATGTTAGGGATAACAATGTTACTAAAATGACCTTTTTACTTTGTTCATGGAGAAATCTAATTCAGATCAGATTGCACTTGTCTCCCTAATATGAAATATGTAAAATGGGCTTTGAAACAGTTTATATCGCGTACAATGAGAACCCGAGAAGTGATAAAGGTGACTTGTGGTAGTCATTGGCTGTTTCTTGAGCCTCTCTACATTTTTTTTTTTATTCCAAATCGAACATACTTGATGAGATCGAACCATATAGAAATAAATTTTAAACCATAATAAGTTAGAAATCAACTTTAAACCGGTACGAATAAAAGATATACAATAGAACACAATCAAGTATACCAAGGAACCAGCACAGCTTCCAAAATGTAACCTACTTTGATCGTAACTTCTAACCATCTATGCATATATCTCCTTCTTTTGGATCAACAATTTTCTTCACTCGTTTACTAATCCTTATAAAGATCAATCTTCATCATGGCATGAGGCTTTGTTCCTCCGAGCCTTTTCTCTTCCCGTAGCTCATTATATCGTTACTTTATCGTTCTTGTGTTCCAAAGAGTACATGGGATGTTGCTCACTATGACTTGTTGATTTGTTTGATTTATGGATTTGTTTGGTCTTTCCATCTTGATGCTGTTTTGATATAATTATTCGTCTCACATTTCTTTTTGCTCTTTTGATTGGTGGATTTGTAGATCGATTCATCACGATTTTAATTTTTCTTTGCAGCTACTCTCTGATAGATTTTCACTGCATCTATAGGCCAGTGGCTCACAGCTAATAAGGTTATTATGATCCTCAACACTTGGCTTTGATTGGCCATCTGCAGGCATGACCCACCAAGAGGCACGATCAGACTCTATCTGTTCAACCAACGTCAATTCTACAACTACATAAATGGGTTTTCAAGACACAAAAATGTTTAACAATTAACATTTACTTTGTTGGAGAAACCAAACTAGTTCAGATCAGATTCAGTTCGTTAGCATGTTTAATTTGTATAGGATAGTAAGCTAAAAAGGATCGCAACATTTTTCATAAATGTTCGAAGATTGCACTATTCAAAAAAACTTCATTTAGTAATTCTGATGAATGATATGGTTGTGTATGTTAAATGAAGGAGGGGGGAGATTATTGGTTATTGTATATGACAGAAGCCAAGCGAAGTTTATGTTGCTAAACTTAATGATTTGGCCAAAGAACTAATTTATCAAAGTTGGATACATATTTTGTAATTGTTTATTCATTACATCTAGAGACTAGTGATTTATTACATCTTTAACGTTTTAACTATGTGATAAAGTCGCATAGGTCATAATCAAAGATGAAAATCATTAACTGCGGAGATAAAGTTCTCCATGCTAATCAATGGTTTCTGGACACAATAAAATTCTTTCTGAGATGGTCAAGACGTGATTCAGATCAGAGGTACATCAAATTTTTCAGAGGTACATATTTTATATAAATATTTTTATTATAAATTTATTATTTTGACCGAGGGTTTTCTCCAAAACCGGTTTGGTGAGCCTCTCGCAGAGGTTACTAGTAGAGAACACTATCTCGAGCCTCTTTTCGACACTTTGAAACGCTATTGCCGATTTTTGTGAAATCCAAATAAAATCTGCTCTAACGTTTTAATGGCAGGATATATAACCGTGCTAGTCAATGATCATATAACAGAGCGGTTGCAGAAAAATCTAATCGATATTGGGCAAGATTTTTGGAAATTTATTAGTTCGGCAAAACAGTCTGATAAGTGAGGTGGTCTCACACGTGCAATTTTGAATTGTTGTTTAATTGTTTTCACTATTTTTTTTTTCTTTCAGTAATTGATAAATTAATTGTGAAATGTTACAATAATTTTTGTTTCAATTATACCGAAGAATTAGTTCTTACGTCAACGTAATATTATGACAATTGTTTTTCCGAATTAGGTAATTATAATATTCTTTGAATAAATTAAATGTTGTAGTAATAATATAGGGACAGTGTAACAAATGGTAGATGTGTTTTTCCCCGGCTTTTCCCACCAAAACTAATTAATGATTTCATGGATCCAAAGCAAAAATCTACATTAATAAAACTAATAAAAAAAAAGAAAAAAAAAAAGAAGCAAAATGGCATTATTTTCGCATTGGTGGCGTTGATAATGGGATGTCCATGGAAGAGGGATCCCCGAATTGCAGAATAAGCTTAAAACACGAAAAGCTGATTTAGATTTTACAGACAAAGAAAAGACTTGAAGTAAAAATGCAAGAAATTGATTGAGTTTGCTCTGCTTTTCATTGGATCTGTAAGTGAATGCTTGCTCGAATTCGAATCCTTGGTTTTGGGATTGAAATTCTATCGGAAAAAATGTTTTTTTTTGTATATCGTTTTTATAATGGTTTAATATTCTTAGGAGATGGAGAATATGCTTTGTTAGGGTTTCGTCTTCAAATTTCTCTTCTTCCGAAGATGTAACTACTCTCTGAGTTGCTAAAAATTGTTTTTATTTTGTTTGTTTGGAGGAATTTGATAGAGTTCGAAATGTTTCAGGTTTTGTGAATTTTTGTTTCTCGGGATTTTTGTGAAAATGGAGGACGCAAGCTCTATCGACTCAATTTTGGAGTTTTTGCGGAGAAATCGTTTCATGAGAGCCGAAGCTGCGTTGATTAGTGAGCTTTCCAATAACAGAAGTTCCAATGGAAATCTTCAAAAGCTCAACTTTGAGAACAACGGCGTGAGCAAGCTGTTGGAGAAGAAGCAAGCAAGCAGTAAACGAGCACTGGGCCTTGAAAACAAAAGTCAAGTTTCTTCTGATGAACTGGTTGTGAAAGAGATACAGTGTGGAGCTGCTGCCAGTGAGAGAAACCATATGACTGATGTCTCTGTTCAGACACAAAATGGCTCTTGTGGTAATGCAGGAGACTTCTGGGAGGAGAGATTCACGTTTTCTGAAGGTTTAGTAGATAACGAGCTAGATTTACCTCCCTGGAACCATACTTCTGCCGACATCGTAGCTGACTCTGAGGTATACAGTATCGATCCAAGTGAAAGAGGCTTTTTGAATCCGCGGAGATCAAAGCAATCGAGCCATGAAAAGGTTCCTGAAACTAGTAGAAGCAAGAAAGTGGTTGTGGAAGACAGCTTCTCTCCTTTCGAGAAGATACGAACCAGAAGCTCTAGCCAGGTATCTGAGTATGATCATGGCAAAGCATGTCGATCCTTGGGAGTTGATAATGAGGTTGACATACCACTGGAAGGGTTTATCACCACGTCATGGCCAAGAAGCGAAGAGACCATTGGTGTTTCATCAGACAATTGGAAGGACTGTTCTGTTACAACTGTTTATCCGTTGTCCAAAGGAAGCACGTCAGCAAGAGATAATGGTGTACCCAAGGTAGACAAAAGGCAAGGAAAGAAAAAGGTTGGCGCGAGTGATTCCAAGGAAGACGATGTGGCAACAGATCTATATCTTGGAGACTCAGAGTCTGGCTATGAACATATGAATCTTCGCAGCTTAGGGTTTTCTCTGGCCCATGATTGTCCGAGGGAAGGCTTACCAAGGCTGCCGCATGTAAAAATCAAGTCAGAGGATAAATCAATGAACTTTAGTTGGGAAGAAAAACATGAGCGGGAGATTTTAGACGAGAAGCTAATTAACCCTGAGAATGGTTTCCTCATAGGCTCTTATCTAGATGTTCCTATGGGTCAAGAAATCAATTCATCAGGTTAGTTGACATGATGATGGTTACTATCCAAAACTTTATGTTCCGTATGAGTAAGTTACAGTACGGTTGGGTAGCTTTTGTGTGCACCTTTGCCTTTCTTTCTAGTAATGTATTTCTTACTTATTTTGTCATATTTACAGAAGATGGAGTCCAAGTTTAATTCCCATTCTGATGGTGTCATAGGTGGCAAAATATCTGGTGGAGGAAACTGGTTGTCTGTGAGTCAGGGACTAGCAGAAGATGCATCTGACTTGATCTTTGGCTTTGGCAATGGACTAGGCGATCTCAATGAACATTCAAATGAGTATTGGGACTCTGATGAATATGACGACGATGATGATGTTGGTTACATTAGGCAACCAATTGAGGATGAGGCATGGTTTTTGGGTCACGAAGTCGACTGTCCTAGCGAAAATGAAAAGGCCACAGAGCACAGAAGTGTTCCTGATACGCAGGATAAAAGTCAAACCAAGAATGATGATGATCATTCATTTGCCGAGGAGGATTCTTATTTCTCCGGTGAACAATATGTGCTAGCAAAAGGCATTGAGCCTGTTACCGCTTCAGATGATCCGATGGGTCTCTCAATGACTGAAACATACAGCAGGACCAATGAACCTGACTTGGTTGCTCGATATGACGGGGAATTAATGGATGCAGCGGAGCTAAATTTGCTGCGTACTGAACCTGTGTGGCAGGGACTTGTCACCCATGAAAATGATATAATATTGTTCAGCAAAGGGAAAGCCGAGGATAACTGTGGTTCGAAGGATATCCGCGCAGAAGAGGATCGAAATGCTGCAGTTAGGTCGATTGGTGTAGGAATAAGCGATGATGTTGATGAAAATGGGAGCATGGTAGCTGATTTTTTTCCTGGAGAAGGTAGTGAATGGGATCTGGAGCTCCTTCCTCATCGCCAAGTTGGAGTTGCTGGTGTCAAGCCTCCACCTGGTAAAGGTGCAAGTATGCAGCTAAAAAGTTTTGCAAATAGTGGTTTCTCATTTCCCTCTCCAGTACCTGATGGACAGATCTCCCATGAAGATTCTACAAACCCTGAGTTGACAAACCATTGCAATGTTGCTGTGAGAAAGGAAAGTTATGGAACAAAGGGGCTAGTTGAGTACGATAGTGTGCTTGTTGCTTCGACAAAAAGACCCAGCGGCTCTTCGTCTGAAAGAAATTTAAGAGATAGGGATGGCGAGAAGGTTGCAAGTTCAAGAAGTTCTTCCCCATCCGAACTCTCACTAAGTTCTTATAATGAGAGAGATCACTGCAAGGAAGAAGATGAGGAAGAAACCAGTCATGGGCTGGAAGAAGATATTGGGACCTCATTTGAGGATGAAGATGCAATCGTGGTCCAAGAGCAAGTAAGACAGATTAAAGCCCAAGAGCAGGATTTTGAGACCTTCAATCTGAAGATCGTTCACAGGAAAAACAGGTTTCTTCTCTTACAATCATCTTGGGTTATTTGTGATTGTGTATCAAATGATGCTTAATAGGCATTTTTTAAAAAAAGGGGGATGCAGCCTATCCTATTCTTATGAACCTTCAGGAAATTTTTTTATTTCTTCTATTTTGATTTTGTTGCCTAGGACTGGTTTTGAGGAGGATAAGAACTTCCATGTGGTTCTGAATTCTGTCATAGCTGGTCGTTACCATGTCACTGAGCATCTAGGATCAGCAGCTTTTAGCAAAGCAATACAAGCACATGACCTCCACACAGGCATTGATGTCTGTGTAAAGATCATAAAGAACAACAAAGACTTTTTTGACCAGAGCCTTGATGAGATAAAACTTCTCAAGTATGTCAATCAGCATGATCCCGCTGACAAGTACCATCTCCTTCGACTGTATGACTACTTCTACTTCCGGGTAAGCAGATGCATGACTATACCTTTATTCTTTTCTGTCATCTTATTAGTTAGTTATAGCGTCTTTAGAAGCAGTTGTCTTTCTACATCTTTTCCTATATTTAGCATTGGTAGATATTCTAGATGAATTTAGATAGTGTGCTGCTTTGGTGCTACGATGTTTCAACTGTTCGTTGATGAGATTCAGTGAAGAATGTGTGACTGCGATTAATTTGGATCTCTATTTTGCAGGAGCATCTATTAATAGTTTGTGAACTTCTCAAGGCAAATTTGTATGAGTTCCAAAAGTTTAATAGGGAATCAGGTGGAGAGGTTTATTTCACAATGCCAAGATTGCAGGTTAGCCAGCATCCTTACTACTTACAAGGTTTATGTATGTTTTTGCTGCTCTCTCACTTCTTCTGAATCCAACACTTGTGCAGTCAATTACTATCCAGTGCTTGGAAGCATTGCACTTTCTACATGGTCTCGGCCTTATACACTGCGACTTAAAACCGGAAAACATACTTATCAAAAGCTACAGCAGATGCGAAATCAAAGTTATTGATCTGGGAAGTAGCTGTTTTGAGACAGATCATCTGTGCTCCTATGTCCAGTCTAGATCCTACCGTGCTCCAGAAGTCATTCTTGGGCTTCCATATGATAAAAAGATAGACATCTGGTCACTTGGCTGCATTTTGGCAGAACTGTGTACCGGCAACGTAAGTTATAGCATTGATGAAACTTGTTAAAACCTTTCTTACAATAATCCACTAAGCTAGCTAGGATTGTGTCTGTGTTTTCAGGTTCTTTTCCAAAATGATTCTCCGGCTACTTTGCTTGCAAGGGTCATCGGTATAATCGGATCCATTGACCAAGAAATGCTTGCCAAAGGACCTGATACATGCAAGTACTTCACCAAAAATCATTTGTTATACGAGAGGAACCAGGTGCGTATTGAAAGTTCTAAAAAAGAAACTTACTATAGTGCAGCTCCTTGCTATTACTGGATATAATGGTTGTACAATTGGATTTTGAAATGGTATAATTGGTTTGTGTTCCAAAAATTTCAGGAGAGTAACAATTTGGAATACCTGATACCTAAAAAGTCGTCGCTAAGGCGTAGACTGCCAATGGGTGACCAAGGCTTCATAGACTTTGTGGCACACTTGCTCCAAGTTGATCCAAAGAAACGCCCTTCTGCATCTGAAGCTCTTAAGCACCCATGGTTGACTTATCCCTACGAACCCATATCTCCCTGATTCTGACAAAAGAGGAAGAATCGGTCTGTGCGATAATTTGACATCTTCATGATCAAAGTCCAGAATGGATGAGAGCTAGTCAAGGAAGAAGATGATGGTTTGTTTGCTTCCCTTTGTTTTTGTTGAAACTCTTGTGAAAGGGAAATCTTTCAGACCTTGTTGTATATTACTTTTTCTGTGTGACTATTTGCTCATTTGGTCTTAGCATTTTGCTTCATTTTGTAGTTTGTGAAATATATAGTCCCTTCTTCAAGTTTTGATTTTTTTTTGCCAAATGCTTTGGGTTACATGATTGTATACGGTGGTATTTGTATAAGCAGTGCGTGTGTCTTTGGAATTTGCCATTGTTTCTGCAGCTGATTTATATGCTACCACGCTACTAAGGTTTAGCTTGTATATAAATGAGTCTATAAGAAACAAATTTTATGTATTGGTTTCAGTGAACAAGTACTCTTGATCAAGACAAAAAGAGTAAAGAAATCACTCGTGTGGTTTATATGATTAGCATCAATATAAATAGGTAAAGTAATGCCAAGTGAAACAAAACAACAGAAGTTTGCCGAATGGTCTTAATTTAAAACCTTATTGTACCAAGAACGTGACTAGTCCAAAGAAGACAAAATATTTCTCTTAACAGACAATATTTCTCTTGTGTTCCACAAGGCGTTTCCAATACTTGGTGATATCCTCCAAGGACATCTTTGCAGTCTTCACTTCATCGCCACTAACCGTCGCAGCCGCGGCTATATGAGCGATCCGGCTAGGAAGCCCCTCGATCTCTTTGAGCACCTGAATGATATGTGTGATGAGTCTGTCCGCAAGGCCTCGGCTAAAGTCTTCTCTGATCACAACTCTGAGTACAGCAATGTGCTGTGCATCCGCAGGCATAGTGTAAGCCGGTATGATCCACCCGAATTTCCTCAGAGACTCTGCTATCTCAAACACAGTGTGTTTGCTACTGTCTTTCAGTGAGAACGCCACTAGTGGCACTCCGATATCTTTAGACAGAATGTGGAACTTCCCTGTCATCTCTATTCCTTCTCTTAGCCTCCTCGCGTTGTCCATGCAGTTTTCCATTATGTTCTTGTATCCCTTTTTCAAATTACCACAAAAAGATCATCATTTAGATGTAAGATGAAACTGTAAAGAAGATGAATATATATAAGGGAACAAACAAGTACCTCAAAGCCTAGTCGGATAAACTGATAGTACTGAGCAATGATTTGGCTCGACCCTGCAAGCAATTAAACAAAGAGTGTTTCATAAAGAAACAGTCATGATTGGATAAGCCAGTGTTGGGTTATACAAAACCTTTAGAGAAGTTAAGAGTGAAAGTGGGTTGATCAGCTCCTAAGTAGTTGATGTGAAAGACGAGCTCCTCTGGCAAATCATCGTTGGTTCTCCAGACAATCCAACCAACTCCTGCATACACAAGTCCATACTTGTGACCACTGACGTTGATGCTCTTCACCCATGGAAGCCTAAAGTCCCATTCGAGATCAGGGTAGAGGAAAGGAGCGATGAACCCTCCACTGGCTGCATCAACGTGGATAGGAGTTTCCCAACCAGTCTCTGCGTTTTTATCAGCCAAGAGATCGTTCAATAGCTTCACATCCTCAAACTCTCCTGTAAGTGTGGATCCTAGAATCGCTGCAACGCAGATTGTGTTCTCATCCACCATCTCTACAGCTTTAGCTGGATCCATCACGTAATAGTCTTCACTTAGCTTCACCTCTTTGAGCTCTACCTCAAAGTACCTTGCAAATTTCTCCCAGCACACCTGCTCTCCACATGAGATGACATATACCACAATGTTAAAAAATCTGCAAAATGTCCAAAGCAAATGTGATGGCTTGAGGATGAGAATCAAGTTTATGTTATAGACCTGAACATTGGCTCCAGTAACAATGTTAGGCTTATCAGTAGATAGTCCCTGAGCTCTTCTCCTCTGTTGCCATTTCCTTTTGAAAGCTAAACCAGCAAGCATTATAGCCTCTGATGAACCAACAGTTCCACACCCAATAGCAGCCTCGTCTTCTCCAACGGGTGCATGGAACAAGTTAGCTATCATATTTACACACCGGTTCTGAAAGAGAAATAAACATGTGTTTACACTTTGGCTACAAAATATTGAATGGAGAAACAAATGGGAGGGAGAGACGACAGAAAGAAAGAGGAACCTGGAGCTCGGTAGTGACAGGATATTCATCCATGTCAACATAGTTCTTATTAACAGAATCCATGATGAGTTTGTCACACTCAGGTTCCATCCAAGTGGTGACAAAGGAAGCTAGGTTAAGCCTTGGGTTGCCATCAAGCATCAACTCATCATTGATCACTTGATAAGCAGCGTCTTTGGGCATGGAATTGTCTGGCATCTTGAACCTGTTTCAAGATACGCAAGACAAATACATAACGTTACATTGTAACATAATATAAAGAAAATAAGAGAAAACACTAAAATGAGGAGAGAATGCAGAGAGAAAGGACAGTGAGGGAAACCTGGGAACAACAGCACGGACATATCTGGAAGCAAAAGTGGAATGCAAATGCTCTTCAGAATCAGAGTTTGTAGCGAGTACCATTGTTTCAGAGCTGTGCTGAAATTGTTGAACAGAAATGGAAAATAGATATCAGAAGTTTTTTTTTTCTTTTGATAGATATAAAGAAAGTGAGAAAGCAAAACTCTCTAAACTAATTTAAGACATTTATGTAACTAACTCCCTCTCTTTTTTTTCCGCTTGACTCTCTCTTCCCTTTGAATTGGGCGTTGGTACACCAATTTGAATGTATTCAACGATATTATATATTGTAAGAGAGAACAACATCACAATAATAAACAGGAACGCACACAAAAATGGACCAATCTATTTCTTCTTCCTAAGATTACAGATCAGATTCTGTTTCTCCTCTAAATAATTCCCAATACAATCTGAATATTAAGCTTACGGTCGAATATGATGATGCTAGTGGAGGTAATAGAATTGATCTTGTGAAAACGTGAAGGTATATAGTTGTATAACCTTGTAAAGCCTGAAGAGGTTTTAAGAGCGCTTGCTAGTTGCTACTTCCTTTAAAATCTTTGCGTTTTTTAAAGACGAACTCAGACTTAGGGAAATTACACATTACATATGTTGCGGAAGAGATAAACATGAGAGACTATGAAGATATACATGAGAGAAGATATATTTATACAAACTATTAGTTAGAGCTATAATTACGGGATAAGTTCATATCCTAATAAAGATCCTCTGTGGAGAGTTCCTGGCATACAAACAGACCTTATAGGTACAAAAGTCCACAAGTAGAGGAGAAGAGAGGAGGCCTTGATATGGAGTTCAGTAACGATAGATTCCGCCAATGAAGGTACGGAAGTTGCAGATATTCTACAATACTTCCTGTCCCAAGCTCCAGCTCTCTGCTACACCTACTTAAGAGGATAATCCTAATCTTCTTCTCTTTGTAAAAAACAATCCTAATTTTCTTATGAAAAACTGTTGATAAAAAGGATAAAATTGGTGGATTATTTGATGAACAGCTGCTGTCAGTTTTAGATTTAATTCAAATCGTCTGAATATTTTGAAAATAAAGTTTCAGAAAAAAAAACAGAGGAACTATGCATTTATAAGCAGAAGAAGAAGAAAAGAAAAAGAGCATTTTTTTAAAAAAGAGTCGTTCAAAGTATCCAATACCACTAAAGAATGGTACCAATAGTCTCTCCCCGGAAGTTATAAACTCTCACAGTATTACGCACCACCAAAAAAAGAATTGCATAAACGGAGAGCCCTCACAGAGTCTGAAAATCTTCAACATACATACACCCAAGCCAATAGTTGCCACAAAGAGCCTCTCTCACCAAAATCCCAAATTCTTATATTTCCCGAGAAACAAAAGAAGAAGAAGCTACTCTCCGTGGTGGGATCTCATCATGATGAACCTTCACACTGCTCCTTCACGGCTCTTGCTGCTGCACTGTACCATCCCGCTGCAGCCATTGCACCTGGGTCTGGAACTGTTGCCAGAATCTCTGCAGATACATAGCTTGATCTCCCAGCCTGTGTTCCACAACCACAACAATCTCTCATCCGTCAAATCAAAGATGATAAGCATATACAGCATAGCAAAAGCAGACCGAACTGGCTCTTACCTGTGCTTGCATCTGTATGGTTGATTCCGCTCCTGTAGTTGCTGCTTCTGCTGACAGAATAAAAGCAGATATCGGGTCCTCTCCGGCGCTTAGCTTCTGCTCTTATCAAAAGCAAAAACTCATTAGTACTTGCAATATCTCTATCTCTACAGTGTAAAGCAAGTAAGCCGCTCTTTGTCACCTCCTCAAGAACTTGGGAAGCTGGGATGAGTGCATCTAGCATCGTTCTGTATCCCGCACTAGCTCCACCATATTTGCTGACAGAAGCTATTGATGACTTGAATGCTTCAGACCCTGACCATTCAAGAGAAGGCTGAGTCAAAGCAAGTATGTCACCATTTACATACTCAACCACATTCACGAAGCATTATCTCACAGTGTTTGGGAGTGACTTCTGACTGAGCATTAGCTTTTAGCTCCGCGTATGCTGCCTTGCAGAGGAGATTGTAGCTGTTTTCACAAGAGAAAGCAAAATGTCTTTTATCAATGAAAGCCAAAAGCATAAACCAGGCTATATATATATGGAAGAAAAGTTTGTAAATACATTATTCCGCTTGTGCCCCCCATGGCTCTTCTGATTGATCCACCAATCTCGTTCACGGTTTCCGCAGCATCATTCAGTGGATAACTGGAAACAAATAAGAGACACGAAAATTTGTCAAGAGTCTAAATGAAGAACTCAACATAAAGAGCAAGACAAGAGAGGTATATGAGGGAGTTAAAGTAACAAATAGACTCACTAGTGTTTCATGTCCTCCAGAATAGCTGTTGCACCTCTGTACATCTACACAATTAACGCAGGCCAAAGTAAGGTATATGAAATCCGCATTTTGAATGCATGTTCTAAAAACAAGACTTACTGTTGAACCACAATCACCATCGCCTACTTTTCCATCCCAGTCGTTCAAACTATCCTTTAGACTGATGATCACAGTTGCTGCTGCTTGAATAGCTGCCTCAAGAATTCGACCCTGTTGACTCAGCTCTTGAGGCCGGCTTTGAGACTGGTATTGTCAGGTTGTCATGAAATTTACCAAAAACATCTATCACCAAACCTTGAAACCCTTCTAAACAACCAAAATATATTAAATTTTGCAATGCATACCTCAGCACTTTTTGTTGATCGAGAAGGAGGTATAGGGACAGGAATCTTTGCAGGTGGCCGGTTGCCTGCAATGGAGCACAAAGATTTTGTAACTACGGATAGGTTCCAAAGAAAAGTCACGGAAACAAAAATCAGGTAAAAACATCTCACGGACCATCAGTGCCAACAGGCCAATTCGGAGCCTTAGTTGGAGCATCTAATCGGTCCAGGATTGAGTGGTCAGCCTTCATGATTGAAATCGAGAATCCTGAAAAAGGCATCGCTCAGCATAACAACAGGAGTATGTAACAATTGACTAAATCCAGGAGACAACTGAAATTCACCTGCCATATCGAGGGAAGTCATAAAAAATCCTGTATACACCCTATCAACAGCAAGTCCAAATTCCAGCTGCAATTTAGGGACAGCTTTCCCAGCAGCAATCATAAGTTCCATTAAAGGGGTGCCTCCTAAGCTGCAAAGATTGAAAAGGAAAAAAACCTAAGCTCTCATATACAACTCTTCGAGCCAAAACTCTATATCACAAAAGAAGTGGAGCTCAGACGATGGGAGCCAAACACGGAAATACATTTAAATAGGAATGGGCTTACCCGTTAACCATGAGAACCACTCTGTTACCGCGTGTAATTGGAACATAATTGGTCTCCTGCAGAAATGGAAGAACAGTTGGAAATGATGCATAAGTTGATAGACCGCATGTATAGAGGATTTTTACTCCTAGATGGTAAGCTAATAACTATGGAGACAAGAAAGTACAATAAAGACAACAAAAATTAAGCACATACAGGACTAAGTATCTGCTGAAGAACATGTGAAACCACCACATCCACAGGTTGAACGTCAACCACAGCAGCACCAGGTTCTCCATGCTGAGAGAACAAAAATCAGTAAGAAGTCAAGGTACGAACAAAACACTGAAGAAAAATGGATTTCATGCAAACTTTGTAAAAAGAGGGAGGAGAAAACAACATACAATTCCAAGTCCGAGTTCCATCTTCTCTGGGCCCAGACGATCTGATGTAACCTGCCCAGGAAGCGTACAAACAGATAATGCAACACCCATGGTACCAACCATCTCCGACGCACATTTTGCCTCAGCCGCAACTTTTTCTAGAGAAAGACCAGCAGCTGCTGCTGCGCCAGCAACCTATCCGTAACCAAGCAGAAACAAATTAAAAAACTGATGCTTGAAGCTTTCTGCTCAGAACTTCTTAGTGATTATAAGCTTGTTCAAACTAAGCTAAGCTAAACTATACAAATCACAATGCCCATAGCAGGCCAAGGTCTCATTTGAGAAGATATAGTAACAGAAATGAAATCAAAGGACAGGAGTACTAAACACACTAGTTTAGATTGCTGTTAGAGAGAACCTTATGGACAAGAACTGTTCCTGCTAATCCCCTGCGTCCAGCAATACCACGCGGTGGGGGTAAAGCGCAATCCTCTCCAACAATCACAGTCTACAAAGGAGATCATGTCATTCTGCCCTGCAAGAGCCATTTACTGTGAAAAAGAAAAGTAATAACGAGCAGTACCTCTACTTTGTAACCTTCAGATTTTGCTTGCTCAGCAGCCAAACCAAAGTTCAAGCGATCACCCGTGTAGTTCTGTAAATATAATTGATAAAGAAACTAGATTAAGCTCAACCATAAAGACAAGAATCTACAGTTTCGCGCATATATTGAATGTACGCAGCTCTCTTTCCCACTCTGATTACCTTGACGATCAAAAGACATCCCTGAGAACCAGTTACAGCCCGAATTCCCTGGAATTGGGAAAGAAATCATCACTTACTCTAAAGACGCAGCAGAAAAGAGAGACAGAAAACACTTGGAAGACTTACAGCGAGGATGGAATCAACTGGTGGCGAGGCAAAGACATCTCCGCAGATAGCCGCCGTTAGCATTCCTTCTCCAACGTACCCAGCATGTGCTGGCTCATGCCCACTGCCTCCACCTTCATAAATCACAACCCATTGCTTAAGAGAGTTTCAAAACACTAAACCACAGAAATATTAAGCCACAAAACTCCCACCTGATATAACGGCGACCTTGTCATATGTTTCAGCCGTGACATCAGCTCGTAGTACCACCTTAACCTCAGGAAAGCCATCCAAATACTGGAGTCCAGGATAAGTTTCCACAAGACCTTCGATGAACTCAGTCACAACATCTGCAAAACGAAACCAGTATGCATTTAATTCTCTAACTGTGAAATTCCCAAGACGCTAGTTCTACTTTCAAGAAGTTTTTAATTGCAATTTCATATGGAAATTATACCCTAAACCATGGAAATCATGATCGATTCGTCATCGTGTTTGACCATGCAACGAAACACACAGTGACGAAGCAGCATTTCGAGGATCGCGAACAAAAATTGTGGGGAAAGAGACGGAAAATAGACCAGGACGAATTTCATAAGCAAGAAACATGCAATGCAAAGATTTTCGCAAACAGTAACACAATCGGAAATATAAACATAGGTCAACAGTTCCCGAGAGCATTCACAATTCTCATCGATATAATCTAGGCCGTGAAAAAGAAACAATACCACCGAGAAGAACAGAGAGCTCACGATGCGATAAACAGAGAGATGCAAGAGAACAGAAAAAAGGAGAACGAAGACGAATAGCACGAACCGTTTGGGTTGTTGATGAATTTCTTGGCCGCGTAAACCATATTGCGAGTATGAGGCAATCAAAACCTGAGAATCGGAGAAGCTCGCGTGTAAGGGGAGAGGATTGAAGCTGAAGGTTTAAAGCAATCCAGAAAGGAGAAGAAATGGGGAGTCAACAACAGCAACGCGAGAGAGAAGAAGAAGCAAGAAGAATGAAGAAAGAAGCGAGAGAGAGGAGTTTGTTCCGTACGAGAAAACCCAAAGTTAAATAAATGGCAGTTGCAGACGTAGAATGGGCCGGCCCAATCTTCATCTGGATAAGATATTTTATGACGACTTTAAATTTCTATATTCGCATAGATTAATTACCAAATAAGAATGTAAATGGTGACTACACGTGATACGATACGTTTTCGTGTGCCGCGCGCGCGCCTGTGCCGTGTCGCTGCGTGTTTGTATTTCACATAGAAAACATATTTATTTTTTTTATTCTTTGTTTAATTGGAAAAACAATGTATTGGTTCTTTTTTATATTAGAAAATTTCGAATTTTTGTTTTTACAATAATTGTATTCAGATGAATCGTCTAATTTTGTGTTATTTGATTTCTAAAATCTATTTTGTTCAAAGTTTTTTGAAGTCAACTTCGCATTGGTTTCATTTCTTAATTTGATTTAGTTTCCGATATTTCCATGGATACTTTCACAAAATAACAACAACAAAAATAAAGATATTCTATGGATTCGCTTTTCTATAATAATCAAGGCCTATCCACTTCTTTTCCAATAGCAATCAAACCTTATCCAAAACTAACCTTCCATGACGATTTTTTATTTATTTTTTAACCACTTTCCATGTGGATCCAATTCTTGGTGATTTTCTATTAAATACCACTTTCTGGTAGTTGTAATTTGTAAACGAGGATTCCTTTTAAAATTTCTGCATATTTTGCATTAGTTTTTTTCTTTTCTGTTCTTTTCTTTTCTTGTTTGCTCTTTTAATATTGTAACAAAATTTTAATTTCCTAGTCTATCGTAACATTTTCCTAACTTTGTTCTGCATATTTCGTATTCAACTACATCCATTCCCAGATAAATTATTAAGAAAATAAGATAACCTTACAGGTCACTAACAAAACCATAACTTATGCATAAAACATAGATTATAATACCCAGGAGTGCATGGGACATCTCTATGCCTGGTCACGTAAAAGAAGAAGAAGATGATGGTTACCTGATTTGCCTTGAAGACCTTGTTGGAACTGGAAGTTATGACCCTTACGTTAAGTTACGATATTGCAATCAAAACTTTCACCGTAACTATATATTGCTATGTCGTGTGGCTATGGCATAGTTTGGTTTGTCCTATATGTCATGGTTTTAATTTCCTAGTGGTATTGGTAGAATCTTGCTTTTGCATAAAGTCCACCTTTTTAGACATATGGACCTGGTGTGAGAAAGATGGGAAGACAAACGAATTAAAAATTAACAAGTAAAGAAAATCGAGAAAGTGAATCATCTCTTTCCGGTCACGAGGTGGACATTCAAATTGTGGAATGTGCCTAAGCAACTGGAAAGAAGAAAGGCAAACCGGAAATAGTAACAAAATCAAACCGAACTGTGTAACCAATTTGAACCGGAAATTATCATGTGGGTCAATGAAACCGATAAATGTGGACGGAGGACTACTGGGCCGTTAAAAAGGCCCATAAATTAAACTATCAAGAAAAAAAAGAAAAGTCAACACCGGCCGGCACACGCACACGGCGTGGATACGTGTCCGACGCACGCAGAATCCAGATCTTAATTATTCTTCCAACCAACTTCACACGGGAGAAGAGGATCGAAAGAGAGAACTAGGAGAAAAATGGCATTGCAATGGCTGATTCTGTCGTATGTGGTGGCCGCAGAGGTTGCCATCGCCGTCATATTGACACTCCCTTACCCAATGCTCCTGAAGAAACGCATCGTGTCACTTGTCTCGCTCATACTCAAGCCTGCCGCTTCCATCGTCGCCTTCGCTGGATTTCAACTCCTCGGTAATCGCCTCTCTCTCGTAGATCGTCTAATTTCTCATTCTGTTATTGCTCAGAATCGATACGCTCTTTAGTTACTTAGGGTCGGTACTGATGTTGGTGCTTTTGTTCAGTTTGGTATTTACTCATGTGAATCGTTTGGCTCATGCGTGTCTTTCAGATATTTACTGGAAGAATGAGCATAGACTAATGTGCTCATCTGAGGTCTGCACTGCTACAGAGCGGGATCGCTACGAGAAATCCGTAAGTATCATCTATACAACATTCAACGTATGATCGTTTCCTCGTCCTTTGATGCTAGAATTAAAGCTTATTTTAAGTTCGTACTTGATCATATCTATCTTCTTTGATGAAGGCTGTAGTAATGTAAAATCATCCGATGATCGTGTGTAATTGCTTTAACGTAGTTGAATCTATATCGATGTCTCAGTTGCATATATTGTCATAGACTCGCAGGGTTAGTAGTAGTTAGTAGTACCAGTAGACAGTGGTTAGTATTAGTCTCTTCTAAGCTCGCTTCTACAGCATATCGTAGCTGCGGTTAAGATGCTACAAAAAGTGTTGCAAGGAATCCTATTTTAGTGGAACCATCGATATCGTCCTTTCTTCGGTAGATTTGTCAGAATGGAACTGGCGTGATATTCGTGTTGTACCCTGTTCTTGTGAGTATCTTCTTCGGTTGCACGGTGTAATAGTCGAACTTCCTATCTGTTATTGACTACACATATTTTTGGCTTCTGTTCACCTGCCCTCAAATGCCTGAGCTCAGCTTACTTACAAGCTTGCTTGTGTTGTCAGATCTACAAGGCTCAGCGGAATGTGGTTCTGTGTGCGGCTGGGATCCTTCTCTACTGGTAACATCATCAACTATCCACACATCTCGTCACACTTGAAACTTATGTAATTGACTGATATTCTCTCATATTCACTGGCAGGTGCATTTTCCGCATCTGCAAGTACAACAAAGACCTTGAGCATTTGGAGGAATTAGAGAAGAAACACAAGGCAGAGTAGTAATCTCCTCGAGTCTCTTGAGTGTGGTTCTTCTGCTTTAATACCACCTCGGCTTGTGAGTACTGAGTAGTCCAAAAACTGAACGAGACCATGATTTTTTCCTCGATATATCTTTGCACAGACCTTAATTTGTGTTTATTACTCTTGCGACCTTGATTTACTTTTCTAGGAACAACAACAGGCTCTATTTATTTCATGGCCCGGAATTCTCATTTACAGATTAGTTGTTACCAAAAACCCACTCCTCACAAAATCTGTGGATTGAGTTGGGACAACCCTGCAATAGCCGACCCGGGCTGGATTTTCTAGGCTTTGGTGGTCCGGTACGGTTTTGTAGACCAATCTCCCCGGTTCACGACTTGTCAAATCTTTCACTAGTTTTTACATATCTGGCACCTAACTGCATACTGGTCTTGCTTGAATCGGACTAAGCCAGTCTGGAACACTAAATTTAGACCGGTCTAAAGGGCTGGACCATAACACTCTCTTGTTCTGTAACCACAAGTACAACACATGTTGACATGATCCCCCGAAACAAGCAATATAAGAACCAAAATCGCAAGAAATCGAGATCGAGGACCAACAAGGAACCAGCCAATTATTGACTCCATCGAAACAACCGTCACCGAATCATTGGGCCTTCGATCCCTACGACGGTATGACCCGACCCCTTTTATTATTTTAACCGGACTAATAAATACTACTAGATTTAACAAAATAATTAAATAAATGAAGTGGAAAGTGTACAGTGACAATAAACTGTCACGCTACGTGTCGGCATATGAGAGGGTTATAGCTGCATTGTCCGCTGTTAGAACTTGTCTGAAAGTGGAGTATGTGGTCCAATAGCAATACAAACCTCGTGACACAATAATCTTAACAAATAAAACCCAATCATGATTGAACACATAATGTTTCCCCTAATTTGCTCTTTATATACAGTAATAGATAAACTAATCATATAGAATAATCAAAATCTTCTTAAAGGAACCCAATTACTTGGCAATTAGGAACCGAGCCAAAAATTGCCGCAAGGCACTGAGCCAATTTTGAATTATCTTTCATATCGCTATATAATTCTTTTTGTTATTTTGACCGAAAGCTGAAAACCACAACTTTGTTTAATTTTTACTAAAAACTCAGAACCTAAACTTAGGGTTTTGTAGATACGTTTTTTTTTAGAATTTGGATTTTTCCACAAACAAAACCAAATCTCTGAGATTCAGAACAAAAGGTGGGGAGGTGGCTGTCAGAATTTGAGAAGAGAAGAAAAATAAAGATGCGGCTAATGGTTGGAATATCCTTCAGCATCTCTAACCGCACCTTTTATTTCTTTTTCTTTTATTTTACCTTTAATTTTTTTCAGTTTAAAATGCATCTTCTTCTTCTCCCTCCTTCCTCATCGTATCCTTCACCATTCTCTTTTCTCTTCTTTCGCTTTAAATAACTCCTTCTCTCTGTTTCTCCGTTTGTATGTAGAAAGAGAGAGAGATATTCAAGTCGAGTTTACAGATTTTGTTCCTCCGACTCATATACAAGCCTTAGATTTCGAGTTTCGATTTTCTCAGATATTGTTTGACGCCGTGAGATATTATGGATTCTCGTCGATCGTTAATGTCCGCCACAACGGCAAGCCTCTGTTTTCTATGGTGTATCTGCGCCACCGTCGTTGTATCAAACGGTGAGCTTCAGAGATTTATCGAGCCGGCGAAGAGCGACGGCTCCGTTAGTTTTATAACGATCGGAGATTGGGGTCGCCGTGGCTTCTTCAATCAGTCTATCGTCGCCTATCAGGTTTGGGCCCCAATCATTTTTTGGAATATTCTAATAATATGCCACAACTGAAAATTCTTGTTCCTTCTGTCTCTTTCGTACATAAGTTAATTTTTAAGACACATTAAATTAATGAATTTTTAACCATTTACAGATGGGGAGAATTGGAGAGAAGATTAATTTAGATTTCGTGGTGTCTACGGGAGATAACTTCTACGACAATGGATTGTTTAGTGAAAACGATCCAAATTTCGAAGAATCTTTCTCTAATATCTACACAGCTCCAAGTCTCCAGAAACAGTGGTACAGTGGTAAAAAATCCGATCTTTTGCTCATTTTTGATGATTTTTTTTTTGTGTGTTTTTCAAATTATTAAAGGTTGATAACCGAATGATGCAGTTTTGGGGAACCATGACTATAGAGGAGACGCGGAGGCTCAGCTCAGCCCTGTTCTCCGGGAAATCGACAGCCGTTGGACCTGTCTCCGATCATTCATCGTCGACGCTGAGTTAGTCGAGATCTTCTTCGTCGACACGACTCCTTTCGTGAAGGAATACTACACAGAAGCAGATGGTCACACATACGACTGGCGCGCGATCCCATCTCGCAACTCTTATGTCAGGTCTCTCCTCCGTGACCTCGAAGCTTCTTTGAAGAGGTCCAAAGCAACATGGAAGATTGTGGTCGGCCATCACGCGATGAGAAGCATCGGACACCATGGAGACACTAAAGAGCTCGTCGAGGAGCTTCTTCCGATTATGAAAGAGACCGGTGTCGATCTCTACATGAACGGACACGACCACTGTCTTGAACATATCAGTGACGAAGACAGCCCGATTCAGTTTCTAACGAGTGGTGCTGGCTCCAAGGCTTGGAGAGGAGATGTCGACCCGATGACCAACGATCCCAAGTCTGTGAGGTTCTTTTACGATGGTCAAGGATTCATGTCTGCTCGATTCACTCACTCGGATGCAGAGATCGTCTTCTACGATGTCTTTGGCGAGGTTCTGCACAAATGGGTTACTTCTAAACAGCTTCTTCATTCCTCTGTTTGATCGAAAGCCTAATAAAATAAGTTTCCTTTGTAATTTTGTAACATACATTTTAAGATTTTTAAGTCCTATTGCAGGCTAGGTAGGCTTCCTGCTTAGTTTAGCATCCCTATGATCTGTAGCTATAGCCTATAGCTTATCCCATTCGAAATATCGATATAAATGTACGAATCTTTTTGCCTCGGATTTTTGACACAAACTGTCATGATTCCCTTAAAAGGGTATCTTCTTTACATAAGTTAGTCAATTGCATTACAGACCCTTGTTTTATTTAGTTCAGCACAAAGTGGTACCTTGCATCTACATGGCTCTCAACGTCCCAAAGGAACGAGCCGAAAGTGACAGCCTCCAAGACGAGCCTCTTCATTCCACCAAAGCTGATCTTTATCTGCTCGTCTTTAGATGAATCAACAGTGCCTTCCGGTGTAATTACAATCTCAGGCTTACCAAACAATGCCTCCGTGTGCTTCTCGATGATCCCAACCGCTTCTCTTGATCGTATGGTGGCGTATCTCTGAAGCGTCTCGCTATCAAACGACATCACGTATGTCCTTAACCGGGACGGTTTGATCTCGCTGCCAAAGCCCTTAGCACTAACTCCGCCAGCAAATGAACCGACCTCTGGGTGAGACGATACAGCCTGATATGTCATGTCTTCTGGTTGTGGCTGCTCAACGCTGGTTTTACCTTTTTCATCCGACCCACCTGGAAGAATCTTCATTGTCTTCTCAAGCTGAAACCTTTGGTCCACCCGCTTCAAAAAGTATCCATACATCACAGAAGCAGCATAGACTTGTCCAACTCTGAGTTTGCTGATCTGTGCAACAGATGTCAGGTCACCCATTCTGCTTCCGAGGATTAGGGCCAGATGGTTGTGAATCATCTCATACATCTCCGGCGAGTGAAGCCGCTCAAGCTTCTCCACTTTGGTCGGCCAAGTATCAACCCGACCAGACGGGTCTGAAGATGGGCTTACTGATGGTACAAGTGATACGTTAGCTTCCATGAACTTTTGAACCACCAATGCATACAAAATCTCTTCCAAAGTCCTTCGCCTCTCATTTTCCTTCAACTCCGCGATTCTCCTGCACGCCAGAAACAAAACAATTCTCACTCAAAATCGAACTCATATTCAAATTCCAATCTTTTTTGTGTATCTTCGAAAAAGTCTCCAATGTAAACATATACAAACTAGTGGACCAACAAAACTGTCAATTGTCAAAACAGACACTAACACAACTAATCAGATTGTTTTTATGGTATCATTTATCCAACACAGACAATAAAAGCTCACATCACGTTCCTTTCACTTGTTAGTTACATGCAGAGTGTTCAAGAGATTGTAGCAAACCTGTAGAGAACGATGTCGGTTCCAGGTGCAGGCGATGCATCCTTGTTCTGTCCCTCGGAGTCCCGATCAGTCTGTAGCTGCTCAAGCTGCTGATCAACAGCTGCAGGCACAAGATGAGGATGGCTCACCAAAATCTGAGACAGAAACTGACCAGCAGGCGACTCTAGCTGAAGCGGCGCGATCGGTTTGGATGACGAACCAGAGGAGGCATCATCAGACGCTGAAGCTCTAACCACAAAACTTCTCCGAGTTTTAGCAGCCGTCGTTGAGCTTTGCAACGGTCTCGAGAGTCTAGCGAACGCGTTTTGCTGCGAGCAGATGAAAACGAATTAAAACGACAACTTAAAAGCGAATTTCCAGATATCTCCAGCACAAGAGTGAAAATTTCCCAACTTTTTGGCCGATTACGAGGAACTTCCAGGTCAAAATCAAATTGATCACTACCAAAGCAGAATACTTGAGGGAAAAAATTGATTTTGATCATAAAATAAGGTTAATCAAATCAAGAGCTGTAGATTCAGGACATACCCTTAAACGAAGTTGAAGTCCCGAACCAGAACGCGTGAACCCAGGGCCACTGGCCGTAAGGAACATAGATCCAGCACCGTTGTCGGAAGTTTTATGCGGTAAGACGGGAGATCTAATCAAACTCGCGGTCGCGGCGTCCATGATAACCCTCGAAGAATAGAAAGATGAACTTTTGGTCGGAGAAAGGAGATAAGAAGAAACTCTAGAAGAGCAGAGCGATACAGAGAGAGAAATTTCAAGAATGGCAAGCGATCTATATTTTTACTGGAATTAGACTTTTGGTTTGGTTATTTGACAATAATGCCAGTAGGAGGATCTGGTTATTTATAAAAATGACTCACGGGGAATTATATTATTTCTCTTAAATTTTTGTGACCATGAAAATTATACGAGGCCTTGGTCAATTTTTGTCATTCAATTTTTGTGACCATGACGATTTTTGTAACACAGATATTTCTAAATCGAATTATTCTTTGTGTAACGTCTCATGTGTTTCAAATATATTATGAACCACAAATGTTCTAATATGAAATCAACACTCAAGAGATTGTAAGAAAATCACAGGGTGATTTCATGTAGTACTTTGGTCTTTTAACAAACAAAAATAAAATGTACTCCAGTATTTTAGTTTTAGCTGAGAGGATTTTTCCACGTTTGCGAATATTATAAAACTAGACAAAAATTAGATTCTAGCGCTAGTTTAATTTTTTTTCTGATCTAATAATAATAAGCCTCAGAACCTCGCATTATGCAAACTAAACTTGAAAAGTGAAGTCAAATTAATAAAACGAAGAGAGAAACAATGAGAGGCTGAGAGTCACCAACTTCTGCTGTGTCCATTCCCACTTACACGTGTTGGATTACTGCTCACGTTTTGTCTGATTGTGACGTATGGGCTATTGGGCCCACTAGTCCATTAGCAACTCCATCTGGGCCCTTAAACTAGTCACAACCGTGGCCTCGATGTGGATTCCCCCTTACGTGTTCGCAATTTACACAAATCTTAAGTCGGCGTATAAATTGAGTCTCTATCTAACCACTCGGTTGATTAATAAATCGGTGAGAGAGCGAAAAAAAAGGAGATAATATAGAGAAATGAATTGTAAAATGATAACTACAAACAAATGACTAAATTAATGGATTTCTAAATCTTACGGGTGATGATGTTGGGGTCTTATACTATGTGATTTGGGTGATTAATTAATTATTTAGGAACTTTCTAAATCAATTATTTCCACATGCGTTCAGTTGAAACCGACCAATTATTAGAACACACTCTTCTCTAACATCTCTTCTTAAGTTCCTTCTTACCTTTGTTCGATTTAATCAACACACACAATTTCGAAATCATACACTTTCTTCTAGTCTCGTGTTATCTTCTTCTTCTTCTTCTTCTCTCTTCTACTGGTCCGCCATTATCCTTGAGTTTCACGTCTCTTCCAGGAGATAAAATTTCCGCAATTTCTTGATTTGATCTGTAATCATGGCATCAATGGGTTTCGCCTTGACCCGCTTCTCTGGACTCGCTGCTAAAACCAGCTTATCAGCCGACTTCGATCCCTCCTCTCGCCGGAATCTTCGACCGCCGACTAGAGTCGGTCTGAAGATCACTTCCGCCGCCGAATCGGAGCCTGATCTCAGTGTCACCGTAAATGGCCTGAAAATGCCGAATCCTTTCGTGATCGGGTCGGGTCCACCCGGTACCAACTACACCGTCATGAAGAGAGCCTTCGATGAAGGCTGGGGAGGCGTCATCGCCAAAACCGTAAGCTTTATGTGATTTGACTTTTTCGGTTCAAGACTAGATGATGATTGAAATCTGCTCCGCGTGTGTGATGGTTGACTTGATAGGATTCGAATTAAGATATGATGATTTGAATGGTTTAGGTATCACTAGATGCATCCAAAGTCATCAACGTGACACCTCGATACGCTCGGCTACGAGCCGGATCCAACGGCTCAGCGAAAACAGACGTGATCGGGTGGCAGAACATAGAACTCATCAGTGACCGACCTCTCGAAACCATGCTCAAAGAGTTTAAGAAGTTGAAGCAAGAGTACCCTGATCGGATCCTTATAGCTTCCATCATGGAGGAATACAACAGAACCGCCTGGGAAGAGCTCATCGACCGCGTTGAGCAAACTGGTGTTGTGAGTATCCTTAAATCTATCTCCCCTTGTCTTGATATATAATATATATATGTTGAAGAGACTGATTTCGGATAGCAATATGTTTCGTAGGATGCTTTAGAAATCAACTTCTCTTGTCCACACGGTATGCCAGAGCGCAGAATGGGAGCAGCTGTTGGACAAGATTGTGCGCTTCTGGAAGAGGTTTGCGGATGGATTAATGCTAAAGCCACAGTTCCTGTATGGGCCAAGATGACTCCTAATATTACTGACATAACAGAGGTGTGACTCACTTCTGCCTTGTTCTGTCTGTGTGTATAGTTCAGTCACTTTGTTTAGAGACTATATGTGTACAAAGTGAAAGCCTTTGGTGAGATTTGAAGCTGTGTTACTGCTGCTTTAACCATGGCGCTTCTCTGTTTTCTTTTTTCTTTAAATAGCCGTCCAGGGTATCTCTAAAAACAGGATGTGAAGGAATTTCAGCCATCAATACAATCATGAGTGTAATGGGAATCGATCTCAAGACACTGCATCCTGAGCCATGCGTTGAAGGGTTAGCGATAGCATTCTTCCTAATGTCTTAAGTTTTCGCATCATGAATATTGCTAATGTTGTTGCTGTTTTCTTTGTCACAGTTACTCAACTCCAGGAGGCTACTCTTACAAGGCCGTTCGCCCAATCGCGCTCGCGAAAGTTATGAACATTGCCCAAATGATGAAATCTGAGTTCGGTGGGAAAGATCTCTCGCTTTCGGGTATTGGAGGTGTTGAAACTGGCTATGACGCCGCTGAGTTCATTCTCCTCGGATCAAATACCGTACAGGTGACTAAAACTCAACAGTACCCTTATCTTTGAGACTATACTCCACTGAGAAACTAAGTAAGTGCTTTTTGCTCGGAAGGTATGTACTGGTGTGATGGTGCACGGGTATGGTCATGTGAAAACCCTATGCGCGGAGCTTCAAGATTTCATGAAACAGCACAACTTCTCGACAATAGAAGACTTCAGAGGGTATAGACAAGTTATTCTTTGTTCATAGCTCTTTTTTAAATATCTTATTCTTGCTTGCTCTCATCATCATGTTTGTTGGAACACAGGCATTCGCTTCAGTACTTTACAACGCACACAGATTTAGTCAGGAGACAGAAAGAAGCGATTGAGCAGAGAAAAGCCGAGAAGAGAGGCTTGAAATCTGATAAAGATTGGACCGGAGATGGGTTCGTTAAGGAGACTGAAAGTATGGTTTCTAACTAACTAAGTTTGCAAACCAAACCACAAAAAGGCTCTTTACTTTCTATCGTTTCGCATTGGACTTCTTAAGTCTGTCTCACTTGAAAGAAAAAATAAAGAAGTTATTGTATCTTATTTCATTCTCGTTGTGTATCATTCAATGTATCATGTTTTTCTTTTCCGTATAGATCCCGCGAAAGGCTTAAATCACGATTATATTCTCCTTTCCGCTAAGTGGCAGCCATTGCCACCGTTTCTTTCGAGTTGGTTTAGTTTTATTTTTTTGTCACTTGCAATCATAAAGACTAAAGATTTTGTTACAGACTTATGTATCACGGCACATAGATAAGATGTATTGATTTTTTTTTGTCAAAGTAATATCGATCTAATAGTGTCTGTGTGATCTAAAAGATAGATGTCTTTTGCATTTTCATGATATTGGCTTGGCTAAAAAAGCTTTGGTTTTTAAAATGATCAAATATGGGATGATTGAAACCAAGTTAGTCATGTTTATGTTTAAACGTTATGCCTATTTTAAACACATGAGGTTAATGCGAAAAAGGCAACAAAAAGGGCTTTATGACAAATTAACCAAGGAAGAAACATTATGTACGCAAAAGACAAAAGTGTTCCATTAGTACGAAAATCGTTCCATTTCGTACCTAACTACGTTTACGTGTTCATCAACAATTCTATTTTTACTGATTTATTCATAATCATCTTCCTAATCAGTTTTTGTACTACAAGACAAAACTACAAGGGGAATTTCATGGCCGCACCGAATGTGTATTACTGTATTATATCGAATAGGTCGTAACGCATAGAAAAATAATTAGTTCCGTTTTTTTCGTTTTGTCACAACTCAGTTCCGTTTGGTAAATAAACTCTCTTTAACATTTAAACCAAAAAAAAAAAAACTCTCTTTTGGCCGTGCCTCGTGTACAAAACACGCTTAAGAAATTAAAATTAATAGTATTTGTTGTCCTAATAATCTGTAATCTCAGGAGAATCCTAACCGAATCAATATAAAAATATATATTAATAATTAAAATACTAAAAGATAATATTGGCACACAACAATATAGAAATTACCAATTTACTAGAATCATATTGACCGTAATTATTTGAAAAAACAAATAAAATATAAATAAATCAGATTTAGCTCTCCTCCGCTATAAACACTCACAGGAAGGAGATAAGTTTTATTGATCGTCTTCCCTAAACAACTGATTATTTTTTTCTTTACTCTCTCCGAAGCCGCCATGTCTCTGCTCTCAGATCTCGTCAACCTCAGCCTCTCCGACTCCACCGAGAAAATCATCGCCGAATACATATGGTTCGATCTCCCTTCTCTCTGTTTCTCTCTCACGACGAGTCTCATTATCTCCGTTGTTAGTTACTACTGCTGCGATCGAAAAGCTTTGTCCTTTTTTACGTTTTGCTATTGATCTCTTATGGTTTTTCGATATTCGGTATGAACACGTTTCATTTCACCGAGGTTTGGCTGTCCTGCGTAGATTTAAGCTAGATATTCACGTGTACAACATAAATCTTATTTCTCTCTCTTTTAATTTTTTGTCGTCTTCTGGGTTTGTGAGTTTTCGTGTGAATTTGGAATGAACAGGATCGGTGGATCTGGAATGGACATAAGGAGCAAAGCCAGGGTAATTTATACTCTGTTTATTTATCCTCTGTTTTCCTTCTCTTTTCCTTTTTTGAATGATCTGATTTTGTTTTGGATAATACAGACACTCCCAGGACCAGTAAGCGATCCATCAAAGCTTCCCAAGTGGAACTACGACGGATCCAGCACCGGTCAAGCCGCCGGAGATGACAGTGAAGTCATTCTATAGTATGATCTTCGATCATTTTTTTAAACGAAGTACATATGAAATATAAAAATCATATCTTTAATGCTTTGTTGCTGTTTTTTTGTGTGATAATGAATCGACAGCCCTCAAGCAATATTCCGTGATCCGTTCAGGAGAGGCAACAACATTCTGGTTTGTTAATTGATATGAATACTGTGACAAACTCGGTTTGGATCTAGAATCAGATTTGAAGAAATGATTAAGTTATTGTGATATATATGCAGGTGATGTGTGATGCTTACACACCGGCCGGAGATCCAATTCCGACGAACAAGAGGCACAACGCTGCTAAGATCTTCAGCCATCCCAACGTTGCCTCTGAGGAGCCTTGGTACTCCACTTCTTCTATTTTCTTCTTCTTCTGTTGATCACATAGCAAATCAATCATATACTAACACATATTCTCTCTCTTTCTATCTCTATGTTATTCAAAAGGTATGGGATTGAGCAAGAGTACACATTGATGCAAAAGGATGTGAACTGGCCAATTGGTTGGCCTGTTGGTGGCTTCCCTGGCCCTCAGGTAAATCCATTTATCATCTGATCCTAATGTTATCACAATGTTTTTTTGACATATTCTAATAATAATGTTTGTTTTTGGGGTTGACACAGGGACCATACTACTGTGGTGTGGGAGCAGACAAAGCCATTGGTCGTGACATTGTGGATGCACACTACAAGGCCTGTATTTACGCCGGTATCGGCATCTCCGGTGTTAACGGAGAAGTCATGCCTGGCCAGTGGGAGTTCCAGGTCGGTCCTGTCGAGGGTATTAGTGCTGGTGATCAAGTCTGGGTCGCTCGATACCTTCTCGAGGTATTATTAATCTACTTAACCGGGTTACATTTACTGATAAAAGCTTCAACTTTGTTAATGGTCATCTTCTCTTTTGACAGAGGATCACCGAGATCTCTGGTGTAATGGTCAGCTTCGACCCAAAACCAGTCCCGGTTAGTTTCTTAACACAATCTCTGAACACTTCGTAATATGCAGTTACTAGTACAAAGTTTTAACGATTTTTGAGTTGGGTTTTATTCAGGGTGATTGGAACGGAGCTGGAGCTCACTGCAACTACAGTACGAAGACGATGAGGAACGATGGAGGATTAGCAGTGATAAAGAAAGCAATAGAGAAGCTTCAGCTGAAACACAAGGAGCACATTGCTGCATACGGTGAAGGCAACGAGCGTCGTCTCACGGGGAAGCACGAAACCGCAGACATCAACACCTTCTCTTGGGGAGTCGCGAACCGTGGAGCTTCGGTTCGAGTGGGACGAGACACTGAGAAAGAAGGCAAAGGTTACTTCGAGGACCGAAGGCCAGCTTCTAACATGGACCCTTATGTCGTCACCTCCATGATCGCCGAAACCACCATCCTCGGCTGATTAAACCATATTTACTATTTTCGATTTCTCCGGTTTGGCCTTTCGTGCTTGTGATTGCACTATTTCGATTTAAATAATTCTTCTTATGACCTTAAGAGTATGACATTATGTGTTTTCATTTCAGAATAATTAAATCAAAAAGATTCTTAGTTTCGTATGGTCTAAAAATGGTATTAGTGATTTTCTTGTTTTGATATAATTAACAAGAAAGTACGGCCCCGGTGCGTCGGAGGTTGAACATGTCGGGGGTAGTAGTTGGATAAGATTTTATAATTTAATAATTACGAATATTCTTTACAAGAATGATACTACAAGAGTCTTCGAATGTGACCTACTTAAAGATTAGTATTAAATAAAAAACACTAAATTCCGAAGACGCAGGGTGGTGGGATTTTAGGTGGGAACACCGTAATGCTCGTCACGTGCTCTGTTCTGTATTCCCTAGTCCCATGCATTGAAATTCGCGACTAGCTTCGGCGAAAAAGTCAAAACAACTTTTTTTGTTGATATTTGTGATATTTATTTCTGAGTGGGGACATTCGTGACTCTTCCACTAAGAAAACATTAATTAGTCTTTTTTGTGACGCATTTATTTCATTTCCGTAAGTTAGGCATACTAACTTAAAAGAAGATGATGACGAAAAGTTTTATAACGTTTTCTTAAGTTTTGGAAAGTCAAGTACATTGTTAGTACCTCGAATGCATTTTTGTATCACACTTTAATCATTGCACCCATTTGTAAACGTTCCTCATAAAGCATTTTAATAAAGAATCATGACACCTTACCCACTTGGTTTGCTTTAAACTAAAGAATTTGAAAGTAAATATCAAAGTTGTGATTTGTGTTGTCGACCAACAAAAAAAAAGGAAAACTATGATTATATTATAAAGAAAATTATAAAGAAAATTTCAGGATAATGAGCTATAATCAGAATCGAACTAAAGGTTTTCAACAGGGCATTTTCAGAATATATGAACTATTTAGAATTCTGATTAGTTATTGTTCAGCTAGAAGAAGTGTCCTGAGTTTTATTATTCAAATCCGATTAAAGTTTCCACAGGGGCATCTTATATCTGTTCATTCATCGAACTTGGACACTTGTATTAAAATATAAAACTCGGATATTTTTATTCAAATTTTTTTTTCTTTGAAAATGTTTGTAGTTTTCTAATTTATTACTTAAATATAAAATATATTTGCTGTAGACACAATACATAGAAAAAATACTTTTCCTTACTAAAAAGGTGCAAATTCATTATCTTTTAAGGTTGAATTAAATTTCAGAACTGTGTCTTTTGAATCCATATTTTCAATAAAAGATATGATGAAATAAAATAACAAAATCTGAAAGAAAAAAAAAAAACAAAAGAGAACGAATATATCTTGAAGAAACCTTAAGAAGGCCACCTTGTTGGGTATTTATATTTAAGTGCTCGGCCCAAAACATTAATCAATCTCTAATTCTCTATATAACATAAAATGACGTCGTTTGAACATGAGCCTGAAACATCCATTCCACTCTATCTAAGCCCAATGTTGCCGTGAAGATGACAACTGAGCAAAAACCACGTTAAAACCCAGGAAATTGCTCATTTAATTTCTGAAATATTTGCAATTGGTAAATTTATTCTCTAATTATCATGTGTGTAGATTAAATCATCAATTTAATGTTGACTTTGCAGATTTAGGTATGAGAAAAGTCAACGTTAAAAAAGAAAACGAAAACGTTACCATTGACTTTATATCTCAGTCCAATTTTGCAAAGTCGACATAAATTCGAAGAATTAATTTGCCAAATTGAAAGTTGGGGAATTGATATGCTCAATGGCAAAAACTTGAGAATTAAATGATCATTTTTTATTTAGTAAATTATGATTATTTTCATAAATCATGATTATTTGTAGAATACCATTAAATATTTTTTTAAGAAATATTGCTTTTATTATATTATGTTTTCTATTGTTATGAATAAAATTACGTGTATTTAATTTTGATGATTTTTCTTTATTGGCAAATTTTTTGGTTATCAACCGATGATTATTCTCCTATCATACGATCATTGGTATGGTTAATTTATTAGAAAAAATAATTTTTATCAAATTAACTTATTTTTATCTATCTTTCTCAGTATGTGGTAGTATTTGGTTAGGAACCGATGATTATTCTCCTGTCAATCAAAACTATTTGTTTTATTCAAACAGGTACGGAAAAAGAAAAGGTATAAGATCATATACCTTAATTATCTGTTCAAAAAAAAAATATATATATATATTAATTTTTCTAAAATTTTCCGAATTTTCTCGAAATTGTCCAAAATATATATCTTGAAGTTGATCTTTACCCAAATTAGCGTGAGTTTGATAAGAGATTTTAAGTAAAAGAATTTTCCAAATCCGTTTCGTTCTTATCGGATTCTCATATTTCCAATTTCCATCCTTAGTCCTAAAATTTTTAAAGACACTTTTTTAAAAAAAATATTGATAGTATTCTACAAATAATTATGATTTATGATTATTAGAAAGCATAATATAATAAAAAAATAAAAAGTATTTGATAGTATTCTATAAATAATTATGATTCATGAAAATAATCATAATTTTATAAACAAAAAATAATTATTTAATTCTCCAAATTTTTGAATTGTACGGATTAATTCTCCAACTTTTAGTTAGTCAAATTAATTTCTCTAGTTTATGTTGACCTTGCAAAATTAGACCGAGATAAGTTAACGCTAACGTTTCTGTTTTCTTCATTAAAGTTGACTTTTTTTATGCCTAAATTTGCGAAGTCAATATTAAGTTGAAGATTTAATCTGCACATAATAGTTGGATAATAAATTTGCTAATTGCAAATACTTCAGGAATTAAATGAGCAATTTCCCGTTAAAACCCCTCCCCTCTCAATTCCCGGAGGCTCCAGGGAGATGAAATGGCTGCGATGGCTCACTGTGCACTGATTCCATCTATAAACCCAGCTCATTGCTTCCGACATCAATTTCCACAGCCAAATGCGTCATTTTCCTTATCTCCCACTCTACCGATTTTTTTGCGTGTTCGGAAATGTGGGTTTCCCGGCGGAAATCGCCGTCGTGGGGTCACCATGGCCGCCGGAACGGATCACTACTCCACTTTAAATGTAGACCGCAACGCCAGCTTGCAGGATATCAAGAGCGCGTACAGAAAACTAGCTCGCAAGGTTTACTCTTCGAGATTCTCGCTTCTTCACTTTTTCCCCCTTTTCCTTTGTTGGATTAGAGCTTAGATTTGTAATGGTGTAACAGTATCATCCGGATATGAACAAGAACCCTGGTGCAGAAGATAAGTTCAAACAGATTAGTGCTGCTTACGAGGTAACACAAAAGTTCTGTCGTCTTTTTGTAATGCCTGGTTTTGATTGAATCTACATTTTCGTTTGTTGCTTATTACAAGTGGGAATGAAGCATTTGTGTAGGTATTGTCTGACGAGGAAAAGAGATCCGCGTATGATCGCTTCGGGGAGGCAGGTTTAGAAGAAAATTTCAATGGATCACAGGATACTTCAGAAGGAGTAAGTCACTAATGAAATAATACATTCTAAAAAATCTCAAATTTGTTTGGTTTGTTTAATGACCTTCCTGTTTCTCTTTTATTATTTGTCAGGTGGATCCATTTGACTTGTACAGTGCATTCTTTGGAGGCTCTGATGGATTCTTTGGGGGAATGGGTGAATCAGGAGGGATGGGTTTTGATTTCATGAATAAGAGAAGCCTTGACCTCGACATTCGGTAAGATTCTTATTCAAGCTTGTTCACCAGCTGTCTGTTTTCCGAATGTGTTTTCTCCTAATCTTTTGGGAGTTTTTTTTGTTTCTTGACTGATTCTGTGGGAACATGTATATACTAGGTATGATATGCGGTTGAGCTTTGAAGAGTCGGTTTTTGGAGTAAAACGGGAGATTGAGGTTTCTTATTTAGAAACGTGTGATGGCTGTGGAGGAACAGGTGCTAGATCTAGTGATGCTGTTAAACAGTGTAGCAATTGTGGTGGCAAAGGGCGTGTGATGAACACTCAGAGAACACCCTTCGGAATCATGTCTCAGGTAACTCGTTGTAGCCATTACTATTCCCATCACCTTGCTATTCCTGAAATGGAAATTTTCTATTTCCCTTTGATTAGTGCTATAGACGATAATCTGTGTGAGATTCATAGGTGTCCACTTGCTCAAAATGTGGTGGTGATGGCAAAATCATAACTGATAAGTGTCGGAAGTGCACTGGCAACGGGAGACTACGGTCTATGAAAAAAATGGATGTTGTTGTGCCTCCTGGTGTCAGCGACAGAGCCACAATGCGGATTCAAGGAGAAGGTAACGTGGACAAGAGAAGGTACAGGGAAATTTTCTTTTAATTGGACTTACATTTCCTGATATTTAGCGCTCTGTCTATTCTCTTTTTTTTTCTCAGTATGGTTGGTTTCTAATTTCCACAGTGGACGAGCTGGTGACCTGTTCATCGTTCTGCAAGTTGATGAGAAACGTGGAATCCGGAGGGAAGGGCTTAATCTATACTCCAAGATCAGCATCGATTTCACAGATGCAATACTTGGGGCAATCACAAAGGTGGTTTTAAACTCGTTTTCTGCTTGACGTTACTCGATAGTGGAGGAACTTGTAGGTATGACATCTTTCTTTTTTTCAGGTAGAAACAGTTGAGGGAACAATGGATCTTCGGATTCCGCCAGGAACTCAGCCAGGCGACACGTTGAAATTATATCGGAAAGGAGTTCCAGACACGGATAGACCTTCGGTTCGTGGTGATCATTGCTTTGTAGTGAAGGTTTCGATCCCCAAGAACCTGAGGTTTGTGTCACGCCACTTCCCTTTTTATCCCTTTATGTCATCTTTTGTTTACTAAAACCCCTGAAACAACCAAAATGATAGTGAGAGAGAGCGCAAGTTGGTAGAGGAATTCTCGTCGCTTAGAAGATCCAGCAGTAGTACTGGTACATACAAAGCTATTCGAATCTATTTCAGAAACTAATAATTTGTTTAGAAAAAAAGTTTTCAAAACTTATTATCCTCTTTTGTAGAAACTCGTCAAAAAGAGCATAGTTTTGGGTCAGAACCTAGAGAAGAACCGTCTTTGTGGCATAAAATGAAGAGTTTCATAAGGTAATCTTTATGAAACCTTTCTCGGCAGTTCATTAAAGGACCACCACATGGTTGTCTGTCTCCTCATTGGTCTGACATACGTATTTTTGTTAAATTGTCATGTTATATGCTAGACCTGAAGATTCAAGAACGAAGTTTGGGACTATAAGCTTGAACTCATCATTGCCACTACGAAGAATGAAAGAGGCAGAGACTTGTATTGTTCTCCCGTTCTTGGCTTTGTGCGTTATAACATCGGCTTTTGCATTGGTTCAGAAGAAGGGTAATCGCTTGAAACATAAGAACGCACCCTAATATCCTCAAAATCCAGATGGAGAACTTTGGTTCAAGTAACAGAGATTTTAGAAGGCCCTTCGTTGCCATGCAACAATTCTAGATTATAGGTTGAAATTGCTTGTCGTCTTGTATGTATGTTTTTTCGTTTATACATTGTTAAAGAGTTATGATTAAACGAATATAGTACTCAGACCAATGGTTATGTATGCTAAACAGGCTTTAAAGCCTTCAACAGTGAACGAACTTTTCCAAGAATCATATCGACCTATGAATTCAATTCATGCTGTGATTTCTCTAATGTTGAATTTATGCAATTAGTTGAATTTCATCACCTTTGATTAAATCGTATAAGTATTGTGCAATTGTGAAGCTGGATAGCGACACTGCGACAACACTGACAAAACCCAATATAATAAAACATGTCATGATCGATCAAATAATGTGGCCTATAGCTAAAAGCAAGTCACAGAGCGCTTGGAGTTTCCATAGTGTATAGTGTGTAACTGTGAAATCAGAGAATGTAAAAGACTTTTTGTTTGTATCTCAATTCTCAACAAGAGAACGTTTCTACGAAATCAAGAAAAGGTTTTCCATCTGAAAAGTCTTTATTGCTTAACTGGTTCACAAGACAACTACTGTACTACTCACATTATGACTAAACGTCTCTATCTTCCAAAATAAAACAATAGAAAAGATGATCAGAGGGGAAAAAGAATCATTAAATTACTAGAAAAACATAACTGTAGAATAAGTACTAGTATAATACTCTCATATAAAACGATAACTTAAATTTTAATATAGAAGCATATACCTTTCATTCAAATTTCTTGTAATCTTCCATATTTGGTCTTTCTATATGATTTTTCAAAACTCTACATCTATAACTATAAGTTTCATTTCGAACTTCAAACTATGGCGAGACTTGTATAATTGTTAACAATTTGGTGCAATAAAGGATAACGATTTAATCATTTAAGTACATCGTAGCCGTTACCTTCTAGAAATGTAACGCTCAACGATTTTTGTTTTTATATCACTGTGACCGTCGTGATATTTTTTTTTTTTATTGAGATCTCATATTTAAATAAAATATTATTGGGACCCTTTTGAGTTTTGATTGAGATAATACAAACTCTGGATCATTCATATCGAAAGTAAAATAAATCGATACAGAGCGGAGACAATCACAGAATAGAGAATGTGTTCTTTTTTTCTTTGTAAAAAAACTTTAATGCTGTAAATTATTGTTGTAGGCTTTTTTACATGTTATGGTCCTACCAGTCTTAACCCACCCATGTTCTTCTTTTCTCCTTTACAACCATGCATTATTATTATTATTATACAGAAAATCAATTTAATAAATGTAGAAATACATAGAACTAAGTGTATCTTGAGAAGAGTGATCAAATGCAGGGAATTTCATGATGTTAACACGGTTTTCTATTAACTTTTTTGGATTCCATTTCTCCGATATCAGTTTAATTACTTAGTTATCTCCATCTAAACACATCCGCTTGCTATTTATTTATGATATAATATGAGTATATTTTGTTTGCAATCTTAGTAGTAATGTTAGTAAAGAATCTTTAGCGGTTAGAGGGATAAGACAGCGAAATTAGGATAAGACAATGTAGCTAAAGGTTCACATAGGATACTAAAATATCTAAACGTAACCAATACAAATTAAGAATCACGTATTTTTGTCGAAGCATAGAAAGACAGACGTCACTGTTGTATAGAAATGTCGTTTTTGTCAATATTTACAGATTTTTAATTTTAAATATTCAAAAATAAAGCGATTAAAAATGGAGGAAAAAGAGGAAAGAGGGGAGAGAGAGAGTGTTAAGTGTTGACTAGCTTCACTTCACTTCTTCTCCTCTGTAACCACAACTTCCTTCAGAGCTGCTCTAGGGTTTTCTCTTCACTCTCTTTTTCTCTTTTCGTTTCTCACAATGCGACGCTTCCTCAACCCGTCAATGGCGAGTCTCTCCATATTCCTCTCGATTCTTCTCCTCTCTCTTCCCCTTCCGTCGACACAAGACCTCGCCGCCGACAAATCCGCCCTTCTCTCGCTTCGTTCCGCCGTCGGTGGCCGAACAATTCTATGGGACATCAAACAGACCACACCATGCAACTGGACCGGCGTCGTTTGCGACGGTGGTCGAGTAACCGCCGTCCATCTTCCCGGCGTCGCGCTCTCCGGCCAGATTCCGGAGGGCGTTTTCGGTAATCTAACACAGCTCCGTACGCTCAGCCTCCGTCTCAATGCTCTAACCGGCACTCTCCCTCTGGATCTCGGTAGCTGCTCCGACCTTCGGCGTTTGTACTTGCAGGGAAACAGGTTCTCCGGGGAGATACCAGAGGTTTTGTTCAGTCTCAGCAACCTCGTGAGGCTGGATCTATCCGATAATGGTTTTACCGGCGAGATCTCTTCTGGGTTTAAAAACCTCACGAGGCTTAAGACTCTGTACCTTGAGAATAACAAGCTATCTGGCTCTCTTCTTGACATGGATTTGCCGTTGGATCAGTTCAACGTCTCCAATAACTTGTTGAACGGATCCATACCGAAGAGTCTTCAGAAATTCGACTCCGATTCGTTCGTCGGAACTTCACTCTGCGGCAAACCGCTCGGTATCTGTTCCAGTGAAGGGACTGTGCCAAGCCAGCCAATTTCCGTCGGGAACATTCCCGGAACTGAGGGAAGCAAGGAGAAGAAGAGAAAGCTCTCCGGCGGAGCGATTGCCGGAATAGTGATCGGATGTGTGGTTGGTTTCTTCCTGATTGTTCTGGTTTTGATGGTTCTCTTCCGGAAAAAGGGAAACGAGAGAACAAGGGCCGTCGACATTGCAACCATCAAGCAGCGTGAAACGGAAATTCCCGGCGATAAAGCGGCGGTGGAAGCACCGGAGAATGGGAACTACGGAAATGAGTACTCCACGGCGGCGGCGGTGACGGCAAGCGCGAAAGCCGTGGAAATGAACAGTTCAGGGACGAAGAAATTAGTGTTCTTTGGGAACGCGACAAAGGTTTTCGATCTGGAGGATCTGTTGAGAGCTTCGGCGGAGGTTCTGGGGAAGGGGACGTTCGGGACGGCGTATAAGGCGGTGCTTGACGCGGTGACGTTGGTGGCTGTGAAGAGGCTGAAAGATGTGACGATGGCGGACAGAGAGTTCAAGGAGAAGATTGAGGTTGTTGGGGCGATGGATCATGAGAACTTGGTGCCTTTGAGAGCTTACTATTACAGTGGAGACGAGAAGCTGCTTGTGTATGACTTCATGCCTATGGGAAGCTTGTCAGCTCTCTTACACGGTGAGAGTTACCTGTCTCTTTCTCTGCTAAAAAGTTGTGAATTTAGTTGTTAATACTTTAATAGTTCTCTGTTTGATCTTCTGAAAGTCCTTGTGATACTGCACAAGTATCTGGAAGTTTTGTAGAATAATAGTTCTTGCAAGTCTGATTTGCTTATTACCAATATTTGGTCAAAAGGAAGAACTCTTGCAACTTTTAAGTGGTGAGTTATTTCAAAAATATAGCCTTTTTTTAGTGATGCATGCAATTAGGATGTAAGTATGAATTTGTTTGTTTACACTTATTGTTAAGACAGAAATGTCAAATCTTTCTATCATGAAAATGATTACATTCATTTCGATTTCCCAATTTAGTGAAAACAGCTTTTGTTAGCTTTAGTTAGATTTGTTGACATGTTTTAGTGAGTAAATGTATAGACATTTTCATGGCTTACAGTGGAAGTGCTTTGTAGATGATAATTTATTTTCAAGAATTGTGTTTTTAAGCAATGAAAACTCCAGAGATCATGTGTTCAAGTTTCAGAGAATAGCTTATTTTTATTTTCTGTGTTGTGCTTAATGTCATGCTATGTTACAGGAAACAAAGGCGCAGGGCGGTCTCCACTGGACTGGGAAATACGATCACGCATTGCCCTTGGAGCAGCTCGTGGCTTAGACTATCTTCACTCGCAAGACCCATTGAGCTCTCACGGAAACGTCAAGTCTTCCAACATCCTCTTAACAGACTCCCACGACGCACGAGTCTCTGATTTCGGCCTGGCTCAGCTCGTCGGGTCCTCAACCACAACCCCAAACCGGGTTACCGGGTACCGTGCGCCGGAAGTAACTGACCCGAGGCGTGTCTCGCAGAAGGCGGACGTGTACAGCTTTGGCGTGGTGTTGCTAGAGCTGCTGACCGGGAAAGCTCCGTCGAACTCGGTGATGAATGAGGAAGGAATGGATCTTGCGAGGTGGGTGCATTCGGTGGAGAGAGAGGAGTGGCGGAGTGAGGTTTTTGACTCGGAGCTGGTGAGTTTGGAGACTGTGGAAGAAGAGATGGCGGAGATGCTGCAGCTGGGGATAGATTGTACGGAGCAGCACCCTGACAAGAGGCCAGTGATGGTGGAGGTGGTGAGGCGGATCCAGGAGTTGCGCCAGTCGGGTTCGGATCGGGTTGGCTAGACTAAATGGACGACGCAAGGAGGCTTGAGAGAGGGTTTACGAGTTGGAACCACCGATATAAAACGACTGCGTTTTCGGTGTTTAATGTCTCCAAAATTATGGAATCTTAGATGTTTAAAAGTTAGTTTAAGAATATGGCGGGGAATTAGAGTTGGGTCGTTAATTAGATGGTCTTAATTTTTGTTTTCCCTTTTTTTTTTCTTTTTCTTTTGTTATCTATCTCATGTGTGGGCACTGATGATGAGGAGTTCGTTGTGGTTGTAATTATTAGTGCTTTTAACTTTTAACTTTATTTTCGATGTTGTTTCAGCTTTTTGTCTCTTTAATACTCCAGACGAAAAAGAAGATTGGATTCCACGTCCGCTTCTTGCAATACATGTCGTGACAGCTACGAATTACAAATTCACCGCAGGTTCACGAATAATATGATTGGATCACCCGAAGGCGTAGGGAATATAGATACGACGTCGTCATGCATTTTTCCAAAAAAGGTTGTGTGCAATGAATGTTGTGGTAGACAAGTTTATAAATATTAAAATTAATGAGCTCCTGTAGGGTTGCGTTCCAATATCTAACTACACACAAATCAATATGGACGTGGGAACATGGTCAATGTATACCATGTTTGATTTTAAAAATGACTAAAGGTTTCTGATGCACTGCTTAAGGTTTTAGTCGTCGAATCACATAATACATAAGATGTATTGATTTCTTTTTTTTGTTTTTTTTTGTCAAAATAATATGGATCTTTTAGTGTCTATGTGATCTAATATACATGTATTTTTGCATTTTTTTCATGAACACTGGCCAAATTGAAAATTGAAGTTACTTGTGACGGGAATTTGGTTGAGGGTCATCTTTCCAGCCTTTAGATAGAAGATCGTAGTTGATTGATGCCAACTGCGATAGGTTCTGCAAAACCGTGAAAGACGTAAAAGTTAGAGCGCTAAGTAATGTGTTCTCTCTTATGAGCCAACAACACTCATCGAATGTACATATTCACAGAGATCTGGCTCTTAACAGGGAAGTCATGTGAGAAGTACCTTAAACGAGAAATTACTGAAAGAGTAATCTACAGGTACGCCAGACTCAAACTCTGCAAGCCCTTCGTTTTCTTCAACCTGTGTACCAACATTGTTTCCATTTTGGAGAACTTAGATAGATATTCAAAGAAGGTTGAATTCCAAGAGTGGATCAGTGAAATGTTTACCTCTCCCTCGTCATGACGATTGCTCGAGCAACCACTGCTGCCACTCAAGCTATCAGCATCACTGTACTCTTCAACCTCACCGGACGGGAAAAATTGCTCATCCGATGTGTTCCACGAGTAGCGACTTCTGAAGTAACTAGTGTCAATTGCACTCTCTGAAGCTGGAACAAATGCAGCCTAAAGAAAACTAGCGTTAGACTTTTCATACGGCATGAGGGTCTGCTTCTGCATAGCTTATATCTTCAAAAGAAAAAAGAAAGAAAAAGCACCTTTTGCCTCGCTAGTGTATCCCAATTGATGTCTTTAAAGAAGTTGTGGTGCTTGACCTGCGTCATGAAATTTGTTTCAATAAAAGTTTACACAAAGTGGAACTAGTCATCACAGATAAAAGACATCCAGTTTTACCTCAGCAGCCCCTCTAGCTCCAAGTCTCAGATGAGGATCTTCGGTCAAAAATCTAGAAAAAGAAGATGACATGGTGTTACAGACAATAACACAGAATTTAAATCGAATGTCTTTGGCATGTCGAAACAGATAGTTCCTCAAGAATATAGTTGTTCATCAATGTATTTTATTGCACAACTGATGATTTCGGAAACGGCCCCAATGTGAAGCGTATGATTAGAGGGAGAGAGAGGGAGAATATCTCTTACCGGTCTATAATATCGTGGACTTCAGCACTCATTTCATCCGGGACACGAGGCCATGGTATCTTACGGTTGAGAATATTGTCAAATATTTGCTAGAACAGACAAAGAAAATGCAATTAAAATGTTTAAAACTAAGATTAGATGCAAAGTACTATTTATAGAAAAATAAGGAATTACTCCAAATATAAGTTACAGGAGTAAAGAAGTCAATTCAAAAACAAAATAACACGGCATTTGAAGACCAGGCCAAGTACGAATGGTAGTTTCTTAAGAGCTTGAGAAACATTTGCACCTCTATCAAAGCATTAAACAGGAAACAACGCAGTGATTAGTCTCTCACCTGGGGATGTTCTGCATTGAAGGGTGGGATTCCCACAATGAGTTCAAACAGAATGATGCCAACAGACCACCAATCCGCAGTTGCACCTGAAATATAATGCAAGAATCTATCATTTTTTTTGCAGTCTTGGCATGTGATAAACGGAATATGAAACTCACTAGTCCAGCGTACATAGCATATAAAAAAATACATAATCCTTCCACTTATACAGAAACAGATTTATAGTAGCGTATTTTTTTCCCTACTCAAATAATCAATCCCAGCCGAATACCAATCATTCTACCAAAAACACAATCTTTGGTAAAAGATAAGCAGAAACTAAGAATATAACGCACCATGTCCTGTCCCCAAAAGAATTTCTGGTGCTAAGTAGTCAGGCGTACCCACAGCAGACCGTTTCTTGCGCCTTTCAAGCTGGTGCTCGGATGTCGGTAATCGTGATTCTTCCTCATCAAGAAGAGACGTCCCAGGACCAGACAGATCATCGGTACTGTTGATGAGACCAACTTTCGAGAGCCCAAAATCTGTCAACTGCTCAATAAAACAAAGAAACCATAAGGTCTACATTAATTCTGAGAATTTATTGCTAAGGCCAGAACCAAATCTCCTAAGCTCTAAATAGCAAGACAACAACAGTATTCTGAGGGACTACAATGGTACCAATTAGTTCCCAAAATGGCAGAAGAGTTCTAACAATGGAAAAGGGTACCTTAATATGACCATCATGCGCAATCAACAAATTATCAGGCTTCAAATCACGGTGAACGACACCCTCAGAATGCAAATATTCCAAAGCAAGGACCTGAAACGGAAATTCATCATGGAATCAATTTCTAAAACTTTTATGACATGGCTTAACAAGATAAACACGTAGCACTTACAACTTCGGCAATATATACACGGACAATATCTTCCTCTAAGCAACCTAAATTTCTCAACAACGAATACAGGTCCCCTCCATTCAAATACTCCATCACCAGATACAGGTTGTCACGACAAGTGAAAGAATAGAAAAAACGAACCTGCTCAAAACAAGTTATGTCAAAAGAGGCCGATCTATCGAAAGAATGTGCTTAAAAGGCTAGACCTGCTCACCACAAAGGGATTGCGGACATTAATCAAAATATCACGTTCGGCAAGTATACTTTCAACAGCATTCTTGCGGATCATATCTGCCTTTTTCAGAACCTGAGGAGTATAACAGACATTCAAACACAAGATTAGACAAAACCCTACTAAAGATTTTGCAAACCACGTCAGCCTAACTACAAAAAAAATTTGAACTGTAACAAAAGAAAAAAGAATTGAAAAGAGAACAAAAGCAAGATACATTTCACCTTGATTGCAAATAGATCTCCCGTTGTTCTCTTTTTAGCCAAAAAAACTCTCCCAAAAGCTCCCCGACTTATTGGTTTTATGATCTCAAAATCATCTATGGATGTGCGGTCTCGGGGATGTACTGGGCTGGTTCTCAAGCTCCGTACAACATCATCTTCTAAAGGAGCATCTTCATCAATTACAGTGCTTGATAGGTCAACTTTTTCATCATCCAGAAGCTCACACATCTGCAGATATTTCTCCCTACATAAAAGAAAGAAGTATACTTTCAGCACATAATATTTCTGGAAACCGTAAAACATATCCCAGAAAATATACATGCACGGAGAAAGAAGATTGAGGGAGCGGCTCTGGAACACATCTCATACAAAAGTAGCATCAAGGAACTCACCGGATCAACTTTTCTATGCGAGTCCCAAAAGTTTCTACTGTAAGTGCATCAAACTTTCTGCGGTCTATGACAACCCTTAGATCTTCAAGACAAGAAAGTAAGAATGGAATTGATTGATCATCACCCGGAATGGCATCTGCTGCACATTTTGCAATGTCAGCAAGTTCACTCATCTGCATAATTAATCGTCAAGAGTTTTTTTGATCAGTTGGATTGGATATCTAATAACAAAGACAATAATACTTACAAAGATGGAGCACAACCATCACAAACCTGTGGAATATCATCGTGATCATGGAATGTACCCTTGCCTCCTAGAATCATTTCAATCGGATCAGGTCTAGGGGTCGGAATGGGGGATCTAGGAGTCATGCTACTGGCAGATGAAGTCGTCATGCCTTGATCAGACTTGGAACCAAAACGGGTTTTACATGACATTAAGGGTAAACCTCTCAAATCATCCATAAAAACTGAATTATCAGTCTCTGGGAGACAGTCAAGCATGTCTTCTGACCCTCTTCGCGACCAATCGCTCAACCTTGGGGAGAGAACATCACATTCTTCAGTCAAATTTGAATTGGATACTTTCATACCATCTGGGCTTTCTGCAGCTGCGAGGCTATCCTTATGCCTGAAGGTCTCTGCTATCTTGTCAAGAGTTCCAGCAACTGCCATCAGCCGCTCGTCAACACTCAGTCCTTTCTGGTCATATTTATCAGCCAATGTACAAATTCTAGAGTGATCTTCAACATGGGTAGTGGGAACTTCCTCCTCACAGATACGGCACATTATTGAACTTTCCTCCGAAATAAGTGATTGTTCCCCCCAGTAACCCCAAGAAACATTGTGCCGATGCTTGGGCGAATGTTCATGAGAATCTTTTGCTGGAGGGCAGTTGAGAATAGAAACAGCCGTATCATCGCTAGGTTGTCGATTTCTAACCGTATGTGGTGGTTCAACTTTGATATCATTGTGCTCTTCTGATGCTGGCGCTTCTTTCACAGTTTTCAGTGCTGGAGATGGAAGTTTCTTCCAGGAAGACATTCTATCAATGCTTGTAGGAGATTCAGATTCCTTAAGATCATAATTTTTAGGAGGAGAGAGAGGACGAACTGAGCGTACAACAACGTCCTCCTTCCACTCCAAACCACGTTGCTCCTGACTATAGGCTTTCTTGGTGGATGGTGGTATCTTTAAGACCTTTGCAGCACTTGAACTCCTTCCCGCTCCAGTAGGAGGTATTTTCTCTATAGAACGCAAAACTCTTGACTGACGTAGTTGTACAGCTTGTTCCTCTTCCCCCCAACTTTCCTTGTGAAACTGAAGTAATCTCGTACATCTGGTAAGTATAAAAAGCATCCGAGTATGAAGCTGCTTGAGAACTCCCGGAGGAAGCTCTTGACGTCTATCATCTAAATCTTGAACTATGCCTTCACACTGAAGCCAGAAATCTCCAGGAGTAGTCATAGCACAACTGCGAGCCAAAATTAACAAGTCTTCAAACGTTTCCTCCCACTCAGGATGGCTTTCTGCATTTTTCTCAAGAACTCCCACTAGGTCCGCAGCAAATACTGCAAGGTCAGAGTTTACTTCTTCCTTAGCTTTATCAAATTTTGCCCGAATTAGAACCAGTATTTCCTGAAAAAGACAGACTTTCAGATTCGGCATACAACAAAACTCACAAGGGATTAATAGAGATAGGAGACTCTAATATACCTCCACATTGTTCGACCTACGAGGCTTCCACAATGGAAAGGGCCGTACACCTTTTGAATTCAGCTCATGAGAAAAACTTTTAATGTCGCCCGGAAACCTCTTTCGTGGAGCACTGGTCATACGAAGTAAGGCTTGATAACGTGGTGATTCTGACTCTTTTGGATTTTCCCATTCATATGAATTCTAAAAAAGATAAACGTCAAGTCACAAAGATCACTTAAAACTAATACACATAGCACAACCCACTTCAAAAAAATATATGCGATGGAGAATGGGATACCTCTGGGGTACAAAAGTCTGAATTTCTTAGAGGGCCAGAGCGTCCAGATGACATCTCGGATCGACCTGCGAAGTGCCATTATGAGAAAACTGAGAAATAAGAACTGATAAACAAACAGGTGACACACAATATCTAGATAAAGCTCAGAATTATATGTGCCAAGGCGGCGATAAGCAGCTAACACACAGAAGAAAACTAGTATTTCTATGATATCTTCCAAGCGAGCATGCTCACAACAGGTAACGAGTACAAGTCTCCATCACATTACCACACGTCTTAATTGAGTTCTCACTTAACATCAGAGCAAATCGTTTCTCCAATTAACCATTTCAAGATGTTATTTGTTGTATCTGAGGACATACCAGTTCCCGATGAGGATGCCACATTCTGCAATCGAGATCCTGGTGCCGGCAAAGTAGGGCTGAGGCTCCTCGGTGGTACAGTATCAGGAGACATACTATCACGATCACTCTTATTGTCACTCGTTCGAGCGCGACCCATGTTGTCTTCGAACCCTAACTTGCTGCTCCCAGCTTCCTGCTTCTTATTGGCACTACCAAAGCCAGAAATGGCTGAACCCGAGCCCGAGTCCCCAACAGTTGCCATCTTCGACAGTTTGCTCGTACATAGCAGAGGCGGAGTTTCTCCATCATTCCTAAAATTGAAAACCCTCTCCTGTGGCAACGGTCCGGATCTCGTCTTGATCCGGTTCAAGCCCAGAGACGAGGCCATGATTGGAGAAACAAAAGCTGGTCCTTCCTGCGTCGGTCCAACGGCTGGTTTCTTCGGCTCGGAACTGGGAGACAAGTTCGATTTTCCGATAGAGTGCGCTTGAAACTCGGTTGGAACTTGTTTGCCCTTCGATGATCCATCCTTCTTCTTCAGGCCATCTTTAATCTGCGCCTGCTTACAACCAATTCCGGCAAATCCACCAGCGGAGCTCGGATTAGGGATCGGGGATTCCTCCTTGGAAGCGGATTTAGCCTTCTTCTTGTCCGATCGTATCGGAGAGTTGGAGCCAACAGATCTGGGACTGTTGGAACTATCGGGGCTCGAAGATCCGGATTTCTTCGAAGAGAAGAAGAGCTTGTTCTTGAAGACCATTTTCAGTTCCGCTAATTCAACCTAAATCACTACTACACTACAATCCAATTTCAAAATCCAGTTGTCATTTCCTCACTCCGACTTCGAAAGAAAGATAGCTCTCTCTCTCTATCTATCTGATCTCTCTCTATCTATCTGATTTGATTCTCTGCCTCCCTGGAGATCTCACAGTTTCAGTGTATTCGAGGCGAGGAAGCGACGAGGAAGAAGAAAGCGTGACTGTAATAGAAAATAAAGCGTAGATTTAGTCCCAAACGTTGCCTACTAAACAAAATACATATAATGACTAAAATTGAAAAAAAAAAAAAAAAAAAAAAAAAGGTCAAAGCTGGTTAAAATTTAGGACTAGATTTTGACTTTTGACTTTTAATTAAAAATTTAAACCTGAAGTGATGAACTACTAAACATTCATTATCTTATCTACAATCATTTTTAACCTAAACCCCCATTTTCATATTTCCTTCCCAGCATTCTTGATCCACAGTTGAAAAATTATTTAAGAGCTTGTATCTGTATATTGTTTTCTTCGTATTGATAAGAAATCCATTGGGCTATTTACTATGGGTTGGGCCTAGTTGTTCACTCAATTAGCGCTTGTTTTCATTGTTATTTTTTTGGTAAAAAGAGTATTGATTTTGTTTTAACGTGATTATCTGAATTTGTGAATTACAAACCTTTTTAAATCATTTTTTTAGCGAAATGTTGAATTAATTATTTGGGGAAATTATTTTCCCCCAAATCTTTGTTTACTACATCTATTTTTGTTTGTCAACAGTCTCCAACTTACAATGGTTTGGAAATCCAAACTAGTAGATACTATATATATTATTTATAAAAAATATGTAAAATTTCAAATCATTACAAATTTATAAAAAATCTTTAAAATTTAAACTGATTCAAAAATCGAGATTTCAACTAAAAGAAATGTCAACTTGAAAGAAATCCAATCGCAAATGATTGACCAGATTTATATGATCTACTAATTAACATTTTTTTTTATTCATGCTAACAACACCAGCAAATTTAGTAAATACAATTTCAGATTTATTCCCATACTTAGCTTTTAAGAAGAAATTAATATTCATCATCATTCATAAGCATCTACAAAGTTCGAATTTGGAAACTATGTGAATGTCTCCATAACATTGATAAATAATGAACTTGATCTTTTTACACCTACAAATTATGACTGAATGTAAAATTGGAAACCCATCAAAGTTCAAAACTTATCAATAGTATAATAGAATTAAAAAGTAGATGGATGTTATATATTTTTGCACAAATATTGGTCCCCAATTTGAATAAGTGATATTCAAATCTAATTTACTATGAAAATACTATAGAGAAGGTGACGAGATGTTAACACAGACAACAAATCATTTGAATGTAGTATAACTCGATGGACATCATCTTTAAAAAACTTAAAGATGAAATTTTTATGTAACTTGCATTATTTTATTTTTTGACATAAATTCAAAAGCCAACAACTTCGACCTTCACCTCACTGGATTTGACGTTTGAGTGTATGTCACTTAAGCCAATAAGCTTAGAAGATTATGTAGCATTTTGACATTATGCTTGTTGCAATTGATAACATATCCATAGGAAACTATGAGAGAGTTAATGGTACTAAACTTTTTCTAATTATTGTCGAAATATGTTAACTTGTTAAACCAATTTTTTAATGCAATTTTTTTACAAAAAGAAGAGTGTATTGATTTCAAATATTTGGTTGTTTTAAAGAAATTATATGAATTTCTGTTCACTAAAATTTTAAGAGACGGAAAAATGCATGATTGCAGTTTGCTATATAGCATAGTCCGCCAAAAAAACGAAAGTTTGCCGGGTCTCAAACCAATGTTGTATATATCAAAACTTGTGTAAACATATCATAAAAACTTAACAAAAATTAGCAAAACGTAAAATGATTTTTTTTTAAAAAAAAATAACAAGCATTTATAATTTAGATAATTTGGGTAATTTTTATCTTCAGCTTTCAAAATTTTATATTTTCAATTATGTAAAATATCTATTTAAATCTAGGTTATTTCTTTTATATAAAAGGCCTTTGGAGGCTTCTACATCAGCATTTAAATCTAACACATCATCCTGAAAGATAACATTGAAACAACGCTAGACAACTTTGAGCTCTCTATGCAATAAGGCATACCCATAATTAACTAGGCCAAAGTATCTACTATCTACCAAAATTATTTACCAACTGAATTTTGCACACGTATAGTCGTCAGCGTGGAATTACATGGGTCGCTTTCTATAATCAGTTTCAGAAATTCAATCGTCACTCAAACAGTTATCCTAAGCTTTATCTTATACTATTCTTCATCAACGTATGCGATTACTTGGTGCATAATCCAAATCCTACATGTTTCAATCGTGGCATCGAGAGGCCATTGTTTTACTGTCAATACTATCAGCTTCAATGGCGTCTTCTGAGTGTTTGGAAGTCTAGGTAACTTGAGATTGAAGCATAAGATTCTTCGTGACCTTCTGTCCAACCCTAAGAGTCTCAAAAAGAAGCGGCCTCTGAGCAAACCTCTATTACATTACTCTACAAGGTTGTATGAATAATCTGCTTTCGGAGCCTCCATTGCATTCAACGGAGTAGAAGCTTCGGGCTAAGTGGAAATCCCGTTGATATGTTATTGGCTTCCACCTCTCTTCAGATATGGTATGAATATGTCTTATAAAACGTTAATGGTTAATCTTGATCTACAATTACCATTAGACATTCAAGCGTAAACCCACAGAAATCAAGTCAACAGTTTTTACAAGAACCAAAAAGCTTTCGTTATGGAACCGATTGAGATTCTCAAACTTTTGACACTTGCTTTCATGTAATGCATGTTTCAGGAGTATCAAACTGCATAATAAAGCAAATGGTTTTATTCGGCAATATTATATCTACTTGAGGAGGTATCATAAGATCCCTGTTACAAATTTAAAGAAGACAACATCTGTGATATAAGATATTAAGTAGTAGACCCACTTAATCCTGATATTTTTTTTTTTTATGCAAATGCTTAACTAAATCCATATATATGGTTCTTGCTCTGTCAGAAACAAATCCTTTGAAGCTAATAACGTAAAACAAATTATGTGAGCATAGAGCTCATTGTAACTTTTGGTTCTAAACATGTCATCTTCTTTGTTAATCCATTTTAATGAGATTTGAAATGTAGTTAGCATTATAAGTGAGTTATGTACAAGTTTAAATTTGTTATGGTGTTGGATCGATAATTTGTCTACATATAGTCAACAAAATTCAGCCAAAGTGCCAAACTAATTTATTAAAAGAGAGGTTCATTTTTATTCAAGATATTGGAACTTGGAAGCGACCATTTATTCAGTATTCCTCCATCGTTGGATGTTCAATGTAGTAGTCATGTAGAGCATAGCGTGAAAGATACTTCTATGATATAATCTTCTCTCTGTAGGTCCATTTTTGATCTGATCTATTAAGAGTTTAAACTATTATATATATATGGAATGTTGTGTTTTTAAAAGATGGATCCTCAGTATTTTCGTATCAATGAATATTTTACTTTGATATTAAATAGCGATAAAATAGATAATTTATAGGCTGGAGAAAATGACGTGTGCTACAATACATTTCCCCAGACTCGAAGTAACGATATTATCGTGGGAGGAGAGATCGCATTATCTAGTTAACAAGAAAGTGACGCACGAAATGGCGTAATTTCCTCCCCCGGACCACATGCATCTATATAAGTACACCACAAAACCATGTCAACGAGTCATTTTAGTATTATTTACATAAAATACATTTTCCTTTGGTATCAATAATTACTTTAATACAAGTATAGTTTAAGCAACGTATATATATTATTAACTCAGAAATATATATAATATCAGCGATGTACAATGACAAAAATAATACTAGTAATTTTAAAGTGTTAGAATATCAGAGTAGTGATATAATCACATGGGGTATTATATTATGTTATATTATTAGTAGTACTATCCGGTGGATTAGAAATATATATAAAATACAAAGAGTATTATAGGTTTTTTTGGCAAAAACAAAAATCCAACGTGCAAATGTTTATATCGGTCAAGAGAGAGAACGTGCACGAAAGTCCTAATAGTAATTATATTTTTAAAATTAGAAATATGTAAAACCAACGTGTTAACAACTCACGCGCTCTGTCTCGCGCGTCAGCCGACAATTTCGCTTTTTGTTACTGAATAAAAAAGAAACTAAACTAATTGAAATTGCCGCTTCGCATCTCGTGAACCATTCACGTTATTAAAAATCGACTGGCAGCTAGTGACGCGGGTACATAATAAAATAACGCACGTGCTACGACACGTGTCGAGTCACCAAAAGAACGCCACACGCAGAAGTCGCACTGCACGACGATGCACGTGCTTTTTGACTGACTATATCCGGTGACGTAACCGGGACCAGCCTGTTAGCTGCCTTTTGCGCCAATAGCAGAGGAGAAAAAGGAATCTTTTTCGTTTATTTTGTTTTAATTTTTATTTTTAAAAACTTAAATAAAGCTAATCGTGCTGTTCACATGTCGCATGCGACGAGGGTTAAAAAGAGAAATCGCGGTGTGTGTGTATTAACTTCAAACCACGTTTTTTCATTTTTTTTCCCCAAACTCTCTCGTTTGTTCCCTTTTCCGGCGACGCTTAATCGTGTTTTTGCTTTCCAGATAGATATTTGTTTGATTCCGGCGTTTAATAATCGTTTTTTTCCGAGATTTGAGATCGTACTATTGTGCGTCGTTGTGGCTTATCTGCGGCTTTGTATACATGGAGAGAGATTTTCTCGGGCTGGGTTCGAAAAATTCTCCGATCACTGTGAAGGAGGAAACCAGCGAAAGCTCCAGAGATTCAGGTTATTCCTCTTCGATTTTTTTTTTGTTTTTCCCCTGAATCTGGTTGGTTTAAAACCTCTCTGGTTGGATCGTATCAAGTTCTTCATCCAAATCGTCGATGTGCTGTTTTTGTTTTATTTTTGTAATTTCTGAATCAATCATGCGTTAGGAGTTAGTACCAATTTTGTTTTTTGAAATCCGGATTTTATTGCGTGCTCGGGAGCTGAATTTGTCAGATTGTCTCTTGGAGCAAAACATTTTCTCGGGAAACGGAACTGGGGATTTTAGATTTTACTATGAAATTAGTAGTACCATTCTTTTAGAGTAAGTCGGTGAAAAACGTGTTTTCGTACCAGAAATTAACGAGAACAAATTTTTAGAGCTTGCTTTTTTTTTTTTGGTTACACAATCAAGTTAGTACCAATTTTGTTTTGAATAGTCTAATAATTGAATAAAGGGGTAGTTTAATTAGTTTAATTTTAAAACGAATACGTAAATTGTTGGAAAAGAAGGGACGGGTACAAAAATAGATTAAAATATAGAGACGGTTGGTAGTAGGTAGAAGGTTAAGCATACACAAATGTACAAGTTGGTTTTTTTTTAATTATACGATGCTTATATTAAAATATTGGATGATTGTGTGTTGATTAAGTGAAACTGGGGTACGATATTAAAATAAAATTGAAGGTGCAATAAGAATTGAATAGTTTTCTCACCACGAGGAATAAAAATTATGTCCACTTTGTTTTCGTATTAGCCAAAACGTGCCATTCCATAAAAGTAGTGCATCGACATGTGCTCTGTGGAGTTAAAGTTGAATCTTTCTTTGTATTTTTTAAATCGAAGAATGTATATTAAATGATTACACTACTGGTTTTCGTACAATGATTTTGAATAAATGTTTTAAATCAGACATGGTTTCTAAGGTGGTTTTGTTGCCTCCGTTGATTTTTTAAACAATAGTATGAGATTCTTTTATACATAGTTGGTGAATCTTTTTCTTGGGTTGGGTGTTGAATTAATCGTCTGTTGATTAATGTAAGATCTCGAGACATTAATGGTTTTAACAATTACCACTGCATCCATGTCTGACTTTTAAACTGATGAAGTTCGATTGTTTCCTTCATTTTCTTTTTGCAGCTCCGAATAGAGGAGGAATGAATTGGTCATTCTCAAACAAAGCCTCTGCTGCTTCTTCTCAGTTCCTAACTTTCAGGCCATCCCAAGAAGAAAGACATAGAAAGTCTGGAAATTATCATCTTCCCCACTCTGGTTCCTTCATGCCATCATCAGTAGCTGATGTATATGATTCAAACCGCAAAACTCCTTACACTTCTGTACAGGTACATTTCATCATAACATATGTTGACCAATTATCAGTTTAGTTAGGGATTATGGACCCATGTCATGTGCCCTTTTTCCCTGTTAGGTTGCTTCAAAAGTGAGCCCTGTTTTTTTTATGGGTGTTGGTCTATTCTGGAACAAGTTTCTGTGGTGACTTCACATGGATCAACACTGTTGTTGGTAGTTTATGGCAGTCAGTTTCTGCATCTAGTCTTGGTTTAATAGTGATTCATTTTGAGTGTGAGCTAAGCTTCTCAATTTTGATAAACTAGTCGAAAGAGTTACCTTACACCAATATTATGGCTTCTCGATTTCAGGGAGGCAGGATGTTCCCAAGTTCCAATCACCATGACGAAACTAGCATGTCTATGCAGGGTCTCCAGTCTCATAATTATCCACATGGAGGAAAAAGCTTCATCAGCAATGGCATAAATTCGCAACCTTTGGTAGGAGTTCCTATAATGGCACCTCCAATTTCAGTCCTTCCTGCTCCTGGTTCCATTGTAGGGACAACCGATATTAGGTACCCACACTGCTTCTCTCTTCTCTGTTAGTCATCATAACATGAATTGTAGCTACGCAATCTCTTTAAAGTTAGTTGATTAAAGACTTTATTATTGTCTTTCAGATCTTCTTCCAAGGCATTAGGATCACCTGCTCAGCTGACCATCTTTTATGCCGGTTCAGTTTGTGTTTATGATGACATATCTCCTGAAAAGGTAACTCAAATCACTTTCCTTCATACATTCGTCTCTTTTTTCCCCCCGCAAATTATGGCGCTCTCATTTGCTTAATAATATCATTCCTCCATCACAGGCCAAGGCGATAATGTTGCTAGCTGGAAACGGTTCCTCTATGCCTCGAGCCTTTTCACCACCTCAAACTCATCAACAAGTGTCCCATCATGCACGCGCCTCTGTTGATGCTTCTGCTATGCGTCCTAGCTTCATGCCTACAGTCTCTTATCTTAGCCCTGAAGCAGGAAGTAGCACAAATGGACTCGGAGCAGCGAAGGCAACAAAAGGCTTTACGTCAACATACCACAAAAACCAAACTAATGCATCGAATATCAACTGTTCAGTGCCAGTTTCTTGTTCTACCAATGTAATGGCTCAAACAGGTAAAATAAAGTCTTTATACACCTGATGCTAAATTCCTCTACCTTACTGCTATATTTATGGCTCCAGAGCTTCAATCTCGTTCTGTTTCTTTATGCAGTGGCTTTACCTCAGGCTCGCAAAGCTTCCCTGGCTAGGTTCTTAGAGAAACGCAAAGAAAGGTACACAACAATTCTTCACAGAATAAACCAATTTTAACGGTTTCTTGAGCTAAGTTAAATCTCTGACTCTTTTTCTTCAGGGTCGTATCGCCATACTGCTTAGATAAGAAGTCATCAACAGATTGTCGGACACCAATGTCTGAATGCATAAGTTCTTCACTCAGCTCTGCAACCTAATCCCATTTGCAGTAACCAGTCCAGATCAATCTTTGCATTTTCTCAGTTTTCTTTTCTTGCTACAGAATTTGGCTACAACCGAAATTCTTCTTAGCTTATATACTATAGTGTATACTTCATTTATCAGATTTTTGGTTGAATGGAAATGATGAGAGAAACCAGCATATGTACTTCGGAAAGTAGTAGAAACTGTTACTTATTGTCTCTACTCTTTTGTTACATAACAGTCAAGCTCGCATTTGTATTCTATATCTCCTGGTTGTCTCAATGCAAATATCCCGAGATAGTTTTTGATTTTAAAGAAAAAAATAGAATTTAGAAGAAAATTCTTCTCGATCTATTTACAGGATGTTAATTTTTTTTGTATATTCGAAGGAACTTTATATTTTTCTCTATTATAAAAAAAAAGAAAATTATTTGTAAATTGGTCTCTTAACTTAAATCTTTTTTATTTGAAAAATAATAGACTGTTTATATAACTTTTTTTTTAAAAAAAAAATCTTCAATCAATTAAATACATAAACTAAGACATAATTCACAATAGACATTAGTAGACAAGAATAACAAAACTATACAAAGGTTACTTTGAACTAGAATAAATTGGCCAGCCTAATTATAAAATGGTAATCCCATGTATTTCTGTTTATTTAAGGCGAATACGGAAAATTTGCAACGTAAATTAATTTCACTTTTAGAAAAATTAAGAATGTTTAAGGTATAATTTAAAAATCCAATATATTTTGGTGAAGCATATAAAACTCTATATATTTTATATTTTTTTTTTTATCAACTATATATTTTATGATCTAGTAGTACTTAAGAAATGCTAAGCCGCCTAGTAAAAGCAAATTGTAGGGTCCAAATGGTAGCCGAGAGTTAATAGAATAAATATAATTGAATTTATATAATTAAATGAAATAAAGAATGAAATTCCTCTAACATTAGTTCTCTTGTGAATAATATTTAAGAATGAGAAAAAAAATATTGTAAACTTATTACTTATGTAAATTGTCTCAAATAAGATAACAACGATCACATCATAATCTATGATATTGATTTGTTACTTCAAGTCAACCAACATAATCTCTTTTTTCAAAAATCTTAAAATAGATCAAATTCAACTACCTTTTATTCAATTGTCACAATTTATGCACTAGTCATGCAGTGGAGTACATACTAATCAAATGATAAAGTTGTCCAAAACTCTTGGCTACTGCATTATCACTTTATCAGTAATAACTACGTTATTAACAATGGAATAACATTAAAAGTATTAAAAAAAAAAATTTATAGCTGAATTTCAGATCGATTATAAGGGCACATAGACCTCCATAAATGGCAACATGGCAGCGGAGAACAACATCGTTGAATGCATTTTCAAGTCCAGCACTATCCACATCCAAAAACTGGAGAAGTAGAAAATAAAAATGGTTTAGTTTTAGATTAGGCAAATTTGAATGAAATGTAGAAACTTACCTCATAGTCTGCCCTTTTGTATCTAAATAGTCTCAAATGCACATGCACATGCTACTTTTGCAGCGATGATGCTCTCCATAGTACCATGTCGCCTAACGTCGTTCACAAACTCCAGTATGCCTTCTAATTTGCCCATTTTAGAGCTAATTAGAATCAGCTTCAAATGGCAATCAATAATATGTTTCGGGATAGTGGAGGTTTGGAGCTCTTGTTAGTACATCTATAAAGCCTTATCGAGATCTCATATATTGTAGTGGAGCTGTCCTAACTTATTGTAAGCTATCCTCCATAATTCCACATATTTTTTTTCTGCTTGCCAAAAGAGAAAGACACAAAATTTTAAAATACATTAGTTGACTTCATTTCTATAAAACACTTCAAAATCATACTTTATGATAAAGAAAATAACCCCAAGTGATGCAATGGTGCCTCATGAATCTCATTCATCAACGTAAAATGAGAACTAGCTTGATCGCACCACATTGTTTCATCATCTTCAACTTTCACGTTGTAGTTGAGTCTCATCCTAAGGAGATAATCCGAACTGTCTCCAAGCTTGATCAAACAGCAAACCTCATTGAGGCTTGCAGTGCAATCTTAAACATAGTCCACACAAAACAAAAGTTTCTCAATCTTGAACCAAGGGCTGTACATGTCTGAACATCTGTCCATTGCTTCTCTGAAATCGTTTATTCTTCTTGTACAATCTCACAATCTGAAAAAACAGTAAATAGTTCAAAAATCAGATGCTTATCAACATGATATATTATCTTAAACAGATTAATATTTGGATGCCTATCAACAGTTTCGTAAATCTGATACATATTTCTTTATCAATAATCCCTTAACAATCTTAATCGAAGGAAATAAGAAATTCATAATTATAAAGAAATATTTAGAAAAAATCATCAAGGTAAAAAAACACTTAAAATCACATATATGTATAATTTTATTATCTTCAAGTTCCATACGAGTAAGCCACATAAAGATAATAATATGGAAGAAGATGATGGTAGAGAAATTTTTTGATGATGACATTAATGAGAAAGACAAATAAATGAAAACGAGAAAAGTATATTATGTCTATATATCCTAAATATTAATTTACTTTTATATTAGTTCTTTTGTGAATAAAAATGTTTAAGAATGAGAACAAATTATTGTCAACTTAATTATTACTTATGGAAATTGTCTAAGATGAAAACAATAACATCATAATCTATGATGCTGATTTGTTACATCAAGTCAACCAAAATAATCTCTTTTTTTTTTCAAAAATCTTAAAATAGATCAAATTCAACTATTTTTTTCTTTAATTGTCACAATTTATGCACCAGTAGATTACATATTGATCAAACGACATATTTCCATATGCGGTCGTTGTCCAAAACTCCTTGCTCTAAGTGATAACTATGTTATTAACAATGTTGAAATAACATTAAAAAGTATATAAAAAATATCATACCTAAATTTTAGATCGATCATATGTTGCAGGGCACATAGACCTCCATAAATGGCAACATTGCGGAGGAGAATAACATTGTTGGATGCATTTCTAAGTTAAGAATCAGAAATCAAAAACATATAAGAAGATAAAGAATTGACAATGAAAAATAAGAAAGACGACACATACCTTCAATTGGTTCTCGACGAGATTGAAGATGGCGATACAAAACACTCAATAATTTTAAAGGTTTAAGAACTTTTACTAAGGTAATGGTTTAATGATTTTTACTCGGGATGTATGTACAAAACACTCAATAATTTTAAAGGTTTAAGAACTTTTACTAAGGTAATGGTTTAAGGATTTTTACTCGGGATGATGTATGTGAAGTAGCTGGGAAAGGCAAGTAAATTAGCTAACGGGTTAAATGTATAAATGGTTTAGTATTTTGGGTAACCGATCGAACCAATATTCATAATTCTTAATTTGAGGTAAGGCAAATACAGAACCGGTTTGACCGGTACACAACCAGAAAGATCATAACTCTGTAGTCCTTGTTGTCTGGCTAATGCTGAAAGGAACACAATTGAATCAACCGATACGATACGCAGAACTGTGTAATACAAAAGGCATGCCTCACCTCCAACAAATATAAACCTTTAGAATTTGTAATTTTTAAAAAATATTATGTATCAAAATAGTTTTCTTGATTAAGTTTTAGCAATAGTAATCCAAATTCGACTCTTTAGTGATAGATTTTTTTTTTATATATATTATGCCTTTTACCAAAATATAGACTCTAATAATCAGAAAAAAGAATTCAAATTTCAACCTGTGTTGGTAATAATCTTTTTTTCTATCATTTTCGCACAATTTTAATTTGTTTTTTATTTATCTAAAAGAATAATTATGATTCATTGCTTCTAAACTTGTATTATTCTAACGTTTTATGTTAATTATATTTACAAAAAAATATTTTTAAAAATATTAATTTTAAAATTGGCCTAAAGCTACTCGAAACCTATGCACGGCACTGACGATAAGATCTGACACATCGGAGGATTATCACCGTACGATCCTAAGGAGCTGAAGGTTTCGTATCATTGATATAAGTTTTTTTCGAGTGTGATGGATGCGAGTAATGTAGCAGAGCTGAGAAGAATCGTGGAGCAGTTGTAATCGAATCCTTCGATTCTCCACGACCCTTGTCTGATTTTCTCCAAGGTATGTCTCCGAAGGTGTCTGATTCTTCTCTGATTGAGGAATTTCATTCGTCTGGGTTGTTCTGTTCACTTCTTCTCGTACATTTTAGGAGCTCAAGTTCCGAAGATTGAGAACACTGTAAGCTGTCTTGTTATGCAGCTCTCATGTTTTGGTTTAGGTTTCTTCACGGACAGGATGTTTGTTTCTTGGAGCACTGATAGAATTGAAGTCCTGTCATTTCCACTTGAATCGATAAATTTTTTATCTCTCATTCGTCATGGTTCTATATGTATCCCACTTAGTCAACTTGGTGATTGTAAGTTCATCAATGGCTAAAGGCTAAAGCTGGTATTGTAATGAATCTTTTCAATTATTTGTAATCGTGTACATGTGGTTTCCTTGATTCCAACTTTTCATTGACATTGTGTTGGTTCAGAATTACTGTTATGTTATCTGTCGCAAAATTGAAACCCGAATTTAACCGATATTTAACCAAGGCATAATAATTTACACTTTACAGCATCGAATAACTGATTTACTTTTACACAACGCATAAGCAGATAAACCTGATATCAAAACCGGTTACAACTTACATCGGCTTTTCCCGATACGGGACGACCGATCATAAGGAGCTGAAGGATCCGAGGAGAGTAGTAGTCAAAATGATGGATGCAAATCAGGTAGCTGAGCTGCGAAGATTCGTCGAACAGTTGAAATCGAATCCTTCGATTCTTCACGATCCTTCTCTGGTCTTCTTCAAGGAATACCTCCGAAGGTCGTTGTTTCCTCTATGCCTCGAGCCTTTTTTACCACCTCAAACTCATCAACAAGTGGTCCATCATGCACGCGCCACTGTTGATGCTTCAGCTATGCGTCCTAGCTTCATGCCTACGGTCTCTTATCCTAGCCCTGAAGCAGGAAGTAGCACAAATAGACTCGGAGCAGCAAAAGCAACAAGAGGCTTTACGTCAACATGCCACAACAACCAAACTAATGCATCCAATATCAACTGTTCAGTGCCAGTTTCTTGCTCTACCAATGTAATGGCTCAAACAGGTAAAATGAAGTCTTCATACACCTGATGCTAAATTCCTCTACCTTACTGCTATATTTATGGCTCCAGAGCTTCAATCTCGTTCTGTTTCTTTATGCAGTGGCTTTACCTCAGGCTCGTAAAGCTTCCCTGGCTAGGTTCTTAGAGAAACGCAAAGAAAGGTACACAACAATGCTTCACAGAATAAACCAGTTAACGGTTTCTTGAGCTAAGTTAAATCTCTGACTCTTTTTCTTCAGGGTCGTATCGCCATATTGCTTGGATAAGAAGTCATCAACAGATTGTCGGACACCAATGTCTGAATGCATAAGTTCTTCTCTCAGCTCCGCAACCTAATCTCATTTTCTCAGTTTTATTTTCTTGCTACAGAATTTGGCTACGCCGAAATTCTTCTTAGCTTATATACTATAGCGTATACTTCATTTATCAGAATTTTGGTTGAATGGAACTTATGAGATAAAACCAGATATGTACTTCGGAAAGTAGTAGAAACTGTTACTTATTGTGTCTCTACTCTTTTGTTATATATATCAGTCAAGCTTGCATTTGTATGTTTCATACCATTGAATAGGATCGCTTCTATTTTTAGTTTCTCTAATCAGTTAAATTAGGTTGTCTCTATATGAAGAAGCCCGTTAAGAAATGCTGATTTTTCTTCTCTTTCATTTAAATTTGCATTAGCTAGAAATCGGATTTATATATATATATATATATATATGTTTGCCTTTCGTATTGTATTAAAACAAAGCAATATCTAATCAAATCATGCGATTTTCCAAATTAGGAAATTAGTCAAATTTTCCAAATTATCATTTACTCCAACAACCCGTAGGTTTTATTTAAACAATTCATCTAGAAGCAGAATTTCATGAACAAAACGATTATTAAAACAGGTAGCAAAATCAGAAAACAGACAAAGTGTCGGAGTGGAGAGAGTTGGAGAGAGTTCTGGAAGCAGAATTTCAGCTTTTTCTTAAATTATGCAGAGCATTGGACAGAGACAGTTACAAATACAGATTTAACTAGGACATGACAAATAGCCGCTCACTTCATCAATGGACCCTTCGATTCGACTGTCCAATATCAGCTCCTTTACCAACTCCAGAGCTTCCTACGAGAGACTATATATCATGACATTGAAGTCGTTAATATGCTTTGTGAGATTGTCAAACGATGATTTGTTGGTGACATCATAGATAAGAACATAACAACACACTTGATCTAGTGGATAATCACATTCGAAACATGTATCAAAACTTGATATACTAAGGCATTAGTTTTTCCATGAGCATAACATACATTACTATTTATTGATGAAATTTTTCTTTTTGTGCAAAATGAAAACAAAAAACATAATTAATTCATGTTTTTTGTTGTTGTTTATGGAATGAATTAAGGAAATTTAATGGAATCATAAACAATTTTAACCAAAAAATTAAATAAATGAGGTCAGCTGACCCTCTACCACCTTGCTAGCTCTGCCCTAAGGCATTAGTTCTTCCATGAGCTATATCAGGAACTAATATATCAAGTTTTGATACATGTTTGGAATGTGATTATCCACTAGATGAAATGTGTTGTTGTGTTCTTGTCTATGATATCACGAACAGAACATAGTTTGACTCATTGTAGAGAACATAAGAAATAGAGAAAACTGATAAATTATCTGCTGTCACCTAAGACTCATTATAGCTGCAAGAAAAACCAAGACCATTGAATTAAAAAAATATATATATACAAAGATATCGATTGAATAAACCACATAGAGAAAAACAAGAAGATAAATCGCTAGATATTGCATAGGCTGAAACCTATTACTCTTGAACTTGTGTGTGAATCAGTAATGGAGCTGAGGGAAAATCATGTTCCTCTTAACGACAACAACATAATCGAACATGATCTAGGAGAACAAAAAATCATCAATTTGGTTTACTAAGTTAACCAAGAAAATGATGATAAATCTTTACATTCAAGCTTAATGACATTGTTATTCATATTTATACATATTTCCTCAAAGTAGTTTATGTGTCTTTCCCCGATGTTGCAATTATGCTTTTTTCTTCTTGGATGGTGATGAATGAATTACAGCTATTATTATCCTTGGGCACATGATAGAATAGATTGTTGTCCTTGTTAAAAGTTGCAACTTGGAATACAAGTTTATTCCTTACGGTTTCTACTTGCGTTCAGATAATATGTTGTTTCGTTTCAGAAACTGCCTAAACCATTGAGCAGACATCTTGGTTACCTCTTCAAAGTTTTGTAATCAACAGAAATTAACGACCCCGAACCTATACAATTAAGAACAAAACAGCAAAATACTTAAAAAAAAATTATTCGGAAATAACACAGATTGAATCAGCTAACTTAATTAATGTACTGTGAAGTATATATCCTGCTAATGAGTCGAAACTATCAAGCAACGACCGCGTGAAATATATAGTCACATTGGCTCCTTCATCAACCGAACGTGATATGCCTCTACGAAAATAAGTAATGGGAGATGCCATATAATCTTCTTGTTCCTTAACAATCCATGACAAGTAGAAGAAGCGCAGTCCTGTGTATTCATTACCATCAGAACACACGACAACTTTCTTCTCCTTGTCAATAATGAAGAAGCTCATGAGATTCTCAAAACAATAGCGTGAAGGTCTTGAATCTATATATTGTTAAAAACTTGCTCCACGACACAAACGTGGTCTCAATCTCATCGGTCATCCATATTTCCACATTGCGTGTTACTGTACACTGATGTAAGAACGAAAGATGTTCTTCTCCAACAACGGAGAGAGCAGTCGTGTCAACGCGGCATGGATTATGATAAGAACGGCGTGGTTTAGGATGAAAGGGAGCACACAAACGCTGAAACCTCTCTGTTGAGAAATCAAAACTGATTAGTGAGTAGACGCTGCCTCCTTGTTGATTAGAGGACATCCAATAAGTGTTTCCCTTTAAAGACACGCCGCTGCAAGGTTGTATGTAGGCTTGAGTGATGGCATCAAGATTCCTCCATTATTCTACATACAAAAAAAGAAGTTAAATAGCGACAGAAATATAAAAAAATATTAGAGGGAAAAATTATCGAATGTGTATTAGTACTCATTATCCATATAATAATTAGATATAAGAAACAGAAATTCCTTAGAATGCAATGGAAAAAAGAGATGGAGATTTAAAAGAAGAGAAAGAAGGAAAACAAAGAGGTGATGTAGTTGATTTGGTCACTTTTAGGTTTGATGAATCAGAGCGTACGAGAGAAGACGATGATGATGCTTGACTTTGTTTAAGAATGCAAAATGAACCTTTTTTTTCTGTGTTTTATTTCTTATAATTGGTAAGAAAAATGAGAGTGTACGAGAGGTGTGTGATAAGAGCTAAATAGTTGATAATCTCGAGTTGTATATTATAGTTAACAAAAATCTGAGGATAAAAGGTGATAAGAGTTAAATAGTTGATTGCTACTAATTAGTTACACATGAAATTGGAATTAAATTCATTCAAATTCTTTCACATCAAAGGAATTGTAAAAGTCTATCAAACATGAATAACACAAGAGTATCTTTAGTTGAATAACAATGGATTTCAATCTCTTTTATAAAAAAGATTATATATACAAGAACCAATAATTAAAAGATATCATAAATTCAAGAACCAATAACACTAGCTAGATTTTAATTAATGATTTAAAATAAATTATAGATTATAAATATATAATTGAACAGCACCCCTTAATGAATAAGAAAAAAAAAGTTAATGGAAAATTTTCAATTTGGAAAAGGAAAATAAGCTAAAACACTAATCTTAAAAGAAAAAAAAATACTACACACATCTATATAAATACATAAAATTTCTAATAAATTTTCACTAAACAAAATAATACTTTTGAACTTCATTTTTTTTTCCATCTGAAAGATTAACATTAAAACCTTGAGGAATACATTTATGAAATACAGGATCTTATGCAAAGAACTGAACTTCATTCTATAGGTATAATTTTTCTTCTTTATTGTATTATTACTATTAAAACTCTTTATACAGTATTTCAAATTTTTATTTATTATGATTCATTCGGTATTTTAATTTTTTTTATCCTTTATGATTCGTTTGCTAAATATTGTATTCATTTAGAGTATTTTTGGTATTTAATAATTAGATAATTTAAAAAAATACATGCAAATTTGCAACGTATAATTATAAAAAATGAAATCTTAAATGCTAATGATATGACATTAGACGATTATGAGTGGAAGTAGGATCATCAACAATTATTTAAAATAAATCATATATTATAAATCTATAATTGAAAACACCCCCTAAATGATTTCTTAATATATGCTTGGAAACATTAAAAATCCTTTTAAAATGAGTAAATGTTAAATGTACTTGTAACGATTTTGCTTATTAAGTCATATGAAATGTTCAAGAACGCTTCTTAAACCATTTGCTTTATCCAACCCGGTATTGTTGGACTCAGGTCTAAAATCTAAGTAAATGCTTGCAAAGTAAAAAGGCTGATTTTTTACCATGTAGAACAACCGCTATAAAATGTCATTGATGAGCATTTGCAATAAGACGAAAACCAGAATTTGGCAGAACATACAAGATTCGTTCAGTTTTTTTTTTCCAAAAAGTCATTAGTGTTTAACGTGGCTTTAAAGATGAGAGCGTTAATTCGAGTCCACACAAACTTGTTCAGTTTTTTTCGCTTCTCAACGCATAGCAGCAAGAAAAAAAAAAGATACAAGTAAGAATCATACCAAAAAAAAAGTAAAATAAAGACGGATCTTATTAGGAAATGAAGCAAAAGAAACTAAAATGCTAATTTTGGAGCATAACCAAACAATCTTTGGAACATGTCTGCTTGGCAAAACGCTTACATGATATGACAAATGACCTATCGCGCAGTTCTGTTGATATGAATGAAATCTGTATCACTAAATGGTATGACTTGATCAGTTTCTGTAACTCTTGTGTTCTCATCTTCTTCAGCACATACTCCATGTAGGTTTTGATAAATGGATCAACGATTATTGTCCCCCAGTAATACTACATATCAAAATCATTTAATCATCAGTATTGATTTTAGATATATGTGAAGAAAACCTCTAGATATATGTGAAGGAAATCCTTACTTCACTTACCTCTCGTACCTTCTCAAACTTTGCAAAATCATTTCTTTGATATGCTCATATCAAACATTTCATTGTGAAGATCCCATGGTCATTATTGTCATTGATTAGAGCATCCATGTTCACATGCCTCCATCGAGCCAGGCTTTATTCTTTGATCTTTGATGGGATGCTCTAACAATGGGTTTATTCTTTCTCTTTCTTTTTGAAAAAAGAATCTGACATCTAAACCTGTTTGACCAATACACAGCAATGATGAAATGTTTGGTTTAGGCGACGTTACATCGGCTTTTCCCGAACAAAATCATAATCTATGATACTGATTTGTTATTTCAAGTCAACCAACATAATCTCCCTTTTCCAAAAATCTTAAAATAGATCAAATTCAACCTACTTTTTCTTTAATTGTCACAATTTATGCACTAGTCATGCAATGGATTGCATACTGATCAAATGGCATACCTCTATATACAGTCATTGTCCAAAACTCTTTGCTACAACATTATCAGTAATAACTATGTTATTAACGATGGAATAACATAAAAAGTATTAAAAAAAATTATATCTGAATTTCAGATCAATCATAAGGACACATAGACCTCTATAAATGGCAACATGGCAGCGGAGAATAACATCGTTGAATGCATCTTCAAGTCCAGCACTATCCACATCCAAAAACTGCAGAAGTAGAAAACAAAAATGGTTTAATTTTAGATTAGGCAAATTTGAATGAAGTGTAAAAACTTAACTCATGATCTGCCCTTTTGTATCTAAATAGTCTCATTTCCCTAATGCATATGCACATGCCACTTTTGCAGCGATAATGCTCTCCATAGTACCATGTTGCCTAACATCGTTCACAAACTCCAGTATGTCTTCTAGTTTGCCCATTTTAAAGCTAATTAGAATCAGCTTTAAATGGCAGTCGATAATATGTTTCCTTTAGTACAAGCTTGGAGCTCTTGTTGGTACATCTATAAAACCTTAGCGAGATCCCAGTTATTGTAGTGGAACTGTCCTAACTTATTGTAAGTTATCCTCCATAATTCCACATATTTTTTCTGCTTGTCTAAAGAGAAATACACAAAAATTTAAAATACATTAGTTGACTTCATTTCTATAAAAGACTTCAAAATCATATTTTATGATAGAGAAAACAACCTTTAGGTGATAGCAATGGTGCCTTATGAATCTCTTTCATCAATGTAAAAGATGATCTGGCTAGATCGCACCACATTGTATCATCATCTTCAACTTTCATGTTGTAGTTGAGTCTCATCCTGAAGAGATAATCCGAACTGTCTTCAAGCTTGATCAAACAGTGTTTTTTTACTTTGATGACTTTTTTCCAAATATTTCATCATAATTCTAAATTGCTTATTTGCTTTGGTTAGGATTGTTAAGGTATTATTGATAAAGAAGTATGTATTAGATTTGCGGAACTATTGATAAGCATCCAATTATTAATCTGTTTAAGAATAATATATCATGTTGATAAGCATCCGATTGTTGAACTTTTTACTGTTTTCTCGGATTATGAGATTATACAAGAAGAATAAACTATTTCAGAGAAGCAGTGAATAGATGTTTCAGACATGTACAGTCCACGTTTCAAAATTGAGAAGCTTATGTTTCGTGTGGACCGGTGTGGACCATGGTGAAGATCGAACTGCAAACCTCATTGAGGCTTGCAAAATCACATGCATATATAATTTTATTATCTTCAAGTTCCATATGAGTAAACCACATTAAGATGATATATGGAAGAAAAAGATGGCGGAGAAATTTTTTGAAGACCGGAAAAGTATCTTATGTCTATATATTCTAAAATTAGTGAGGAAGACATATAAATGCAGACCAGAAAAGTATCTTATGTCTATATATCCTAAAATTTTAATTTACTTTTACATTAGTTCTTTTGTGAATAAAAATGTTTAAGAATGAGTAAAAATTATTGTCAACTTAATTATTACTTATGGAAATTGTCTCTTAATAGATGAAAACAATAACATCATAATCTATGATACTGATTTGTTACTTCAAGTCAACCAATATAATCTCTCTTTTTCAAAAACCTTAATTTAGATCAAATTCAACTACTTTTTTCTTTAATTGTCACAATTTATGCACCAGTGGATTACATACTGATCAAGCGACATATTTTCTTGTGTGTTGTTGTCCAAAACTCTTTGCTGCCACATTATAAGAAAATAACTATGTTATTAACAATGTTGTAATAACATTAAAAAGTATATAAAAAACCATACCTAAATTTTAGATCGATCATATGTTGCAGGGCCACATAGACCTCCATAAATGGCAACATCGCGGAGGAGAATAACATCATCGAATGCATTTCCAAGTTCAGAATCAGCAATCGGAAACAAAGAAGAAGATAGAGAATCAACAACGAAAAATAAGAAAGACGACACATACCTTCAACTGAATTCTCGACGAGATTGACCATGGCCATACAAAACACTCAATAATTTTAAAGATTTAAAAACTTTTACTTAGATAATGGTTTACGGACTTTTACTTGGGACGATGTATGTCAAGCAGCTGGGAAGGGCAGGCAAATTGGCTAACCGGTTAAATGCATAAATGGTTTTGTGTTTTGGATAACCGATCAAACCAATATCCATAATTCTTAATTTGAGTTAAGGCAAATATAGAACCGGTTTGACCGGTACACAACCAGAAAGATCATAACTCTGTAGTCTTCGTTGTCTGGTTAATGCTGAAAGGAACACAATCGAATCAACCGATACGATACGCAGAACTGTGCCACATGTGTAATACAAAAGGCATGCCTCACCTCCAACAAATACGAACCTTTCGAATTTGTAATTAAAAAAAATATATTATGTATCAAAATAGTTTTTTTAGGGGTGGGCATAAAAACTATAACCGAAAAACCAAACCATACCAAATCGAAAAAGTGTTATGGTTTGGTTATGGTTAAACATAAAAATTCATTTGGCTTTTATTTTTTATAGCTTTGGTTTAGATTTGGTTTGGTTAAAAACCGTCAAACCAATAAGTTTTTCAGTTTTTAAACTAAATTTTAAATAATTTATATTTTTCTAGTTTTTTAATTTAATTTAGTTTAGGTATATATTTTATTATTTAGCTTAGTTATCTTTATAATTTACTAATTTAACTAATAAATTTAAAATATAATATTTATAAAAGATATCTGTATACAAATAATAAAATAAACCTTAAATTTTCATGATTAACTCTTTTTTCTTCACATTCAAATCTTCTGGTTCTAGTTTCAAGGGTATAAGTATTAAATGTTAATCGAAATTTATTTATTATTTTATAATTATTGATTATAAAATATTTGATAATTTGTTTGTTTCTCTGTTTTGAAATCTGTCATTATTGATGAATTTTTTATGATTTAGATTCTATTTTTTGGATTTATTGTTTTATTTCACTCATATCTATTATTATTATTTTCATTAGTTTGAATCAAAAACATTCGTAATAGTATAATTTCAAAAACCGAAATCAAACCATATCAAATCGAATCGTAAAAAACTAAACCATACCGAACCGAAATATATATAGCTTTTTAGCAATAGTAATCCAAATTCGACTCGTTAGTGATAGATTTATTTATTTATTTATATTACGAAAATATAGACTCTAAAATCAGAAATTAGAGGAATTTGGGTGGATTTTAGTCTTTTTAGATTTAGCGAGATTTTAGGCAAGTTGTAGAACATCCGGTTATTTTATAAGATTTTAGGCATTGTGTTGGTTGAGAATTACGACGGTAATGTGTCGCAAAATTGAAACCCAACATTAACCGATATTGTACTTCCAAAAAATCATGTAAGCAGATAAACCTGATATCAAAACCGGTTCGACTGGTACACAGCAACTATGATATGTTCGGTTTAGTCGACGTTAATTCGGATTTTGCCGAACGAACACAAACGAATCAACCGATACGGGACGATCGATCCTAAGGATTCGAGAGTAGAAGTCAGGATGATGGATGCGAATCAGGTAGCTGAGCTGCGGAGATTCGTCGAACAGTTGAAATCGAATCCTTCGATTCTTCACGATCCTTCTCTGGTCTTCTTCAAGGAATATCTCCGAAGGTCGTTGATTCTTCTCTGACTTCATTTTTCCTCTTTCTCCCGATGAATTGACTTTATGCTGATGTGAGTTTCTGATCGATGATGATTGTTCCCGTTTCCTCTTACAGTTTAGGGGCTCATGTTCCTAAGATAGAGAGAACTGTAAGTTGTGCAACTCTCTTGTTTTTGGAGCTTTGATAGAATATTCTCAGGTTTTTGGTTTGTCTATCTTGAGATTCCACTTGAAATACTTTTGTTGGGATACTTTCTCATTTGCATTCCCACTTAGTCAATTGTGTGAGTTCATCAATGGCTAAAGCTGGTTTTAGTAACGAATATCACTTAGTCATAGACTGTTCTTGCTTGGGTTTTGCCTTCTTGGTATTGTTACCAGCGAGAATTTGATTGACCGAAAAACCTTTCTAAAATGTTGATCGATGGTTCTCTTGTATGTCTCATCTCAATGATGAACCATAATGTAGGAAAAAGATAATGAAGATAAAGCTGAGACAAAACCCAGTTTCTCTCCTGAGCATGATGATGAAATTGTCGAGTCAGATGTTGAACTGGACAATTCTGATGTAGTTGAACCAGACAATGATCCTCCTCAGCCGGTAGGTTGTGAAGATATATCGTCTTTGGATATTAATTAAATGTTGTCTCTAAGCAAATCTTCCATGATCCTTTCATTCTCTTACATTTTCTCATAGATGGGAGATCCTACAGCTGAAGTGACGGATGAAAGTAGGGATGCTGCTCAGTCAGAGAAGAGCAAAGCCATGGAAGCAATCTCTGAAGGTACAACACAACCATTAAAAGTCTTATATTTTTTTAGTTCATAGACTTTCTACATTGTTTCTTTACTCCTTGATCGTCATCCAGGAAAGTTCGACGAAGCTATACATCATTTAACAAAAGCCATCATGCTAAACCCCACTTCAGCAATTCTCTACGCCACCAGAGGTAAGTTTTTTTTTTTACTCTCTCTCTCTCGCCCTTTTCAACCGAATGTGGGTGATCATTCTGAATATTTGTACTTGTTGTTTCCCAGCTACTGTGTTTCTAATTGTTAAAAAGCCTAATGCTGCAATCCGGGACGCAAACGTGGCTTTACAGGTGAGCATTTACTTTGAGTCACATAAACTTATTCATTTTGTGCAAAAGATAGTATTGGGAAAGCAAATTTGTGTCTAAATAGTTTTATGGTTTGGGGGGAAAGTAATGTACCATCTCAATGGTTTTCTTCCATAAACTAGCTAATCTAGTTGGTTTTGGGGTTTAGTTCAACCCTGATTCAGCCAAGGGGTACAAAGCACGTGGTATGGCTATGGCCATGTTAGGCCAATGGGAAGAAGCTGCGGCTGATATTCATGTAGCATCAAAGTTAGATTACGATGAAGAGATTGGGTCGGCGCTTAAGACGGTAACTATGGAAACCTCTTAACCTTTGTTGAGATTACAGTATGCTCATAGCCTCAAAATGATGTTTTATTGTACCAAAAATCTGCTATTAATGCATACTTCACAGGTTGAACCCAATGCAAAGAAAATCGAAGAACACCGTAAGAAATATCAACGTCTGAGGAAAGAAAAAGAACTCCAAATTGCTGAACGCAAGAGACGAGAACAGCAAGAAGCCCAGGTCCGGCCGACCCATTCCCATGATTAGTGATTCTTATATAATGCTGTTTCGCTGCTCTCCTTTGAATTTTTTTTACATTCTTAGCAATAGAACCTCTTTTGACATTATCAACTTCATATCATATCAAAAATCTCACGCTCATTGATTTGTCTCTCCTTGCCCTTGGAACCTACCAATGCAGGAGCGAGAAGCTCTGGCTGCACTCAAAGACGGTAAACATTCTATCCATTTCTTTCAACGGCTCAACAAGCTTTTGTTAGCCACTAAATCCAGTTGATTAGGCTTGCTTAAGATTGTTAATCCCGTTCTTCCAGTTTCAAGTTCATTACTTCCCTGAGAAACTATGCAAATCCATTTTAGAACCATAACCTCCCAGCAAAAGCAAATTTAGAGGATGAGTTAGTGGAAACTCATGGTGTATTGACGCCTGTAGCGTTCTGTTTTTAGTGGATACTGCTAGTTCCTCAAGGTTTTATATGCTGATCACAAGTATGAGACATATTGTATTTGTATCCACAATGAGAAAAGCAACTCGCATGTATCTTAAATCTTCATTATCCTCACAGAGCTTCTTTACAGCTTTTATAAAACCAAAAATGAAACTTTACATGTCAAAAACGAGATAGTCCATCTTTTAATTTCTCCCTGATGATGCAGGACAAGTGATTAGCATCCACTCGACAAGTGAGCTAGAAGCAAAGTCAAAGGCCGCAAAGAAGGCATCGCGTCTGCTCATCCTATACTTCACAGCGACATGGTGTGGACCGTGCCGTTACATGTCTCCTCTGTTCTCAAACCTGGCCACGCAGCATCCGAGAGTTGTCTTCTTGAAAGTTGACATAGATGAGGCCAACGAAGTGGCTGCTTCTTGGAACATTAGCAGCGTACCGACCTTTTGCTTCATCAGAGATGGCAAACAGGTGGACAAAGTTGTCGGAGCTGATAAAGGCTCGCTTGAGCAGAAGATTGCTCAACACTCTTCTTCTAAGTAATGGTATGGCTCGTTCGTTTCTCTCTTCTCCCATTGCTCTCATGGAGACTTCGCACTGTATCTTTACAACACAACTGTTGTCCCATAGTTTTAATAAAAAAATTGTGATGTACAATCTTTTCAAGTCTTTGTACCCTTTTAGTTCCATTGGCATTGTGTTCGTTCAGAATTACGTTATGTGTCACCAAATTGAAAACATCTTTAATTAAATACGATGATGATTTGGGTTTTAGTTATTCAAAAGGGCTTTAGGCCCAATAAACGAGAGTGATTTCTTCAGATTTTCAGGAGTCAGCGGAGAAAGAAGGGTCAAATAAACTTGATGGATGGGAATGTAAGGCGGTTACCACCGTGGATGCTCGCCGGCGCGTCCTCCGGTGTAACAGCTACAAGCAATCGAACAGACAACAAAACTGTCGAGGGCAAAAGAAAACATGAACCAGAAGCTTCCAAGGCAAAGGCCGAGAAACGACCGAGAAGAACCGTAAAAATCGGAAAGAGAGATGGTTCTGACGAACCCAAAAAGGTGGGAATCAAGAGCAGAGGAGAAGAACAATTTCGTAGCAAAATCGGGGAAGAAGAAGCTAAGCCTAGTATTGTTGATGGCAAGAATCCGGAGATTATTCAATCCGTAACTGGTCGAGAAGATGAGGATCTCACAGTTGATGATTTATTAAGCTTTGCTCAAGAGGTATGCGATTATGATTTTTTCATATTTGTGGCTATTAGTGATTTACTTAATTTGCTTAAGGTCCTTTTTGTTATTTTCTGATTAAAACCATGAATCCACAGTATGTCAAAGGTGAAGAAGACCAGACGAGGAAAAGCTTGTCAATATCTGAATCAGATATGGATGAACCAGATATGACATCATCTCAAAGAGAAGAACCAAATGGAACCAGAGATCAAACAGCAGCGGACATGTTAGATTTGATACTGGGTCCTTTTTTCAAGACATCTCAACAGTAACGATGATGATTTTAACATGGATCGATTTAGATGGAACTGGATCAGATTTATCACTTCTACATATTTCTTCTAAAGTTCTTTGGGATTTTCGTTTTTTTTCCGGTTCATATATAATCAAGTTTCGTTTTGCTTTTTCTATAAAACTATTATGAAAGAGAGACCAAAAAGTATTGACGAGGAATATAATGTACGAGCAACTGAGTTCATAAGCCAATGGAAAACGGCAAACGAAAGCATTAGTGCTCCTGAAAATAAAATTTTCTCGATTTTGGCAACTAAAAGGACCGAAAGCACCACTTTTTCAAGCGCATCAGTGACGTGCTGCCTTTTCAAAACTCAATTACTACATACACAACACAAATTCATATACACAAACTATATAGAGATAGTAAGATTGGAATCAATCACACTGAACAACTTCATATTCCCAAGTAACGCTTATGAGGAGATGGGTGTATTTATACTGACGGCCACATCTTGGAAAAACCCTAGTTGTTCATGATGTCTTTATTAATTAATGGGCCTGTTTATTTATTTCTTTATTGGGCTTTTCAATTTTCGTAATTGCTGTGTTTGTAAGAATAATTTAGCTATAACTCTTTTGTTTGTTCATTGGTAGAGAGAGATAGTAGTGGTTAACTTCAATGCACCCTAATGCCTTTGTCATTACTGGTTAACTTAAATTTCACTTAATCTATATATAATAACAATCTGAATAAATGTCAATTGAACCTTCGAAAAGTTGTGTCATTTTAAAATTGGTGGTTGCATCTTTTCATTATAAATGATTGCGTCTTTTCATTCTAAATAGTTGCAACTTTTCATTGTATCTTTTTAAAATTATTTAGATTACTCAGAACCAAAAACTAAAATCATTTGGATCTGATATTTACTTTCTTACTGTAATAGTTTATGTTTGTTTTGCAAAAAAATATAAAATTCAGAGTAGTTTTTAAGATATATCTACATCAAAAAAATTAATTAATAATTATAAAAAATGTTATATGGCAATAAAAAATTAAAACAATTATACAGTTTATTTATGATATTAGCTTTCACAAAACTGATACCATCAAATCTCTCAAAGATATATAGATCGATGATCTATAAACCGAAATCAGAATGGTTCTTGTTCTATGATTGTTGTGTCGTGAAATGAGTAAATATCATAGCGGACTATAACTTTCTCCATCGACTGAAGATTGTGTTGTCTTTAAACATTATATTATACATATTACACAACCTAACGAAACCTCTCAAGTATCACCAGATCCATTTTAAAATTCCTGAGAATTTTTTTTTCATTAGAAGGCAGCAATATGTATATTTCTTTGAATTTTCTATTTTTATTATTGAGAGTAATTCTAAAAGTATCCTTTTTTGCAATTTTCTGTTTTTTTAGTGAGTACCTAGCTACAAATATAAAATATGAGTACTAGAGAAGAAAAGAAAAACAATACGGGACCAAAATTAGGGTTTGCTTAAAGACAAATAGGAACAAGAGAGGGAAGGGGTTTGAGCTTGGTTAGTCTTTGGATTAATTGTAAAGATCGAATATGTTGTTCAAAGATGATGAACACTTTCACAGCAACATCATTACCAAACATGTATATTCTCTCTTCCTTCCCTTTCTTTTGTTTTTATGATTTTTCAATTTTTTACTTTCCAAAAATCTTTTAACTAAAGGAATTTCTTCAAAATTAAAAGTATGTATATTTTCAAATAGTTTGGAAATAAAAAAAAAATATTTCTGAATCTTCTTCGTTCTCTGAAACCATCTTGATTTTACTCTTAAAGTAGAAAATATGTTATACAAAACCAATAAATATAAATTAGAAATTTTAAACACCTTCAAAAGTTGCAACGTTCAATTACTCTCTTTTCACTAACAATCGCGTATTTTAAGTATGTGTGTCTTCTATTTTTTTTTTGTCAAAACTCATTCATTAATAGCAAAACATTACAAAGTCATTACAGTAATTTCAAAAGCAAAATATTACATCAGATATATGCTGAAGATGATTAAAAGAAATAAATGAATTGACGATGTTTTTTACTGAGGTCTTACTCGCAAACAGATGATTAAATCTGTTAAGTTCCTTATTGATAATCGATCTTCTTATGCGGATGTTGTGCGTAGTCTTTCTTCATCGAGACTTCTACTTGCACATCGCATTAATAAACCCATTGCTTTTGTTGATAGTTCTGAAAAATAGACAAATTGTTACCAAACATTTCGTATCAATGTCAATGGAGAAAACTGTGACTTTGACCCATCCAAAGTTCGTGCCCAATAATGAACAAGATTCATCTCATTCACTTTGTTTTCCAGACAAGTTGTTGATGACTTCATGCGGTTGTTCTCCGTTGAGATAATAATGAATATATTATCCTTCTTGTGAAAACTGAGATTTCTCCAGAAACATATATCACATAAAGAGTTCAGCGAGAAAAAACCTGGATCAGTAGTGAAGACACAATCAATTTGAAAAGTACTCATTACATCGTTTGCCCCCAGATTAGTGACTTGGAAGTGATGTTGTATTGTATCACTTCTAGTAGATAAGGATCATAGACAAAAACTGAAGGAATAATTCTGGGAAACACACAGAAAAATGAGATCCCAAGGCGGTTTAAAGATTTTGAATTCATCCAAAAAGGATAATTTCAACCAACCGTCTGATATTTTACTCAAACGGACTAACACCGACAGAATTAACCCAGAAAGATCATGAAATAACCATCGGACAATGCTCTTCCGGAGGAAGAGAAAGCAAATGCGAGAATCGCACATAAAACATTCTCTTAAAAGAGAAAGAGGAAACATGGTTTCAACTAAATTAAGAACAGAAAAAGAAGAGTACAGCCGACGCCGGCTCCGTACAATCACCACTAGAGAGAGAGGGAGAGTACGTGTGTCTTCTAAAATCTATTTATATTGCTTAATAACATTAAAAAAAAAACTATTCGTTATACATTTCCGTAAAATAGAATCATGTTCTCTCACTGGTTTGCCATAAATAAAGAAGATAAAGTAACGAAAAATCTATCATACAATCAATTAACCAAAAAATATGTATGGGACAAAGGTCTTAAAACTTGGACAGATGCATGTGTGACAAATAATCTAATTAGAAATGATGACGAATGATATATGGCTATGAAAGAAGCATCATTTACTGCTACACCAAATCAATTGTGTAAATTGTTTGTCAAATTAGTATATCATAATGAAGTTACAGAACCATTAACATTATGGAATGCATTTTGGAATTATTACAATGATAAAATGGCTTCCTGACAAATGATTATAAGACAGTTATGGCTCCTGTTGAAGCGAATGAAGAGAATTGGTGTCTTATAGGATTTAAAGAAGACACAGAAACAAAAGATTTAAAAGATAGTATTTTTAAAAAAATTATGGTTGTATCTTTTTATTATAAATAGTTGCATTTTTTCATTATAAATAATTGTGTTTTTTCAGCACAACTAAAATTTGTATTTTTTCAAATTTATTTATATTGCTTAAAATTACATAAAAATACATTTTTGTCTGATTCTAATTTTTATTATTTAAATTTATGATACCAATAAAAAACACTAAACAGAAAAATTTGCATCCCTCACCGCCGAAGCTACAATTCAACCGGAAGATCCTGTCTAAGAAGAAAATCAATACGGATCCACATCGAAGTAAATAGGAGACGAATCTAACATCCATGAAAGCCTTTCAGGACAAGCTGAAACCAGAAGGGAGTAGATAAATAGCATAAACAATACATCTAAAAAAGCAAAGCTAGCTTTTTCTTTTACCGCATGGTATCAGAATCATCTATTAAGCATACACATAACCATGAACAAGATTTTCGTTGTGCAGTCTTGTGTCACACCCAATATGTATAACTTGGTTCATGGTTGGCTTTATTTGATTGATTTTTCTTCATTGATGCAGCAGGTGACTCAAACTGGAATTATTGGTGAGGGAAGCCAAGAAGGATTTCAAGTGTGGTACGTTTAATTTCATATCTCCATCCCAAATGCGAATATTAATTCATTAGTAAATATCTTATATCTTACGGTATTATAGCTTTCATTTATCTTACGATATTATAAAAATTAATAAACTACCTTATAGTAACCATATCATTTTTATTTGTTTTAATGTATAATAATCCAAATAAATGCCATTTATATTTTCACAAATTGTATCGTTTCAAAATTTGTGGTTGCGTCTTTTCCTTATAAATAGTTGTGTTGTTTCATCCGTTGTGAGTAGCGCATTTTCATTATGAATAATTGTGTTTTTTCATTATAAATTATTGTATTTTTTTATTACAACTGTAATTTGTATCATTTTAAAATTATTGATACTACTCAAAACCATATTAAAAATTCATTTAGGTTTGATTTTTACTTTTTTACTATAATGATTTATCATAAATGTAGATTATCTAGATGGTTTTCTGAAAATAAAAATAATAACAGAAAATCTGAAATATAATCATTGTCCAAAAAAAATATGTATGAAACAAAATTTTAAAAGCATAGAAAATATTTAATATTGTTATTCATGTTGAAAAAATATTTAATATTTATCCTTATTATGATGAAAAAATCTAGTCACTGCGTGCAACTTTAGAAAAGGTTTGAGAAAGTTTTGTTGATGTTAATGGAAGAGAAGCAAAGAGACATGGGTCATTTTATTTAGGTTAGATATATAATTATAATTTTCTTTATTAATATACAAATTATCTCTTTTATCAATATGTATGTATATATATACCTGTAACAAACCATCTCCAACTTTTTCAATGGATCATCTATTTAATTTGTCATTGTGCTTTGAAATCTTCAACTCCGTTGTTCTTGCATAAACTAATTGCCAAGACAGTAAGTATTCTTATTATATATATTAAAATTTGTAAAACGTCTGAAATTATATCATTTTTATATATCGATTTCTATCCAAAAGTAATAAGTTGTAACATTTTAAAAGTTGTAGTTACATATTTTTATTATAAATGACTAGATATTTATCCGCGCTACGCTGCAGAATATTTTTTCTAGATTTGTATATATTTTTAATATAATAAAATTATTTCTATAATGTAAATGAGTATTATATTTATTTTTTATTAGCTTAAGTTATGTATGTATATGTTTTAAATCTGAATAAACATTATATATCATTAATTTTTTAATTTTTTAAAATTATAATCTACTATCAAATTTGTTTAGCTAACTATCTATAAATATATATGTAAGAATAAAACAATACATTTTTAAGTACCTTCATACTAATGGTAAATGTAATTTATTTTCTCTACTAAATTGCTATTTGATCCTCTTTTGAAATTATATAAAGCAAATTGCCATTTAAAAAATATTAATTAATATGATTATTTTAAACTATAAAGTTTATTTGTTTATCAAATATTTATTATAGACATATGTTTCTAAAACTACCAAACTATAATCAATAACATTCATATCAAAATCATTACTATTACTTTAGAACTAAATAGAAAATTCTATTTGAACTGTTAAAATATCAATTTAGTTGAAGTTAAATAATTCAATTTTGGTTACTATAAACATATTGTAACTTTGAAAATTAGCACAGAGAAATTTTATCATTTTACAAAAACTGAGAAATTACATTTTCCGACAAAACAAAAAAAATATATTTTCCCACAAAACTGAGAAATCGTCTATTCCCGCCAAAACCAAAAAAAATTCATTTTCTCGTCAAACTTGAAATTTTATTTTCCTACCAAAAAAAAATCAAAAAATTTCATCTTCATGCAAAAACAAAAAAATAGTATTTTCCCGTCAAAACCAAAAATATATTTTTCTGCAAAAATTGTCTATTCCCACCAAAACAAGAAAAAATTATTTTTCTCGTCAAATCAAGAATCACGTCTTCCTACCAAAACCGATAAACTACAATTTTCTGCGAAAACCGAAAATTGCATTATCTCATGAGAAATTACGTTTCCTGCAAAAACTAAAAAATCATATTTTCCCTCGAAAACCAAAAAAAATCATATTATATGTCAAAAACTGAAAATTTGCATTTCCCATCAAAACCAAGAAATTGTTTATTCCCACCAAAATCGAGAAATTTTACTTTTCTATCAACCCGAAAAATTGTATTTACTGCCAAAATTGTCAAATTACAATTTTTTGCAAAAATCAAGAAATTACATTATCCATCAAAAGCTAAAAAATTGTATTTTCTATCAAAACCGAGAAATCGTATTTTCGTCAAAATTGAAAAGTTTCATTTTCCTCACATGTTCTCGTCAAAGTCAAAATTTTTATTTCTCACCAAAACCAAAAATTCACATTTTCCGCCAAACCTGATAATTCGCTTTTTTCCGCCATAACCGAGAAACTATGTTTTCCTACCAAAACTGAAAATATATTTTTCTACCAAAACCAAGAAATTCTCTATTTCCACCAAACCCAAGAAAATTTGTTCTCGGTAACCAGTGAAAATGCGAATCTCCAAGCTGTGGTGGTCTGAGTTTCTCCTCATTTGCTTTCGCCTTCCATTTTTTTTGTAAACTTTGGGCTTTTTAATGAGTCAGCAAAATAGTAAATTGATTTTATTAGTGTGTTAATAATATGTATTATTGTTATGTTTTTATTGGTTCAAATTTTTGCTGATGTGTGAGCTTCTTATAACATAACATTTTTTGCATTGTTGTTATGGAAGCATAGTTGATGATGAGTCTACACTTTCTTCAATCATATATGTATCTATCAAGCAAACACATAGGTAGAAATTTTAATTTTTTTTGCTGTTATTTATTATTTGAATTTCGGTTTGGCAAAAATATAAAACAAAGATTTAATTTTACTATTTGTTGTTATTTATTATTTGAGTTTTGCAAAAAAATAAAAGTTAAATATATTGATGACTTGTATTAATGAAATATTTTTATTGATGTTTTTTTTTGTTGAAGTGTCATCTCCTAAAAGCTTGAAAATGTTGATGTGTGAAGCCATGGAGAGACTTATGGATTATTGTTGTGTTGATTATGTCTTTTCATTATAAATTATTATATTTTATAAATAGTTATATTTTTATTATAGCTGTAATTTTTTATCTTTTCAAATTTATTTATATTGTTTAAAACTAAAGAAAAAAAAATCAGTTAAATCTGATGTTGTGAACGTTAATAAAAAGACACATAGAATGAGAGTGGGTTTATATCTTCTTAGACCAGCTTTTAGTCATAGACAAATATATGTTGTATTATCTAAAGTCATTTATTTAAAAAGTTTAAAAATTTATTAAGGCTAAAAAAAATAATGTTTAGAAAAAGTATTAAATAATATTCAGTACCTTAAGCATCCCAATTGGGAACCTGCTAAAAAACAGGTCCACATAAAATCAGATAGCAATTATTTCTTTTTCAAACATTTTTTTAAAAAATTTAGAGTTTTGGAACTACATCGTAGCAAATAACAATACTTAAATGCAGTGAAAACTACAATAGAGAAAGCAGTATAAATATTCGACAACAAATCTTTATTTTTTATTTACAGAAACGTTAAGATATATATTTAGCAGGATACAAATATGTTGATAATAATTAAAAATTATTTCAACAATTATAAGAAAAAAATTAACCATTTTTAAATGAATAGACATATTTTAAAAGGACGTAAATTTTCTCTTTTAAAGATTATTTAAGTCAATAGTTGCTTTATTTACTTAAAGAGCACTTATACTTGTATACTTAATAAATTAGAAATAATATATTTTCACTCTTTGGTAACACTCATATTTACTGGTTTTTTTTTTTTTAAATATAACTTTTTCTTCCTATAGCGTTAGATTGAACGAACTGTTAAAAAGTGAGTGTGGTGAAACAATCATTATAATTGTCAAGTTATACAACAATTTAGTTTCAATTACTAATATTAAAGTTATTTACTTTTACTGACGTTAATTTTATATCTGAAGAGAGGTCTACATATAAAAAAAGATTTTAATAATTCTTTGATAAGTGAAGGAATTGAATTTGAAGAGGTAAACATGATTCTAATGAATGTTATACTTAGGGCTTGTGAAGTGATTGAATCTAGTGATTATTCATGACACTATTATCAACATCACATATTCATTCACTAAGATGTCACTTACGAGGATACTTGAAAGCAACAAACAATTAAAAAGCTTTTTGATTAATGAACTGTTGTACCAAAACCTTCTATTGAAAATGTAATTATCTAATCGGAAATAATAACATTTTTTATAGAAACAAAGAATGAAGGAAAACATACTAATAATATATGTGCGTGATTTGCGAAAAATATTTTGTTGATAAATAAATTCTTCTGAAACTACATTGCAATCATATATTTGATATAGATTGTTTTCTAAATGTTTATGTTGTTATTAATTATCTTTTTAACTTATTAAATAAATATATTTAAATATAAATTTATTGATTTAACTATTTTATGCATATTCTTAAAATATCAGTTATATAAAATAATTATTAAAAAATGAGTTTTCGCGCGAAAGCGCGGATTATTTACCTAGTGTATATATTATCTAAGGTGGGAAAGGAGAATTCAAGACGAAATTAAACAGAACGAAAATATGAAAATATAAATAGTTTATTCTAGATGTGTAAAACAAAAATAGTTTAAGCTAAATTTGGTTTGGTCAAAACAAAACCGGATTTAAAGAATTTTGTTTTGCCAATCGAAACTTACCGAAATATTCACGTAATTATAATTCCTAATTCCTAAACCAGTTTTAAAAGTTTTCAGTTGTCAATATTGTAGTTAACCTGTCTTCAAACTTTCTTTTTATTGTCATTAATGATATGAACTACAACTGCATGCCTAATTTATAAGTTTTGTGAGTAAAACAAAAATGTTTTCTGTTGACGGAAAAAGAAAAAGAAAATGTTTTTACCATCAAACAAAAATAAAGGAAAATAACATTTGATCATGAAGTGTTATGGAGAGAATTAGCTGTATGTAGTTTATTTCTCGTAATATATCGGTCGAACATCTCTCTTTTACTGCGATTCATACAATTTGTGCGTACACAATCCAATCCACACAGATCGAATTGAGAGAAAACTGCATCACTGTCGAAGATCACAACAAGTAGCTCGTCTGGTCTCATTGTGCATTTCACGTTTGCTCAAGCTGTTCAATTTTGAGTCATGTAAGTGTGATCTGGATCGGCTTCGTTATCGATTTCTCGTTTCTTAAATTCATCTCGGGTTTGGATCCAGTCAAGTGATTTAATGACGCGAGGAAGTCGGGATTGCCGATAAATCTGTAAACTTTATGGAGAGATATAGAGAGAGAGGATTATTGGAGAGAAGATCAGATAAAAGCTAAATCCTGTTTTTGAAAAATCGCTTAACCCATGAATCATGACTAAACTTGGCTCTTCTCTGATGCAGTTTTAGGGGCTCTGAGGAATGAATTTCTTGCTCCGATCTGCTTCCTCCGCTACTCATCGGCCGCCCGTGAGCGAACCACCAGCTACGCCGCCTCAGCCTCCCCGCGAGACAACGAAGCCCGGAGCGACTTTGGAGGGGCTAATAGCCGAGGAGCCTTTCCCACAATATCCATCAGTAGAAGATCATTTGGATCGCGTTGCTGACGGATCTGGAGACGGAGAGTTGAATGCAAAGACTGGTGGCTCTGGCATGGAGAGATTCTCAGATGTCTCTGAGGAAGAAGGATGGATCGCTATTCCTTATAGTATATATACACACCTTTTTACTCTCTATACTTTCAAAGTTTTCAGTTTTGGTTTTTGAAAGTATTCAACTTTTTAAGTGTTTACTAACTTAATCCTGAATTGGTTTGTTTCTTATCACAGAGGAAATCCCAGATAACTGGTCTGACTCAGTTGATATTCATTCATTACGGTCACTGGATCGTTCATTCGTATTTCCTGGTATGCTTTTTTCTCAGATCATCTCATCGTTTTGTGTGTTAAACTGCGACTAGCTATTGAACATCAAAGACGTTTTCAACTATTAGGGGAGCAGATTCAGATTCTTGCGTGCTTATCTGAAAGTAAAGGAGACACAGAGATTATTACCCCTTTTAAGGTTGCTGAGGTAATGAGCAGGACTGGGCAGAGAAAGGTCTCTGACAAGCAAAATGGAGATATGTCTGATGGGACGAGTACACCGTCAGGGGATGGAGAGATGAGCCCTGATGGTCAGTTTGCGACTCAGAATGGTGACAGTCCTGGTAAAGAGAGTTTGGATTCACAGAAGGACGTATCTGATGGCGAATCGATATTGAGGATGGAAGATCACAAGAGACGAACGGAGGACTTGCTTTCCAGGTTTCAGAAGTCCCATTTCTTTGTTAGGATTGCAGAGTCTGGTGAGCCACTTTGGTCAAAGAAAAGCTCTCTGGTCGCAGATGCAGAGTCAGATGAACAGAGGAGAAGCGGCAAAAGGAGACCTTGTGTTAGTGCTTTTGTAGATAGAGGAGACTTCGACCCTAATGTTGCTGGAGGTGTAGCTAGAAGTAGGGCAAAGTGCTGTGCCTTACCCAATGGAGACATAGTGGTATGTGATGATAATTTTGTTGCTTTCTGGTTTGCTAATAAGACTAAGGTACTCTGTTTGAAATGATATATGAACCTGCAAGATTGCTTTTCCGATTGATGTCAATATACCATGCGACTCGTTTAGATTTTCTAAGTGTTTAAATTTTTTATAAGGAGTTGATGGACCTACCGATTCTCACACAATACCTTTATTTGGAAGGATGCAGGTCTCTTTACAAGTTTATATTGTCGACTGTCCCAAAGAACCTATCATTGAGATATTGCAGTTTGAGAAGCATCAGGACAGAGACAAGCTTTCTGAGAACGATAATGACTCGGATCTTGAAAACAAGGATCCATGTGGGAATCTTTTAAAGTGGTTGATACCGTTGGATAACAACACTATGTCTCAGCAATCCCGTTCTTTGCCACCTCCTATAAGCTCTAACTCAGGTATCAGCAGCTCTGCTCACAAACCAGCGCTCTCTTCTGCCTCAGGCTCACAACTCTTCTCCTTCGGCCATTTTAGAAGCTACTCCATGTCCTCTCTGCCTCCAAACACTGCACCAGTTACTGGACCCATAAAACCCCCTAGCTCTAAACCACCGTTTGATATTGAAGATTGGGACAGTTACTCAGGTCAAACACCACGAAACGGTCAGAAGTCTGGGACTGAAGAGCTCTTATCTTTCCGGGGTGTCCCGTTGGAGCGGGATAGGTTCTCTGTTCGTTGTGGGCTCGAAGGCATCTGCATTCCTGGTAGAAGGTGGAGGAGGAAACTCGAAATCATTCAACCTATTGATATCAATTCTTTCGCAGCTGACTGCAATACAGATGATCTTCTCTGCGTTCAGATAAAGGTGCGTCTGTGCCGCGATATTAAACATTTGGTGTTACTGTGGTCAATTGATCTGTGGGATGCATCTTAATTTTGCCATTTCTGTTTGCAGAATGTGGCTCCGACCCACACTCCAGATATTGTAATATACGTGGACGCCATAACAATTGTGTTTGAGGAGGCAGGGAAAAGTGCTTCTCCTTCATCAGTACCAATTGCATGTATTGAAGCTGGAAACGAGCACAGTTTGCCGAACTTAACTCTCAGGTTAGCTTATTTTTCTAAAGAAAGTCGTACAGGTTTCTCGTAAAGGTTTACTCCTCTTTCAGGAGCATTATAGAGTGCACTTACCTACTTTTAGGTTTTCTTGCAACGTTTTAGGAAAGGTGAGGAGCACTCATTCATCGTGAAGCCTGCCTTTTCTGTTGGGAGTAATCCGAAGGCCTCAGCTGCAAGAAAAGAAGCCAAATCATCGAGCTTGTCTCTTCCAGCTGTAAATTTTGAAAGAAAAGGGAGCGGGTTAAGTGGTGATCAGTATGCAGTTATGGTGTCATGTCGATGCAACTACACAGGTAGATCCCCGTTGCCATGGTCTGTCTTTCGTCTATTTAGATCTATTGCTGTTTCTCCAATGCTTGTTTTTTACTTGGATTCAGAATCAAGGCTGTTTTTCAAACAACGGACAAAGTGGAGACCACGAGTTTCGAGGGACCTGATGATCTCTGTTGCGTCTGAAATGTCAGGAGAGCCTTGTGGCCCTCATGGGAGGGCCTCCCAGCTACCTGTTCAGGTCATTCTCACCCTCTCTGACTATCTCTAGAAGTTCAATGTGACAATGCATGAACTGGTTTTTCTCTACTGGTTTCAGATTTTAACTCTTCAGGCATCCAATTTGACATCTGAAGATCTGTCTTTAACCGTTCTCGCTCCAGCATCCTTCACATCACCCCCGTCTGTTGTGTCCCTAAATTCCACGCCTACTTCCCCTTTGAGCCCATTCCTAGGGTTCTCTGAGTTCACAGAGAGGGTACAAAGCGAGAAACGCAACACAACGATGCGTAAACTGCACTCGTTACCCCCAATTCCACTGGAGACAAGGACAGAGAACACAAGTGGTGAAGTGAATTCTAGTTCCTCCAATCCTTCAGATGTTGTTCCAAAGAGCGGCCTGGGTTGCACACATCTCTGGCTACAAAGTCGAGTTCCCTTGGGGTAAACATCTCATCAATATCCCAATTCAGTTGTTCTCGTTTCTGCTGGTAAGGTTCTACCATTATAAAATGATATAACGTGCTTGTACTCTCTAAATGCATCAGGTGCGTTCCTTCGAAATCTACAGCAACAATCAAACTGGAACTACTCCCGTTGACTGATGGCATAATCACTCTTGATACTCTCCAAATCCACGCCAAGGAGAAAGGTAACAAAAAAAACTCTCTGCTTTCTCACCAAAGGACTATAAACACTTATGTGCTACTTGTTTCTTTCCCTGAAAACATCTATAAACAATGCAATTCTCGTGCGTGTGACAGGTCGTAGGTACATTCCAGAGCAGTCACTGAAGATAAACGCAACTTCAAGCATTTCCTCTGGGATTTTCTAGTCTTACCACCAAAGCCCACTTTTTTGCCTTTCTGAGAACCATAAAAGAGTCACCAACAACTGAGCGTTTCACAGATCCATCTTCATATCAACAAGGCTCATCCAAAGATTGTGTGTTTAAAAATTGAATTTGGTTTTCAATGTTTCAAGGTTTGAAAGAAAGTTATGTTGTAAAACCACTTGTTTCCTAATTATTTGAACATGTGTTTGCATTCTCTGGCCTATTTTTTTTGTAATTGATTGATTCTGTTAAACTTGCATAGACGCAATCATTGTTATCAAACTTCTTTTTGTTACCTGTTGTCATAAAAAAAACAGATAATCAACCGAGGTTTAAGCAAAAAAAAAAATTGTATTAATCCAAAGAGGATAACATATGAAGCACAAAATGTGGTGAGCACCGGAACTTAGGTGAACCAGAGTGTAGGGGATCGTAGCTGTTCCAATCTGAAGCCAATTTCCACTGTGACCCAAGTCGTCGTCGTGGAGGCAAAAACCCTTTACCTCCGGGATCAAAAATATTGCAGAGACGAATATGGCGACATCGTTGTCTAAAATCTTAACCAGATCGAAAGCTAACAGCTACAGGTGCTCTACTACAACCAGTGTTTCTTCCCAGCCTTCCCTTCCGATACAATTTTGGTCACGACACTTCTCCGCCGTCGCCGACCCTTCCTTCTCTAGCTCCGCCGCGCTTGGTAGCCAAGCGAGTTCTTCTGCTCCACCTCAAGGTATGTTGACTATGTTTTCCGATGCTTGAGCTTTGGAATCTGGGGGTATTGACTATTAAGAATCATTTGGTGACAAAATTGAGGAGATCCTTTGTGTTTCAGATAACAAAAGAGGGTCGAAGTGGTCACAGCTTCTGTTGTTTTTGCCTGGAGCTATTACCTTCGGGCTCGGGTCATGGCAGATCGTCAGAAGGGAGGAAAAGGTCGGTGTCTCTGAATCTTCAGCTCTTTCCGAATCAATGAAAGAATCTACCTTCACGTTTTATGTTCCGGCTCACGTTCTTCTCCTATCGTGGCTCTAGCTTGGTTAGAGTTTGATTTAGATCGGTGCTTTGTGGTTTGGTGATCGGGGAAGTAGTTAGATTACGTAGATCAATAATCTGTGATCCTGTACACAGTCTTTCGGAAATTGTGGTTACACACACACATTAATCTATGTAGAGGCAATAAAGTTTTGTGCATCGTCATGTGGATTAATTAGAGTTAAATAAAACCTCAATTCCAGTGAGAATTCGTGTATTACATTGATGTTGGGCTGTTAATAGTTGCTGAAGCTGGAACATTTAACATTAGTTGTTGCCGAAAGCTTGATTCACTCCTTTTTAACGCAGATCAAAACACTGGAGTACCAACAACAACGGTTGAACATGGAACCAATGAAGCTAAATACAGAACATCCTCCTGATAAGAATCTGGATTCCTTAGAATTTAGACGGGTTAGTTGCAAGGGTGTGTTTGACGAGCAAAGGTCTATCTTTTTGGGCCCACGGTCTAGGTCCATATCGGGAGTTACGGAAAATGGATTCTATGTCATTACACCTCTAATGCCAATCCCCGGTGACCTGGATAGGTGAGGGTAATGATCCTTTTCTCCTTGCTTTCAAGTCTTTCTATTACCCTTCCATTGGTCATGGCTTTGTCATAGTTCTCGCCTGCTAGTTTTAGTTCCAGCTGTTAACTTCTTGGCCTTTTCTGAAAGTTGGATTGCTCTTCTCCTTTTGTCAACTAGCATGCAGTCGCCTATTCTGGTGAATCGCGGATGGGTTCCTCGAAGTTGGAGAAACAAGTCACCAGAGACTGCGGAGGCTAACATCGTTACAAACGAGTCAACAGAAGCTAAACCACGCTCCAATGAACAAAAGTCCTGGTGGAAATTTTGGTCTAAGACGCCAGTGATTACCAAGGTTGGTCTCGTTATACCCTCTTGTTCAGAAACTTCTTTCATTGCGTCTCATATATTTTTGATCATTTTGATTGCATCTGAGTAGAAATCTATGATCTTTACGGAGAGAGATTGAATTTAGCTATCTGCAAAGATTCGCTCTTTTCCTTTTGTGTCTTCATCAAATCTCTTACATACGGTTTATGACCTGTGCAAGTTGAAATCTTGCAGGAGCATGTATCCACGATTAAGCCTGTAGAAGTCGTTGGTGTGATCAGAGGAGGGGAGAACCCAAGCATATTTGTTCCAGCCAATGATCCAAGTACCGGTCAGTGGTTCTATGTAGACGTTCCTGCAATGGCTCGAGCCATAGGTCTTCCTGAAAACACAATCTACGTAGAGGATGTTCATGAAGACATAGATCGGAGTAGACCGTATCCTGTCCCCAAGGACATCAACACTTTGATCCGCAGTAAAGTCATGCCACAGGACCATCTCAACTACTCAATAACATGGTAAACTCTAGAGAAACATGAGATGTTGTTCTTTGCATTGTCTGGACTTAAATCGTTATGGTGAATGAGAGAGATTGTGTTTGTGTCCGTGTCTAATGATGAACAGGTACTCACTCTCCGCGGCTGTCACTTTCATGGCTTACAAGAGGCTCAAGCCAAAGTCTGCCCGCAGATAAGCTTTAAATGTTCAAATCAAATCTCATTCTTTTTGTCACTTGTTCTGCTGAAGTAATAATTAGCAGTGGATAATGGCTTTTAGGTTAAACTTTTATAAGAAAAAGTGACACAATGAAATATTTTAAATTATTATATAATGAGAAAAGGTTGTAGTTTTCTTTTACTATGGTGGAAGAAAGTTCGAACTTGAAGCCATTTGTGGGTAAAGACGGTTGGAATGAAAGCTGGTAATACCTTTGTTCTTTTTGGCAGAGTATGAACTCCAAATTTGTATGTTAATTGTCTAATTTAACCAAAATCTCAATATTCCACTGCAGCAGATGGGATCTTTGCCGCTTTTTTATATCGATATGGTATATTGTCATCATCTTTTTAAATAATAGTTGTCTATCAAAAGTTCAAAGAGTTTCACAAAGCTGTTCAAGATTCAATACAAAGTTTGAGTGTACCGTGTACTATTGAGTGTTTTTTTAATAAATAAAAGAAATTAAAAGAAAAAACAAAAGGAACCGAAATCTGAATTCAAATGAAATATTTTAGCTGACTGAGGTGGGAATTTGTTTATTAAATTTTCATGAATGTTATTGTCAACTGAATATTCAGCGAATGAATGTGAAACCGTGTTTCAAAAAATTACGTAATTAATGATTAGTGAGTAAGTAATTGTGCAAAGCAAATTTGGGGGAGCATTATATGATTTGATTAAGGCATGGAGGCCAGGTGGTTCAATCAGCCTTGTTCCAGGTTGTTTGTTAAGCAGCGAGAGAGAGAGAAGAGAGAAAGAAGAGAATCATCATCCTCGCTGTTTCTTATTCGCCTATTTTTCTCCAATCATCATCATCTCTCTCTCTCTCTCTCTCTCTCTCTCTCTCTCTCTCTCTCTCTTCGCACCAGCCATGGCAGTTTCTACATTTACCCCTCCCAAATCTTTTTCCTCTTTCTCTCTCTAGACCTCTTTCTCCCGCTACAGTTCCCGCGTTTTCGTTTCGGTGTTAACTCCGTCTCCGTGTGATCCGGTTTTCCTGAGGACTCGAACCCCTTTTTTTATCTCCTTTCGATTCTCATGGCGATCGTGACTGGAGATCGATACCTCGAGAATCTCGAGAAGTTCCTCGAAGACATGGCTGAATCGCTTATTGATGGCACAGATGTTCTCAAGCTCAATCCCGCTGGCCTTCACTACGTCCATCTCCGCCTCGAATCTCTCCGTGAGCTCGAGCGAATGCTCTCCGGAGCTCCCGTTGACTATCTCCGCGCTTACGTCTCCGACATCGGCGATTACCGCGCTCTCGAGCAGCTCCGGCGTATTCTCCGCCTCCTCCCTTCTCTCAAGGTCGTTTCCTCGCTTCCTTCGCCGGCCCGTGATCCTACGCCGCTCTCTCTTCTTCCCTTCTCCAGGCTCAAGGTTTTGGAGCTCCGTGGGTGTGATTTGTCCACTTCCTCTGCCAAGGGACTGCTCGAACTCAGGCACACCTTGGAGAAGATCATTTGCCATAACTCCACTGTGAGTTTTTCTATTCATATGCGTTTGCTTTGTCTTTGATATCGTTTTGGAAGACCCCTGACTAATCTTTTCCAGGTCTCCACCCACTAAATGTAGGATGCGCTGAGGCATGTGTTTGCTAGTAGAATCGCCGAGATTAAAGATTCACCTCAGTGGACTAAGTTGGCTTTCGTTTCATGCGCTTGCAACCGTCTCGTGCTCATGGACGAGTCGTTGCAACTTCTCCCAGCTGTTGAGTCGCTTGATCTGAGTCGGAACAAGTTTGCAAAGGTGGATAATCTTGGGAGATGTATCAAGTTGAAACACCTTGATCTGGGTTTCAATCAACTTCGAAAAATCTCTCACTTGAGTGAGGTGGGAAACTTCAGGTTTATGCATGTTCATCTTTAGATTTCTTTTCGTTCTGAAGTTGCTTAACATTTGCGTTTGAAGCTACTATGGCTTAGTTTGAAACCACATAGATAGATTTAAGAACACTTTTGCTGAAGATTTTATTTAGGCGTTAGCCTAGGGACCCATACACCTATTTTTTTGGACTATGCAGGTATCCTGTCACCTTGTTAAACTTGTTTTGCGGAACAACGCGCTAACTACATTGCGTGGGATTGAGAATTTGAAGTCACTAGAAGGCCTTGATGTTTCCTTCAATATTATTTCCAACTTTTCAGAGTTGGAGTTCCTTGGGAGTCTTTCATACTTGACAGACCTGTGGCTCGAAGGAAATCCCATTTGTTGTGCACGGTGGTACAGGGCACATGTCCTCAGCTACGTTGCCCTTCCAAATGATGTAAGTTTTGTTTTAGAGACTATGGAATCTTGTTCAAAATGCAGAATCTGCACCATTTAAGCTTCTGCTTGATTCTAGATGCATCTTCCTATCTGTGTTGCTTTTCAGTTGAAGCTAGATGGCAAACACATTGGGAATAGAGAATTTTGGAAGAGGCAGGTTGTTGTATCACGTAGGAAAAGTCAGCCTGCTAGCTATGGGTTCTACTCTCCAGCTAGAGGCGAAGCTGATGACGAAGGAAGCTGTAATAGAAAAAAGGTAATTGGGAGAAAGTTCAGAATTTACATATTTTATCATCTCCTCGTAGCTGTAGTTCCCCTTACGCTGTTGTAGTATGGTACGGCTTTTCGAAAGGCATTGTTTTAGTCGATAAGAAGCTTCTCTCTGTGCCCTCTTAGAGTTTCAGTTTCTTGGTTTGTTTTGTGGTGTAATTGAAAGCTTATTATCGTCCTCTATTTTCCTTTTTCACAGACGAAAATCTACCGGCTCGCGTCTATTGATACTGAGGAAGAGAGCACCTGTGTGAATTCTGATCAAGAGTCTGCTTCATGCGAACCGGAGACTCAAAGCAAAGAGGAGAATGTCAAGTCCGATCATGAAGGTGATATCTTTGGTCTAATAAGCAAAGTTGAACAGTTGAAGAAAGAACGTTCAGTTCTCTGGCTGCGAGAGTTTAAGGAGTGGATGGATCATTCGTCAGAGGATTTGGTGGAGGTCAGAAAAGACGGCCAGAGTATTGATATGGAGAAAAAGTACTATACAAAGAATAGAAAAAGCCCGAATCATCATGATGAAACATTGAAATATCCACCAAGGCCTTCACCAGGCTTCCAAATTACAGATCTAAATCAGAAGGATCAAGCATTTCTTCTTGATGGGAAGCCAGATGAAAATGGAAACATGTCAACATTGGATGTTGCTCAGGATATGACAGGAGCCTTTTCACCCTCAACATATCTGCAATCACCCCCTCATTATCAAAAGGATGTCTTATACCGACGTCATAACCTGGTGGAAGAAATCTTGCAGCTATCAGCAGATTCTTATTCAGTAGCTTCGTCGGATAGCACGAGCAGCTGCAGTGAAAATGAAAATTATGATTCTGAGCAATCAAATCCTGAACAAGATATGTTGATGGATCATCTTAATGCGAATAGACCGGGGGAGAAGATTCTGGGATCTGCTAAGGACTTGCTTGATTCTCAACGAGAGAAGAGTAGCATCATAAAGACTTGGAGGATAGATGATTCTTTCAAAGCAAAGACTACTAATTTTCTTTCTGGACTTCAAAACAGTGAGCTTGCTTCTGGTGTTAACCAGATTTACCATTGGTTCGACAAAAGGAAAAGCAAGAAGAAGCCTAAAAAAAGAGTTGTTTCTTTACTGGAGAAGAATTATATCATAAATAATGGAGAAACATCTCATAGAAGTGATGCAAATATCAGTGATTCTTGTGAAGATTATGTTTCTGATTATTTGGAAGAAGGTTCATTGACTACAGGGTGCTATAGTAAGAGCACTACTAGATTTTTGGGAGCTGAAAAATCAGATGAAGTAATAAGTTGTTTAGTGGAGGAGTATTTTACAACGTCACTGTCAGATTCCAGCATTGATGAGACTTGTAGGATTTACGTTACTTGTGATTGTATACTACAGCAACAATCCACCTACACGCAACGGTAAGTTTTGTTCCCCTTATTATTGTAGTTCTAGGGGAAAGAAATTAATGTGAGTCCCTTCTATCTTTAGTTTAAGACTCATGATACTTGATAGGGACATCATGACGAGTAAAAACAAAAGTCACTGAGGTTGCGTAGATATTGCTTCTTCTGTACTGATAGGCTTTCTATTCCATTTGAAAATGAAAATTTGCTCGATGATATTAGATCGATATGTTTTTCTGTTCCCTTGTAATTCACGTGTATGAGTAACTTTTTCGTTAGTTTTATAACACCGAAATTTTCTTCAGAAGCCATTTCATACAAGGATAGCGTCTCATCTCTTCCCCCTGACAGTACTCTATAAATGCAGGGAAGTAGTGCTGGTGCTGAGTAGTAACCAAGAAAAACTGTATGTGCTGCTCGTGACTGTTTCTACTGATTCACAAGGTTAGACTGATCTTCCCAGTCTTCCTCTTTCATTCTTTATGCCTGAATATGTTATTCGCTGTTGTTGTTGACTTACTTTTCCTGGAACCCTGGTGTCTGCAGAGCGCAACTTAAGTTTATGGTGTTTGCATGCAACCGATGATATACAAGACGTCTCAGTTGGTCTAGGACTTCAGGTTGTGAGGTTAGTATTTTAATGGTTCCGCTTTTAAACTTGATTCTGTCCCCATGTTCCTAACTTTTCTCTGTATTTCTGGTTTAGGCTACGATTTAAGGAGGACACAGAGTACATTTTCATAACGGAGAGCATCGAAAAAACAACAGTGTTACTCAATATCATTAAAGTATTGGATTCTCAGGCTACAGAGTCTAAATGTTCTTTGGGAAGGTGAGCTATCATCATATTTTTCTTCAGCTCTTTTATAATTGCCTACTCCGTTTTCTGATTTGACATGTATTCAAAATGAAATGGCAGTTTGGAGAATATTCAAGTGGAATTGTTTAAGAAAGAAATATGTAGTGGTTTGAAGCTGAGTATATTCCAATATAGTGTTCTCCATTTTCAGAGCAGCACTCTTGGAGGTATATTCTTTCTCGCATACATTCCAATTTTCCTCCTGAAACCATAAATGATCGTGTGACATACCAAGGAATTTGTCTATATAGTTGTTAGACTAGATCAATAGCTCATGATTTCGTTCGTAGTGTGTAAAGCTCACATTCACCAAAAGTTGCAGCCTCTTAATGTTTGTTCCTTTTCTGTTCTACATGGTACTAGATTTTGTAAATTTGTCGAATTGAGAATGGTTTTACTGTATTTAGGTTTTTGCTGGCTCACAACTTACTAGTAAATTCAATTCAAGCTGTGTCAAACACTGACTATTTATGATTTTCCTCTATTAAACAAACTGTGCAGAGGTGTCATGGCTTCCACGGTCACTATTTGTGGCGAGTGGACATCTCTTCATATGCATTGAAGACTTCAGGCAGCTGAGTTCTCTGCGAGCAGATGCTTCTTCTTCTGCTCCATATATCTCGCTTGACTCAAGCTGCTCCATCTCCGACATTTTTGAGATGGTATGACTATTCTTGCCTCTTGCTCTCGCTATCATGTTTTTTCTTCCCCTACTGTTTCTGATGTACAAACTTGAGTATCATCCAGGTTATTGAATCCCGAGGAAGCCCATGCTTGTCACTGAAGCTCAAGCAGAAGAACTCCACATTTCAAAGCAGACCACAAAAAACAGCGAATACAGGAACATGGAAGCTCAAATTATTCAGCGTGGAGTGTGTACTCAAGTTTGTGGCTCTAGTGAAAGGACTTCACCCGGATTCTCCAGAATTCCCGTTGCTCATAAGGCATTTGGGTCAGATATAAGTCGTAAAAGTTCCTTTTTTTAGAAAGTACAAAAAAAAAAAGAGATCTCCTTGTGCATATGCGCATAATGTTCATAACTTCATATTCATTTGATTTAATTTGTTCCTTGTGTTTTGATTCATCTTGTATAAAGCCCTTGCGTATCGTGGCGTGCTCTGAGTGGAGAATATTCTTTGATTTGTATTCTTTTGTGTATCATACAAACAACAGCGTTGGAACAAAGAAAGAAAATCAACAATGTTTTCTGATTAACCACTTTGAAAAACCTGTGCTGTGATTCTTTTACTAATTCTGCAGGTGATGGGAACAACAATGGAGAAAAACCCTACTCAACCTGTCTCTTCTCTTCATCAACCTGTTCCATCAATGCTTCTAACTCCGCCTCCGATAAGCTCTCCAGCCGTTTCTGCCCATTACCAAACCAAACACCATATGTTAAGGTAAAAGCACATAAACCCTCCTGATTAAGAGCTAAAAAAATGGTTAGAAGAAAGCACGAACCTGCATGACTTGAGACTCGTAGTCACGAAGCTGCTGAGCATAAGTCATCTCCTTGTTACCAACTCGAAAGATATAAGTAGAAATCCAACCCAATGTCAAGCCTAACACAAGTATCAGCTGTACAGCATTACCTGCTTGCAACGGGTCTACTCCCACATACTGCCCCCATTTCACAATCACAAAAACGTACTCAGAGCCACACTAAAAGAAAACCGAACATTTCATGATTCGCTTCTTGTGATAATGAATTTACCTCAAGCCCACTCTCTAGGCCGATACCAAGTGCAGTCACTCCCACTCCTATCAACAGAACGTCCTTCCTCGTGTATCCAAACGGCGTCGTCTTCTGCAAACAAGAGAGAGTTAATGCTTCCTTCAGGACATGGCACTAAGAACCTATGATGAATTGATGATGATGAGGTAAAATTGAATTGAAGGGATGGAGAGATGAGACCTTGGTCTTTGTGGCAGAATCTTCTTCAGTTTCAGTAGGGTTTGAGCTGACTCTACATCTCATTCTTTGTTTCTTCTCAACTGATGATGACAATCCATGTCCCTCGAATCTATATAACACTTTCTTCACAGCTCTCGGTCCTCCTGTATCATCTCAACACAATTAGCTAAATCATAGGTTTTTGTGGAAAAAAGAATTTGGAGAGATTCGTCGATTAGTGGGAAACCTGTGAATTGTCGCCCAATCGGATGAATCCGTACAGCTGCCGATAGAACCTCTTGGCTTCTGCATAGATTCGAAACACCGTACGGTAGAGAAGCCATTTATGTGTGTGAAGCGATGATTTACATGTGCAAAAAAAAAGATGAAACAGAGAGAGTAATCAGAAATGGGACGAAGAGATTAGAGAGATGGGTGGTTGATATTTCACGCGCGCGTTGGGTCTTTTTTAGCTTCTTGAGTAGTACAGTATCTCATTCGCGCACGTGAGGGCGCGTGGCTGAGAACAATGTTTTTTTGTCTTTGATTTTCAGGTTATTTCAGATAACCGTACAAATCCGAACAAAACTTTAGTAGCAAATTCTACTGTGCATTTTTCATACTCATACTATTCCATTCTCTTCCCCATGATTGATGCTTACTTTTTGTCTCAGAACAAACAAAGTAAATATGTATTGTAAGAGTAAGACCAAAGCAAAAGAAGAAATGAGAAAAAGAAATTCAGCATTGTAAATTTGTTAAACCAACAAACATAAGGGGTCACATTCAGAGCATTACAAGAGTTAAAAGGTTGGTAAAAACAAAGTCTCTAGAAACCTGAGTCATAAGAAGGAGACAAGAGTCGTCTTCTCAGTCATTCATTGACGAGGTGAACTCTAACAGCTGCAACCACACGTCCCGAGAGTTCAAGCTCACAAACAACAGTGTCTCCTTCTTTCAGGTTACAGGTTTGACACACATTTGCCCATCCAAGGAAACAATATGAACTGCCGTAATTCTTAGTGAAACCCTCTTGTTTTTCTCCACCGGGGAGATGGAAATACATGGCGGAATTAATGGGACCAAACTCCAATTCGTACTTTTCAATCACCAAATTGCTTACATACTAATTACGGGTTACCATACATGAAAAAAAAAGACAAGTCTTAGCTTTCAGAGGCAACAGACATAATTTACTGAAAAGACAAAGAAACTTTTTAAAAAGAATGCTACTAGTCTTACCAGAAGTTGGTTCGTCTTCGTCAGCGTCTTGGTAAAGTAAGGGTTTTTGGGATTTACAAGGTATCTCTCAGGGTTTTCTACATGAGCACACTTTGCCACTCGACCACGCCGACCAGTACCTGTTCCTCCACTTGCTGAAATTCCAAAAAAAGAAAAAAAAAAGAGTCAAACTTTGGTCGTAGAGAGAATGAAGATTGATTCTTTCGATTCTGAATGCTCTTACCAGATGCAGGGGTTGTCGTCTCCTTGTGAGAATCCTGGGGCTGCTTATGATGATGGAATGTTTCAGTTTCGGGTTCAACTACAAGAGGTACGGAGAAGACCTCTTTACCATCTTTCTTGAAGATTCGAACTTCGATATGCATCGTGTCTTGGTGTGTGAAGACCAAGATGTCACTCGGACCTAAAAGGTTGTCATCCACAAACTCATCCCAGTCTTGTTTTACCATAAACAGACCCTTTTTGTCTCTTTCGAGCCAGACTTGCCACGAATTCTCCCAACGAACACTAAACACCAACCTCTGCTCATCAAAAGCCTTGGGGATGCTTCTCTCAAACTCCTCCGGAATAATCCTCTTGAATAATCCCAACAAATCAGAAAGTAAAAGCTATTAACAACTTCTAAAGCAAAGAGAAGAAGCAATTCGTGACATTTATAAGCCTTGTAACAGAACAGAGAGAGAGCGAAAAATCAGAGGAGAGTAATAATGTTGATTAGAGTTACCATGGATTTAGATTTCCAGTTTTTTCCTTGAGAAAGAGACTTGGAGAAGCTTGGCTTGTTCATATTCTCTTTGGATCTCACTCTCAGGGCAATAATTACTCTCTTCAAAGCGGGATCCGGTTCTGAAATTAGGGTTCTTGGAGCTAAAATTGCATGTGATGATAAAATCAAATCCACAGTAAATAGGAAACAAACAAACATATTTATAATGCCATTCTTACTTCTTCACCTCGCCGTTAGTGTCTTTAGCTTGATAAAGCAGAGCATCCGAAATTGAATTAGAGATTTTTTTTTACGCAAGTGAGCATACGAAGTCTTTAAGGGTGAACCTAAAATTACCAAAATGCCCCTATCTTCCCAAGTTCAAGTCAGAGGTTTTGGAAAAGCTCTGTTTTACCCAGAGAATAAAACTATGTAAAAGAAATTTATATTCCTGTAGAAGCAAAGTCAGAACGTTTAAGTAGAGTATTCGAGTACATTGGATATCATCCACACATCAATCATATAGCTTAATTTGGTTGATAATGGACCAGGAAAGAAAGAAGAAAAAAGATGGGACGATCAAAAATGCAAAACGAGTAAAAAGAATTTACTAAGAATGAAACTGCACACTGATTATTAATACGTTTTGTGGTCAGGGAATCTCTTAACCATGTGCAAAAGATACCACACTTCTCACTCACTTGCTTTCTTGAGGTTGGCAATAAAGAAAATAGAACACAAACCTGAGTTTTCTAAGTTTTGTTTAACATTCCACATATTTCGTTAGTTGGTAAAATTATTTGGCAGATTCAAAAGGTTTCTTTTCAAGAACAAAAACAAAAGCTAAAGACAAGTCTAGGAAAACTACAAATATTCAAATCATGTTCCCACACGAGCAAAAGATAAAAAAAAAAAAACTAAATCAATTTCTTCACCAATGAACCGGCTCTTTATTCCAAATCATCTAACACCTAAATAAAACCACCAGTTTCACTCAAGCCGAGAACTCAAACAGCATCGTGTGCTGGTACTTCTCACCAGCCTTAACCACAACAGACGGGAAGTTCGACTGGTTAATCGCGTTCGGGAACCCTTGCGTCTCAAGGCACACACCCGCATGCTTCTCATAAACCGCATCCCCTTTCCCGACCACTCCATTCACATAGTTCCCCGTGTAAAACTGCATTCCCGGGACATTCGTCCACAAGTTCAGTACCCTTGAGCTCGCACCGTCTGTGAGCTTCGCCGCGTGTTTCAGCCCGTCCTTCTCCTGATCAGGACAGTCCAACACGTAGTTGTGGTCGTATCCGAGACCCACCTCTCCTATAGACTCGCCTATCCGTTTCTCCTCCGTGAAATCGAAAGGAGTCCCTTTTACCGGCAAGATCTCCCCTGTAGGAACTGTGTGTTGGTCCACAGGGGTGATATGAGACCCCCAAATCTGGATCCTATGGTCAAGAATGCTCCCTGAGTCATGACCCGCCAAGTTCCAGTATGTGTGCTGAGCTAAACTGATCGGAGTGTCTCTGTTTTCCGGAACTGCCTCCATGTCAAGTCTCATGGTCGTGGCTGAAGTCAAAGTGTATGTCGCCGTGACAGAAACCGCACCGGGATAACCTGTGAAGGTGACCACGCACATTATATATGTTTCGCTAATCGAATCGTATATATATAGAGAGAGAGAATAAATTAAAAGACAAGGGAAATATTGTAGGAACCTTCTTCTCCATCGGCGCTGTGATATTTGAAAACGATGAAAGGCTTTTCACCATCTTTCTTGTGCCTTGCAACTTCCCATATCTTCTTATCGAAACCTTTGTTACCACCTGCATATAGAAATCGAACCATATATGTTTTGCATCCGGTTAACTTTGGTGAAATGCTATAGAATGAATCATAAAGAAGCGAGAATCGTTATATACCGTGGAGGCTATTGGGAGGCTTGTTGATGGGCAGAGTGTAGTCAACTCCATTGAGAGTAAATTTTCCCTCTTTGATCCGATTTGCCACACGACCAACTATGCACCCAAAGTACGGTGCAAGCCCTTTCTGTAACACATCATATTATATAGTCAAATTCATTGATAAACATACACAAATTCATTACCACTGTCACAGGGTCCAAATTGATTTGTTTGTAACTACAGATATCATCAAGAAGTTATTGATCACACAAATCATACCACAAGAGAGACCTGACCATACATATACATTTCTTTAACAATATGATTCAGACAGTATGCATAGAAAGTATTTCAGACACATCTGCTGTTGTTGTTGCTAATAAGTACTCTATTCACCCAATTCAGACAACAGAAATCACATGGGTGAGAGTTTGAAATCAGACGATCAAACAAATACTTTTTTTTTTAATCAGTTCCAATGAGATCCTTGACGAGATCAAATAAAGAATTAGGTGAATTCGAGAGACATTACCACATATGGATCCACCGAGTCGAATCCGAGAACTACATCAGCCAGTTTCCCTTCAATTTAAAAATACAAATTCGATCATCAGATGATTAATTTGGATTTGGAGAAAATTAAATACATAGCGGAGGAAGGGGGAAGAGAACAAACCGTTCTTGTCGGGGACAGACAAGGAGGTGATGGTGGCGCCATAGTTTGAGATCTTGACCTGCATGGTGCCATTGTTGAGCTCGAAGATTTCAGGATTGTTCTTGCTCTGATCTGCCATTACCGAGCTAGAAGGTCAAATTAGGGTTAGGGAAGAAGCCAAAGTGATTAGATTTTTGATATGTGAGGAGAGAAACAAGGGGAAGTGATCAGTTTCTGTTGAGATGTACAAAACCAAAATCGTAATCTCCCTAAGTATCAGTGCTGACGTCATCTAAACTCCTATCTTAGAGCATTTCTCGATAGATTTTTCATTTTTTAAAAAAAAAGAAAAATAATCCAAAATTACCGACTATAAATCCTTTTCTTTGTCAACAGTCAGCACTGACCATAATTATCCAAAAATAAGAAAAATATAAAGAGAATTCGATTTTGTTTACAGTAAAAAGAAACTTATACTAGTAATTATTACTCGCGCTGTAAACTTTAGTTAAATATCCAAAGGTAAAGAAAGAATGATGAAATTTTGTTTAGTTGGATTATATTTTGACGAGAAAGTAAAGGAAAAGTTTATTATCAGTAATTTTTTTCTAGGAAAAAAAAAACATACTTCGCGTGAAATGATCTTAGCTGTAACCTTTTTCAGGTATCCTATGAATTAGACGATAACTATAAAAGCTCAATTTTCTGTAAACCATAAATTACCAAAAAAATAAAAATTGATTTCATGTAACATTGGGTTTCCCACCTTAAAGATGAAATTAAATTAAATAAACAGATATCAAAGCTCAGGCAGTGAGAGAGAAAGAGAGAAACAGATGGCAAAGAGGTCTTCTTTAGGTTAAAGAAGAGCAAATCATTTCAAAAAGCAAATCATTTGTCACTTTCTCTTTCTTCACCTATCATCCAACCAAAGCAAACACTAGTTTACTTTTTTCTCTCATTACGAACTCGCCGTCCGACGTCGTTTTTGCCGATATTTCAGTGAGCAGCGATTTCAGAAATGCAAGATCCACGCAATCAGGTGCCACCTTCTCCCACCATCTCCTCCGTCTCTTCCTCCGATCTTGATACAGAGGTCAGTTCCCACTTCCTAGAATCTTAAATTTAGTCGACAATCTTATTGATTTGATTAATCAAATAGATTGAGCTTCCATTTCCCAGAAAGGTTTCTGCTTAAAAAATATCATCTTTTCACTAATTAGAAACTAGATTTAAAAGTTAAAACTTCCGAAGTTTGTGTTTTTATAGCTGCCCAGAAACTAAAGAAAATAAAACAAAATTTTCTGCCGAGATATGTTCAGGTGAAAAGTATTTACTTTTCCCGTGATTTCAACTAAACCCAAGAAATTTAATATTGGGAAAGAAAGATATGATTTTGTCTCTAGTGTTCGTTATCAGCGATAAAACGGAACTCAAAATTTTGATTACTTTCAAGTCTTGACTGGGTTTTTTTTTTATTGGTGATATTAGTCAACAGGATCCTTCTTCCATGACAGAAGCATCACACTGGGGACGCTTATGGGGTTTAGTTTCACAGCAACCATGCCCATGCCATTCAGAGCTTCTTCACACCGCCACGTGTCACCCTCCGTCTCAATCTCGCGAGCTTCCAGCTCCAGCGCTACAAGACGCAACCAGAGGAAGCGTCCTCCTTCCAATTCGGCTGAGCGGCATCGCCGTCGCAAGTGGTGGCGCTTTTGCCGAGACGACGACGACGACGCGATGCACCGTGGGTCCGGCGACTGTAGACGGTCATCGCTCGGGGAGTATTTGGAAGTGGAACGGAGGTTTGGAGATGAAGCCGTCTATGGCTCCGCCGAGGCGGAGCTAGAGGGTGCGGTGGCGCGGTACCGGGATCAGCAGCCGGCGTCGGTGGAACGGGCTTTGTTCGCCGATGGGAGAGTTCTTCCTCCGGTTTCGGCTGATATTGCTACCGGGGATAGTACGCCGGTGGCTACGGCAATTTGTAGATTCCCGGTTTCATTGACCGGTATATGCAGCGGAGGCGGATGATAAATACGTCGGTCCACGTGCTTATTTATTTTATTTAAAACTTTGGTGTATCATTCATCAATATTATTAGAATCGTAATCATATAGTTTGTGGAAAAAATGGGATGCAGTTCAATCGCAGCAACAAATGAATAGTCAACCAACTCAAAATGAAACTTTCTTTGGGCCAATCAATGGGAATTGTATATTATTTCTTTCACTTGCCACTAAAAATCAAATTGATTCAGAATAATATTCCCTTGTAAAGTTTTTTGGTTGATTAATTAGTTTTTACATTAAAACAAACAATAAAAATATGATTCCTGCATTTTTGTGATTTTTGGAAAACATTTCTTGTGGCCGGTGGGTTAGCATTCAAATACATAAATTAGCTAAATCATCTGAGAGAATTATAGATTTTATACTTCTAGTCAGAATAAGAGCTGTAGCCAATACCAATAACGCATATAGTTAACCCAAAAACAATGGAGAAGAGCACTGAATTTGCTTTTGTTTACACAGTACCTACTTAATTAGTTACTCCAACTCAAATACATAATTTTGATTCATCTCAAAGTCCATGTAGAGATTTAGTAAACTTTCACAAGTTATTAAGCTTTGATTCAATTAGAGCAGTAGTTACCTTAAGATCGATATTGAGTTTGTGGAATCCATGAGTCTATTACATACATTAATACTTGTAGAATGATGGAATTGTGGAAAAAACCAAAAACGTAAGAATTTTACCAATCAAAAAAACTTAACGCAAAAACGCAAGATCTGCGAAATTGCGTTTTTGCTTATAAAAAATACAAAAAATTTTCATTAAGCGAAAAAACGTGTTTGGAGTAGATTATTTACGGAATCAATGTTTATATTATTCAATTATATAACTAATTATATTTTATTATTTAAATAAATACAAATAAATAATTTAGTGTTACAAAGAATTATTTAATGATAAAGTTATATCTATTATTTAAGGTTTGCAATGTTTTTTATTTTGAAAAACCAAATTATTAAAAATTTACAATTAAAATTATATCATTTTATAATAATAGATTGAATTATTAATATTTTATTTTTTATAATATATAGTAAAAAGCAGAATATTTTCAATAAATATATTCTGCAATTTCGCAATTCCGTCATAATTTATCCAATTGTATTAAAAAAAAGTTTCATAATTCCGTAATAAATTATTCTGCAATTCATTTTTTCCGCCATTCCGCAATTCCATGATATAAAAAATGTATCAAAACTCACGTTTCTTTTGCTCCCTGTAGGCAAAATTATTGGAAAAAAGTGAAACTATTACCATTTTAACAGTTTGAGATTTAATATTTTTTTCAATTGAAACTAAATGGGTTTAGCCTAAACGAATTGTGAAAAAAAAAATATAATAATAACAAACTGTCTCTCCAAAAGACTGACATTTTCAGTTTTTTATGTTATGATACATTGAGACTGATGCCTCTGGTCTATACATTTTTCGAGTTACTCTGAAATGACTCTTTCCTTATCACCATGAGCTAAGAACATGTCCATCGGCGTTTTTAGAAGGGTTGTTAAAGGGTTTGTTAGGTTAAAAATATTTTTAAAAAATGATTTAAATGTGTTATTCCTAAAAGGCGTCTCTTATATAAGCCATTTCAGAACCCTTAAGAGATCTATACGTGTCGATATTTAATTGCATGATTTATTAAAAAAAACAAAAAAGTTAAAAAGAAAAGGGAATGACTCGTGCAATCGGAACGACGTTCTCTCTTTTCCTATCCATGATTCCATCGGTGAGAGCTCAAAATCCGAACAAGGAAACCTCAGAATCCGACTCTGATCATCATCATCTCACGTCGTTCTCCTTCTTCAAGTCATCTGAAATCGAGGTCGTGATGGAGACAATCGGAATCTTCAGCCGATTTAAAAGGCTTCATCCGCCCCTGATTGACTAATTTTATATATTGCTCCCTCTGTTCAATCGATTCTCATATAGTTTGGGTTTTGTGGAAAATGTGGCAGTTAATTCCTCCATCGTCGATGCAGAATCAGTTCAGCGAGTGATTAATCTCTTGCTCGGAGCTAATAACGCGGCGGAGGAATCTCAATCTTCCACGAGTGGTTCTTCCTTCGCCGTCATCGACGCATTTGTGGTTCCGAAGTATCGATACGACGCTGTTAAGAAGCAGTTCATCGAGTAAGGCCTTCTTGTACTTAGTTAAAATTTCATTGTGAAAGGTGTTAATAAGACTGTTTTAGTGAAGTTGTAGAGATGAGTTTGATGAATTAGTGAGTGTGTTAATGAGACTGCGTTGAGATATAATCGGGATATAATTGATATGATGTTTGATTCCAGGCATACGAGTAGTCTCTCTGTTCATGGTGATGCTTATGCAAAAACAGCATTATACAGGGAACGATTCATGTTGCTCACAGAGAGTATCTCGCGCGGATCATTTCTCTAAGCCAGCGTTTGATGCTAAGATGTCGCTCTGAATAATTTTCTTTAACAATCAGTACAAGATAACTACATGGTTTTTCACAGAGAATACTATAATTTTGGCTGAAGGTGAAATGAAGAACGGTATCTTTCAGGTAACTTAGAACTGCTAGGTGGCACATCTACTATAATATGCTTTGGTTCTATGGTTCATCTTGAGATCAAGATGTTAGATATAGGTGGGAATATATAAATAAGTTGTCTGTATGGTCTTTGAGTAATAATACAAACATAAGTTTCCAAAAGCATTTTGAATAGATTCAATGGAATATGAAAAATGTATTTTCTCATCAGCGTAATGATGGTCTGTAACGATATATTCTTTGACTTACTCGTCCTCTTTTAAAAGCTTTTTCTTATGTTTTGGTAAAGGTGATTACATGTGGGTTTCCTCCTTTAGAAGACAGGGAGAAAACACCGAAGATACATTCCAGATATGACTTCTTCGGAGGTGGCACGCCAACTAAAGAAGAGATGGCAATCCTGAGTCGTTGTTTGTACTTTCCGATAGAGAGCATTGTTTGATCGCAAAGTATAAATTTTTCATAATTTAATATTTGTTTAAGAACTCTAAGGCTATTACCAATGGAAGAGCAAAAAATCAAAATCAAATACAGGGGTTCTTAAAAGAAAAAAGAAGAAAAATTTATATTAAAAAATGTTTAAAAACCCTATATAGGTATGTACCAATGGAGATGGTCTAAGATAGATGGTAAAAAAAGATTTCTTGAAGCTTTTCCCTGGAATGATCTTGTAAGGATAGGAACAGTGAATTTATAGATCCACATGTTGAAGATAGGGAGCTTGAAGGCCAGCTTTTGCGCAAGCAGAGCGGTTACTTAGTCAGCCTTGAGCAAAGCAAGAGTTCATGAAAAAAATAAAATCTCACCAACAATTTTTTGATTGGTGGACTCGCCACTATAGATGGCCTTACCCTACAGTAACTTTTCTCTTTTTTTGTTTGTTTTAAATGCATTGCATAAATTGCACTTACGAGATTCCAAATCCTAACCAAGAGAATAAATTAGATTTATTGGATTAATGTAAATTATTACGCAAATTATATTCGTTTCTTCCACTTTTGGATCCAATAACTTGAGTCCGAAGATATGTTTGACCGACCCCAACGGCCCAAACACAAAAGGGTATTGACGGCGAATCAGGGGCATGATTGTAATTTGATATGATATTTATGTTAAACCCTAACTTTATTTTTGCTTCACCACTATATAAATAAGGCTCGTAACTCTTTTTGCATTATTCTCTATCTCGCTCTTTCTCCATCATAGCCGCTCTGCGATATCTCTGAGGTAAGCGTCTCCTACGCATCTACGATCTGTTCTTAACTCTTCCTTAGATTTTTGATTATACAATCTCGATTTCTGCTCGTGTTTGTTATTCGATTTCTTTTAGTTTGATGCTTCTTTACATGTATGTCTTTGATCCGATGCCCTTTGTTGATAGATCTTATTGAGTAGCTGATCTGTGTTGTTTATTGTTCATAGATTGAGAAATTCAACGTTTTACATTGAAACCGAGATTATTCTTTGTTAAACTGTTTTTTTCGATTATCAGATCGATCTGATTGTTAGATATTTTGACTGGACGATTGATTGTTGGTTAGATCTATATGAGAAACTAGTTGAATTGCGTTTTTAAGATGTATTTGATTTCAATCGTTGGTTTGTCTTTTGAATGGGTTTATTCTGGGGCAGCTTACACAATCCGGTGTTCTCTTTTCCTTGAGTGAGGAAAACTATCGGATTGTTTGCTACAGTCCTCTTTGAAATCCCTGTTTTTCATGAATTATAGCACGCTTAGCTCTGAGGATAGAGCACCACAGTTTTTGTGGTAGAAATCGGTTCGACTCCGATAGCGGCTTCTTTTACGTTGAACGTGTTTTGAGAAAGATGAATACCGTTTTTGATCGTTTCTATATGATTTATATGCAGATTTATTTGACAAAGCAGCTATGGGTAAAGAAAAGTTTCATATCAATATTGTGGTCATTGGCCACGTCGACTCTGGAAAATCGACAACCACTGGTCACTTGATCTACAAGCTTGGTGGTATTGACAAGCGTGTGATCGAGAGGTTCGAGAAGGAAGCTGCTGAGATGAACAAGAGGTCCTTCAAGTACGCATGGGTGTTGGACAAACTTAAGGCAGAGCGTGAGCGTGGTATCACCATTGACATTGCTCTCTGGAAATTCGAGACCACCAAGTACTACTGCACAGTCATTGACGCTCCTGGACATCGTGATTTCATCAAGAACATGATCACTGGTACCTCCCAGGCCGATTGTGCTGTCCTGATCATTGACTCCACCACTGGTGGTTTTGAGGCTGGTATCTCCAAGGATGGTCAGACCCGTGAGCACGCTCTTCTTGCTTTCACCCTTGGTGTCAAGCAAATGATTTGCTGCTGTAACAAGGTGAGCTTTATTTTCGTTTTTGATTTGCTTATTCTCTGATTATACGCTTCTGATATGCTGCTAACATCTGTATTTTATAATTCTTTCCTTGTTACAGATGGATGCTACTACCCCCAAGTACTCCAAGGCCAGGTACGACGAGATCATCAAGGAGGTGTCATCCTACTTGAAGAAGGTCGGATACAACCCTGACAAAATCCCATTCGTGCCCATCTCTGGTTTCGAGGGTGACAACATGATTGAGAGGTCCACCAACCTTGACTGGTACAAGGGACCAACCCTCCTTGAGGCCCTCGACCAGATCAACGAGCCCAAGAGGCCATCAGACAAGCCCCTCCGTCTCCCACTTCAGGATGTCTACAAGATCGGTGGTATTGGAACGGTGCCAGTGGGACGTGTTGAGACCGGTATGATCAAGCCCGGTATGGTTGTGACCTTTGCTCCCACAGGGCTGACCACTGAGGTCAAGTCTGTTGAGATGCACCATGAGTCTCTCCTCGAGGCACTTCCAGGTGACAATGTGGGATTCAACGTCAAGAATGTTGCTGTCAAGGATCTCAAGCGTGGTTACGTTGCATCCAACTCCAAGGATGACCCTGCCAAGGGTGCTGCCAACTTCACCTCCCAGGTCATTATCATGAACCACCCTGGTCAGATCGGTAACGGTTACGCACCAGTGCTCGATTGCCACACCTCTCACATTGCCGTCAAGTTCTCTGAGATCCTGACCAAGATCGACAGACGTTCTGGTAAGGAGATCGAGAAGGAGCCCAAGTTCTTGAAGAATGGTGACGCCGGTATGGTGAAGATGACTCCCACCAAGCCCATGGTGGTCGAGACCTTCTCTGAGTACCCACCGCTTGGACGTTTTGCAGTGAGGGACATGAGGCAGACTGTTGCCGTCGGAGTCATCAAGAGCGTCGACAAGAAGGACCCAACTGGTGCCAAGGTGACCAAGGCTGCCGTCAAGAAGGGTGCCAAGTGAACTCTTAAACCCGCAAAGAACAATGCTAGTTTTTTTACTTTGATTTGGTATTTTGTCGCTTTTCTGTGTTCCTGCTTCGTGTCATCTCCGTCGAAACTCTCTTCTCGTAATTGGGTTCTTGATCGGAGGTGGCGGAGCTTCTTTTTCTTTTCATTTGCTTTCGGATCTTGAACTATTTTTGATATTTTGTTATTATGATGAACATGGTGACATTTCTGCGGCTATTCTCTCTGTGTAACTTTCTTCCGTTGTGTTGATTTTTCTTGGTCGTTTATCGAATCTATTTGATTATGTACCCCAACTCCCTTGTGCATAGAATTGAAATCGCATTACAATGATATAACGGACAATATCAGAACATTGCAATGACCAGGTCCATATCTTAATTTGGATTTTTGTATCTCGTAATGGTTTTGAGAGGTTCATACTTGTTCAGTGTAAACATTTCCTAAAATTAAATAAACAGATATCGTTTTGAGATTTTCATACTTGTTGGTTAACGATTCTTATTTACTGGTCTTCTTTTGATGGAAAATAACATTACGGGATTGTGAAACCTTATTGTGGAAAGTATAGTGGCATGATTCATAAAAGCCGTGGAATTACGAAGTGGTTGAAACAAAAATCATGATTTGTATGATTGTGTGATTGATGAATACTTTATGGAGTCCGGTGAGTACTTGGTGTTATGATTGGTACACATCGTTTGTAATTATTTTTCAATTGATAAGAGCTTTTATTTGAAATGGTGAGCTTTTGAGATATCATCCTGAGTTTTTGCTTCAAACTCTTGCTTTCATACATCTAATTCTTAAAGAAGTATCTCAGTCTTCCGGATAGTAATTCGACCAAATCAAATTTGGAGTGTTAAGAGACAAATAACACAACATAATTTGGGCTGAGATGTGCAGTGATCCTATTGTATAGAAACTATTGTATAGAAATATTGTATAGAAATCACAATTAACCACAAATGATCCTCATAAGAACAAAACAAGTGAGCAGTGAGCACACATAATTAATAATATAAAGAAAATATAGAAAAATGTTTGTTTATTTGTGTGAGTGTGTCCATAAACAAGGAGCAAAACTACTGAACAAGTGGACACGCATAAAAATGAAAATATGGGGAAGTGTTTCGTATGTGTGTTTATAATTTCATACTATATTCTAGCAAAAGTTTGAATACAAAAATACAATAATATTTAGTTTTTGGATTTTTTTTAATTTATTTTTTGGGTACTACGCGAATAAACCTCAAGCACCGCAACACACAAAACAAAACTCATTTCGCGTCCTTCTCTTTAGGGTCTCCTCTTCTATCTCTCTTATCTTAAGCAGCATCAACAGAAAACGTCATCGATGGCGTCTCACGCTTCGAATCTCTGGGTGCTTCTGGGTTTAGGTATCGCCGGGATTCTTCTGGCTACCAAGAAGCTGAAGAAGACAACCCGTGAAGATTTCGGAGCCTTTATCGACAAGCTTTTGCTGCTTCCTCCGCCGCAGCCTGCCCCTCCCAAAGCTCCTCATCCTCTCACCGGTCTTTCTTTCGCCGTATCCGACGTGTAAGTCACCGTAGACTTGTTTCCCTCTTCTTCTTCGTCTTCATATGACTGTAGTGAAATTTTGGGGATTTAGGTGGTCAATTTTTCCTCGGGGTAGTCAAATTTTGTTTGCCAAATATTGAAATCTGAGTTGACTCCGTTATTATTATTCTCCGGCGCTTTATATGAGCATGGCTGGTTAATTTGAGCAAATTAATCTGAAAAATTGTTTGTAGTAGATTAAAATGTGTGTGTGCGTGTATGTCTACTAGTTCTATCAAACACTTTTCATATCGATAATACCTGTATGAATATATATGAATGAATCTTTAAACTGTTCCTATCATTGGAAGACCACATAGTGTTTGGATCTTTGGAGATAGGATGAGATCGTATGCCATTGAGAAGAGTTGTATCTTTGGATGAATTGCTGTTGTAGAGTGTGTTTCGCTTCTACTGATCCATGGAGTCCACTTAAAACACTATTGGATATATTCATCTTATTAATGTGCCTATCTCATTCTCTTGTATGAAGTTTTCACTTCTAAAGGTTCAAAAAGCTAAAGTTACTCTTTCTTTCATTCTCATCTGTTTCCCAGATTCGATATTAAAGGCTACGTGACTGGCTTTGGTCATCCAGACTGGGTCAGGACGCATGAAGCTGCTTCTTCAACGAGTCCTGTGGTTTCAACTCTCGTTGAAGGTGGAGCCACTTGTGTTGGAAAAACTGTTGTTGATGAACTTGCCTATAGGTTTGTCCCTGCTTCAATTCGATTACATATGTTAACTTGTTACCTCTATCGGAATTCAGATAATGACATCTAGTTTGTGATTACAGTGTTGAAAGTTTTAGTTTACCACGGTTTCAAGTATTTTTTATTCCTTTGTTTTGCGGTTTTTGTTTTCTTCAGTATCAGTGGAGAAAACAAGCATTACGAATCACCCACAAATCCTGCTGCTCCTGCTCGTATTCCTGGTGGCGCTTGCAGTGGAGCTGCTGTTGCCGTAGCAACTAAAGCTGTGGATTTTGCGTTAGGTGAGTTTAGTAGATACTTTTCCCTTGTTAGGACTTGTTTTGGACAATGTGGTGCAAAATAAACCCTAAGTTATGGTAACAAGACATTGCATAAACTTTCAAAATATGGTTGACAGTTATATTCCTTTAGGAAAACACTGAAACGGTTCTAAATATGTTCAGTATTTACATGAGATTTTCATCAAAGCTGCCACCATATTGCATTTCTAAACAAGATGCTGCTATCACCATAAATAAGAACCCGTCTGCATTAATTTTGCTTTCGTCACAAACGTGATAGTGAAGGCTTAGTAGGGGCTGTATGAATCAGTTAGCCTAAACGCACGCTTCCTTAAACTTTGAGTTACAGTAGGGATGGGATAAATCCCAAGAGAGAACCACATCCCAACGTTTCTGTATATATAATAATACTATGATATCATCTAACAGCTCGTGTTTAGCTTATTTGGCCTCTCATATAATTGCTTGATTTAGACTCCTAGGGCTATATAATATGATAGGTCCATACCAGTTTACATGGTAGTCTGTTCATTGGCCCCTCCCATCCATCTCTAAAATCTCAACTGTTTACTGGTTTCTTCAATTGTTTTAAGAACATGGTTCTGATTGCATCTTTGCAGGCATCGACACAGTTGGCGGGGTAAGAGTACCTGCTGGATACTGTGGCGTTCTGGGATTCAAATCCTCCCATGGGGCTATTTCGAACACAGGGATCATACCAGTATCTTCTAGTCTTGACTCTGTTGGTATGGATACATGCATGTGTGAATTAAACCTTCCTCGTTGAACCTTGTATATAATTATGTACTTATATTGCAAATTGACTTCGTTCATATGACTATTTACATTTAGCACTATTATATGAGCATTAGGTTGATTCTGATCAATAGGTCTTGACTTCAGGTTGGTTTTCTCGTGATCCAAACACCCTACGTCGCGTTGGCCATGTACTTTTGCAGCTTCCATTTGCCACACAACGTAATCCAAGGCAAATCATACTAGCCGATGACTATTTTCAGCTTTTAAAGATCCCTGTGGACCAGATTACACAGGTGGTGATCAAATCAGCTGAAAAGCTTTTCGGAAGTATGCCCTTTGCTCTTCCTGAAGCTCCTCCATCTCTGTCATACATACCCTGATTATAACAGAGTTACACTTTGTTTAATTTTCAGGACAATTGCTGAAGCATCAGAACCTGGAGAACTATTTTGAATCGAAAGTTCCTAGCTTGAAAGAGTTCACTAGGTCAAATGCCATTGATAATACGAAGGTCCCAACATCGAGACTGCTGGCAAACGTGATGCAGCTTCTTCAAAGGTGTGCCTTGTTTTTTTATCCATCATCAAAGGGTGAGAGAATCTCGATTTTAAACTCTTGGCTTGTATTGTAGGCATGAGTTTCTTCAAAACCATGGGGATTGGATCAATACAGTGAAGCCAGCTATCGATCCTTTGATTTCTTCACAAGTGTGTGAGAACTCAGAACTAACCGATGAAGAGATTGAGAACCTGAATGCAATCAGAAACCAGATGAGAGTAGCTATTACTTCACTTCTCAAGGTATCCCTACTCTTCCATGCGATGTCTACAACTTGCGCTTTGTTTATATGTGTCTTGACTAAGCTTATGTGTTCCCATGCATCAAGGATGATGGCATTCTGGTTATTCCAACAATGCCATCTGTTCCTCCAAAACTTGGTAGCAAAGAGATAAACTCTGAAGACTATCGAATCCGAGCTTCCAGTCTGCTGAGCATTGCTAGCATATCAGGCTGTTGTCAGGTTAGAATCTCACTCTCTTATTGTTCCATTCCTGTAAAGATGATGGTAAATGGTATTTCGCCTTCGCCCCTCAGAATAAATCGACAACATTAGCAAACACAATCCAAGTATTATGTCTCTTAACATTTATTGGTCTTGATAATTCAGGTGACTGTGCCGCTGGGACACCACGAGAAGTGCCCTGTTTCTGTTTCTTTCATAGGAAGACATGGTGGCGACCGCTTTTTACTAGATACAGTGCAGACAATGTATGCATCGTTGCAAGAAAATTCCAGCATTGTTGCCGATCCCAAATCATCTAAAAAGACTATCAGCCTAGAAGAGTCGGCTGAAATTGCGAAAGAAAAGGTCAAATTAATTTCCATCGCAGGTCTCATTTTCCAAATTGCATTGTCCTCCTTAGTCTATTGTGGTTCTCATGTATTTTCTTTTGTTATCTCTTTGTCCCGTGATTTTGTAAACCAGGGTAACCAAGCGTTCAAAGAGAGGCAATGGCAGAAAGCCATTGGTCTATACTCAGAGGCTATAAAGCTAAATGAAAACAATGCTACTTATTACAGTAACAGAGCGGCTGCATATCTCGAACTTGGAAGGTAATTAACTTTTCTGCTCCAATAAACCCTTTGAAGTGAGTTTACCTTTTTGTGTGACATTGCCTTGATAAACTCTATACATACAGCTTTCTTCAAGCCGAAGAAGACTGTACCCAAGCCATCACTCTCGACAAGAAGGTAACGTTCTTTAAACACGGAAGCGGGTTTCTCTTATAAAAACACTTTGCCTTTGAATCTCAACAAGAAAAAATCTTCTTTTTTTTTGTTCAGAATGTGAAAGCCTATCTACGAAGAGGAACCGCAAGAGAAATGTTGAGCTATTACAAGGGAGCCATAGATGGTATGCTTTAAATAAACAGCCTGATTGAGTTTCCGTCTTGCAAAAAACCAAAGATTAACACTCAAAGATTGTTTTCTTCTCCTTTGTTTAAACTTTGCAGATTTCAAATATGCACTTGTGTTGGAACCAAACAACAAACGAGCGGCTCTGTCAGCCGAGAGACTGAGAAAACTATTCCAGTGAGCTTCCTTCGTCCGTGCCTCACCGATCATTGGAGAAACGTTTGATCCTTAGAATATATCCAAGAGTATAGGGCAATTTTGTTACACTCGTTTCCTTAAATTTTAAACATTCCTGTGATATTTAGGCAAATTTCTTTAGATACCTTTTGCAAGCCTACTCGGAAATTTGAAGATGTAACCCAATTTTAGCGTTCACTAAAATTGGATTTCAAAAATTAACGCTAATCCTAAATTCAGGATACCGAAATTCCCGGTCTTCGTCTATTCAATGTCAAATTCAGGTCATGCCTTTAATAATATCGTCTTTATCCATTTCTTTTGTCGCACGTTATCTTCTCCCCGCAAACGCTTTCCCTCCAAAGAAACAGAGAACAAGAGGCTTTCCGTTTTATTTTTCAAACTGACGAAGAAACAAGTATATTTTTTCCTCACGGTGAGTAAATTCAAAAACAAATACAAAATTATGTGTGTGTTTCACACTTTGAATTTTCTTAGTTAGTTTGGCATATTTGATGGTTTTTCTTTTCATTTTAAAAACCCTTTTTTTCCCTGGTGAGTAAATCTGATTTTTCCATGGAGTGTGTATTTTACATTTGTTCGTGATCTTTTTGGTTTGTCTGTTTTCCCGAGGAGCAAATGTCACTTTTTTCGGGAATCTTGAGTCTGTTTCTCAGACAGTATTTATGAGATCTAAACGTGTGCTTGCAGTGGATTAATCTCGACAAAAGATTGTAGAGAGAGTGAGAAAGATTCGAAGATATCGTCAGATTAAAAAATAAAAAGAAATGTCGACGGGGGGTCCGGCGAGGACAAGCTCATTAATGGACGATCTCTTGGGACTCCTTAGAATCCGCATCAAACGTGGCGTCAATCTTGCCGTCCGTGACATCAATAGCAGCGACCCTTACGTCGTCGTCAAAATGGGCAAACAAGTAATTAACTACTAAACCAACCATCAAAAATCACACTTTGACTATATATAATTCATACGTACGTACAGTTTTATCATCAAATCATTTTGTTTGCAGAAATTGAAGACTCGTGTCATTAACAAAGACGTAAATCCAGAATGGAATGAAGATCTGACTCTCTCCGTCACAGATTCCAATCTCGCCGTCCTATTGGTATATTTACATATACCAAACCATATATTAAGTTTTATCATATTGAAATTTGGTTAAAAGAATATGTTTCGTACGTAGACGGTGTATGACCACGACATGTTCAGCAAGGACGATAAGATGGGTGATGCTGAGTTCGGGATAAAGCCATATATCGAGGCTTTAAGGATGCAACTTAATGGACTTCCTAGTGGAACCATTGTGACCACGGTTCAGCCTAGTCGTCACAACTGTCTAGCCGAGGAGTCTCGAATCACTTGGATCGATGGTAAGCTCGTCCAAGATCTCGTTCTCAGATTGCGACACGTCGAATGCGGAGAGGTCGAGGCTCAGCTTCAGTGGATCGACCTCCCTGGCTCCAAGGGTCTATGAATTTTTCTTTTACCGTTTACTTTGAGGTTGAATTAAACCTCAAATCAAAACAAGAACAGAAGGGAAAAAAATTTAGGCTGTAATTCAATCTTGAAGGATATAGTGAATTAGAAATGCGTATTGATCCATGAGAATACGAGGATTAAGAACGTTGAGGGGAGTTTTGTTCCAATATGGTGATCGAGTCCGAGTCGAGCCGTGGTCGATGTATATTTGGGTTAGCTTTATATAAGCCTTAAACAAGGCTTCAGTTAACACAAATATCTTATATTTATATACATGTATTGTCCCTTATATAAGTATAAAGACACATTGAATACTTGTACATTCCTCCTATATTTTCAAGAAGCTCAATGTTTGTAGTGAATAGAAAAATAGCTAATTCATAAGTGGTACATTAGTTGAATGATTTCATATTTGATGTTAGGGGAGAATTATTCGATTTTTTTTTTCATTGGAATTTCAGTTATAATTTCAGTTAATTAAGCTAAGATTCACTTACAAAACCAACGCTAATTATATAAAGAAATACAACAATAAAAAATCGAAGAAAAAAAAAGCCTAAGGATATGATAGTAGGTGAGGAGAATCCAGGTGTGGTGTAATGAGTGATGACTATGGGTGATAAAATGACAAAGCACGTGAACATAATTGTCCTTTAATATAACGTGTCACGAGTACATATCAATATTGTGTCAAGTGACCGTGACAAGAGTGAAAGCGTCTACTTTTTTTATATGAAAACATAAAAAAGATTCGACTTTGTACAAATTATTTAATTATTTGATAGATCCCAAGGGACCCAAATTTCGCCACTCCCAATGAACGATCTAGAGATTCCATCCACCAACTCCCCAAATTACTCGATTCGTTTACTTTCACTAAATTTCTTTGGTAACAACAAAAAGTTTGACTAATTTGATAATTTAGGGAAAAAAACTATACGACAAACAATAGCAAAATAGTTAAAACATAAAAACAATAAAATCTTTTTTTTTGCTTATGATAGTTATTCAAACCGGTATATATCTTTGCTTTATAATTACAGATGTGTATTGTATTAAAATGCAAACATATCAAATATATATAGTAACAAATATTAAACAAAACTTAAAAGATTGACAACACTAATTTACTATACTTAACATTTTTTTTCTGGGCAACTACAATATTTACATTTAATTACCGGATTTGACCAAACAAAAAAAAAGATTTATAGTAGTATTACCGACTGATTTATTTACAGTCTGTAAGAGCCGGACTCGAAGGTGACGCCACCGTATTCCCTATAAAAAAGGCGCGCAATAGCCACTCTCTGAGCCACGGTTACCACTCTTTCTCTCTCCGATCTTAAATAACCAAAACCCTCTCTCTCTGAGTAACATTTCCCGAATCGACGTTGTGAATTGATGCAGCAGAGAGGCCGATCCGTCAACCGTAGATCAAGGAGCTTCTCTAGATCCAGGCTCGCCGTTGAAGGCCATTGAACACACACTCTCTCTCTCTTTCTCTACAGATCTTCTTCGCTTTTTTTTTCTTTCTCCGACGAACACCTTTCCCAAAATGGCAGCATCGTACGGTGAGATCTCTACACTTTTGGTTGGGCTACTCGATTAAATTATTTAGTATTGTAGATTGAAGCACGTTGTTGAAGGCGATTATCGTTTTCTGATTTAATAATTGGAGACTGGAAATAAAAAACGAGAACGCTAATCTGATTTTTATTTGGTGAAAATTGGAGTAGAGGAAGAGCGTGATGTCCAGAAAAGTTACTGGATTGAGCATTCCGCTGATTTGACTGTTGAAGCTATGATGCTTGACTCCAGAGCTTCTGATCTCGACAAGGAAGAACGTCCTGAGGTACCAGTTTTTTTTTTTTTTATCTTATCTCTCATAACATTCGATACAGAAATTTGAATCAGTTGATGAATTTAAGAATCGAATTCATTAGCTCTGGTTTGGTTGATACACACTGTTTTGATTTCAACGTTTGTCTCTGGAAGAGGACATTTGAAGTTTGAATCTTACGAGTTGGTTTAACTGTGCAGGTACTCTCTTTGCTCCCACCTTATGAAGGCAAATCGGTGCTAGAACTTGGAGCCGGTATCGGTCGATTCACTGGTGAATTGGCTCAAAAAGCCGGCGAAGTCATTGCTCTTGACTTCATTGATAGCGTCATTAAGAAGGTTCACTACTTTAATCACCTTGTTGTTTTTTCGCTGCATTGCTCACTTTATTTCTTGAATGTTAAATTTTCTTCCTTCTTGCAGAATGAAAGTATAAATGGGCATTACAAGAACGTGAAGTTTATGTGCGCTGATGTTACATCCCCTGACTTGAAGATCACTGATGGATCCATTGACTTGATATTCTCCAACTGGCTATTGATGTATCTTTCTGACAAAGAGGTATACGATGATGTTTTATTAAAAGACGGCAATGAAAACTTTTGTCATGAGAAAACCAAGTAAGTTTTGATGGGTTTTGCTTGGATGCAGGTGGAGCTTTTGGTAGAAAGGATGGTTGGTTGGATCAAAGTTGGAGGATACATTTTCTTCCGAGAATCTTGCTTCCATCAATCTGGGGACAGCAAGCGGAAATCCAACCCAACTCACTACCGTGAACCCCGTTTCTATACCAAGGTTCTTGATACGTTTATATAAAAAAAGTTACATTTTCAGAACTGTAATTTCAGCTGTTTAGTAGATGAACATTAGTTAGAATGCTTCTGCTTAAGTTTATGTTGAGACTTATGCAAGTCTCAGTGGGTTTAGATTGACTAAAGGATACATAACCACTTCAATTCCTTCATACTGACTGAGATTTGAATGTTTTCTTGTGCCTTGGTGTTTGCTTGTTTTGGTTTATTCATCTTTGAAGTAATGTATTGGTCAAAATCTTGTAACTATACTAGACGTTTGCATATATTCTAACAAATCTGTCAAGCAAATTATTGACGTACTTAAGTTCATACACATTGAAGTAATGTGGCATTCATAAATCTACTGAATAAAATCGATGACCAAAAAATGCAGGTCTTTCAAGAATGTCTGACCCGCGATGCTGCTGGGAATTCATTTGAGCTCTCGATGATCGGGCAAAAGTGCATTGGAGCTTATGTGAAGAACAAGAAGAATCAGAATCAGGCAAGTTAAAACCCTGTCTATCAAGATTGTTTAGTCTCCTGTTTTTCCAAGATCTTAATCATGGATAACACTCTTTGATATGTGGGATGCAGATTTGTTGGATTTGGCAAAAAGTCAGCTCAGAAAATGACAGAGGCTTCCAACGTTTCTTGGACAATGTTCAATACAAATCCAGTGGGATCCTACGCTATGAGCGTGTCTTTGGACAAGGGTTTGTGAGCACTGGTGGAATCGGTAAAATCCCAATTCGCTTTAACTTGCGTTCTGTGCCTTAATCTCATTAGTACTTACGTGTGTTAGTGTCATGTTTCTTGTGACAGAGACAACCAAAGAGTTTGTGGAGAAAATGGATCTGAAACCAGGACAGAAAGTGCTAGATGTTGGTTGTGGCATTGGTGGAGGTGACTTCTATATGGCTGAGAACTTCGATGTTCATGTTGTTGGTATCGATCTCTCTGTCAACATGATCTCTTTCGCGTTGGAACGTGCTATTGGACTCAACTGCTCGGTTGAGTTTGAGGTCGCGGACTGCACCACAAAACATTACCCCGACAATTCGTTCGATGTCATATACAGCCGTGACACTATTCTGCACATCCAAGTACCCAACTCTATATCACATTAATTGATTATTCTGTTTTGGAAGTTTATCGTTTTGACTGCTTGCTCAAGTCACTCGCTCTTTTCACAGGACAAACCAGCTTTGTTCAGGACTTTCTTCAAGTGGCTTAAACCGGGAGGTAAAGTACTCATCAGTGACTACTGTAGGAGCCCAAAAACTCCATCTCCTGAGTTTTCTGAGTACATCAAACAGAGAGGATATGATCTCCATGATGTACAAGCATATGGGCAGGTTTGTTTTCTTGTGTGTTTTCTTGGTTGGTCAAAACACGTTCTCTAATTCTAATTCCTGTAACACAAATCTTCAATGTAGATGCTAAAAGACGCAGGCTTTAACGATGTGATTGCAGAAGACCGTACTGATCAGGTAAATGAATCTTAATATATATACAACATTTTGGAAACCGAGAAGTATGACTTAACAGAGTTTGTTTTTCGTGTGTTCGGTATGTTCAGTTTATGCAAGTCCTGAGACGTGAACTAGAGAGGGTGGAGAAAGAAAAGGAAGAATTCATCTCCGACTTCTCCAAAGTCAGTATCTTTTGATTACAAGTTATTTTGTCTCTATTCAGATTTACATATATTAGCTCACAAACATAAAATAAACGCAGGAGGATTACGAGGACATTGTTGGGGGATGGAAGGCGAAGCTGGAGAGAAGTGCATCGGGTGAACAGAAATGGGGTCTTTTCATCGCCAACAAGAATTAATCAAAATCATCTTTCTTTCTTCAATAATAAAAAATGTCATTTCCGTTTGGCAAATGATGTTATGTGTGGACTTGAATGTTGTTTTATCTTGTTTTTACCTTCAGTGTATTCGGTTAGATAAACTGAATTTCGTTTGGTTCAATCTTTGTTTTCAAGCACAATTTGCTTTTCATTTGAAGAATTATCGAAATTGTTATTTTTGGTTTTCATTTTCAATTTCGGTTGCAGTGTTCGGTGCAACCGGGTTTTTCAAATTGAATTCTGGCTACGGTTGGTCTTTTGTCCGTGGTTCGGTTCGGTTCGGTTCAACCTAATCCTGAATTAAAGTTTCATCAACTGGTCAAAGTGTATCTTCCATCTAAAGTTACTCTTTAATATTGGGCTTTTCGGCCCAAAATACTATTTGAAACTGTAACTTTTGAAAAAAATACTAAACTCTATGTTAATAATAGCAAAGCCGAAATATTTTGCTTCAGCTTATGAGTTATGGACCACGAGTATACGGGCCAGTCCGTGGGTAACTTATTTTCTCTCCTCCTTTCCTTTAGGTATTCAGAGTTTTTTTTCAAAACAATTCAGTTGTACTTTGTATCTATCTACTAAAAATACAAACATGATAGATTATAGTTATTTTTTAATATAAAAACATATCTTAATTAGTATTAAAAACAAAAATAGTAGACTTGTATATCTATTAAAACTTAAAATTATGTTTTTATCTTTGTCTAATTTAAGTTTTATATCTTAGGTAAAACTTAAAAACATGTTTTAAACCGATGTTTGCAGTTAACTAATCTGCAAGAGGTCCGTTTTGTTTAACTACCGTCACATATAGGCTGCTGGTTGATTCTCAATCTGCGGATTTGAGGTATTTATTGACATTTCTATAAAGTATCTAGATCTCATTGAAAATGTAGACATTTTCTTCACCTAAATTGCTAAATGTATTTTTCACTCGTAGGCAGGGCCTGGGAGTAGCAAAAGAAACAAATTAAAATAAAATAAAAACATTCCATAGGGTATATAGCCATATAGGACTGTGCAATATAGAGTGTGGAGATATATAAAAGGCCTTGAAATCACGCACACACAAGACTAGATTCGTCAGACTCCTATTTAGGTTTTGACCCAACCCTACCTCTACCACACTACACACCTACTCTTCTATTTCTGCAATCAACAGTGTCAATTTCAATCTCTCTCAGTCAATTTCTTTGCAATATATATCTATCAATTTTCCTATCACTTTTTTTTTTTTTATATTTCGTAATGGTCAATTAGTACAAATTACCCATGTTGGATATTAGAAGAAAAAAAACACATATATGTAGACTATAATAGCTACGTCCCCGGCGGATAGATAATTAATATAATATATATAACAGAGAATTTGATGCAGTCTTACATTGTCAGAATATAGTTATTATGTATGTGTTGTATGTTTTGTCTACATGCGTGTGTATATATATACACGTACACATGTGACATGTATATATATTATGATGACCTCATGATAGGAGAGATCACTGACAACAGTATAATAAAAAGACTTGAAAATAGGCTTTAATCGTTTCATGTTTGATAAATTGGTTATCTCTCAAGGGGTAAGGAGAAATGAAGACGAGAGTGAATCACATGAAGCATTTAAGTAAAAATAGGAAAAAAATTGCAGAGAAGAACAAGAGGAGCGGTTGAGTCACAGCCAAAGCCAACCAATGGTCCACCTCAATGTCTGTCACCATTTTGTCCCTCACAGTCATCCCTCCTTCAGTCTTGTCAATTCCTCTCTCTCTTTCCTCTTCTTTTAATTTGTCTCTTCCATCGTCGGTGGTTATTTAAAAGGTTCAAATTATCAATGAGTAGGTTCCACTATTCGACCATTTGTTTGTAAGATTTTAGTCGTCATTTTATATCGAATTTATATACCCACCGCTCCAAGATTTTCTTATAAGAGATCATTTGTTTGGGGTATAAATTACGATGGACGTGTGTTTTTGGGATAAGATAAATTGTTCACTTTGTGGAACACTTGTACTTCTGAAATCGATTATTTATTATAAAGTGTTTTGGGTCATAAGTACATATGAATCAGATTTACTTATGGATTTTTCTTTGAGTTTCTTGTTTTAGACTTTAGCTATACAGTCATATAGGTTTCTCTAGCTAGAGACAATAACTAATTAATTACCCATAGATCCTTGTATGAAATATCTAATGTCACATGTCTATTAACTATTTACTTTAGGAAAAAAAAACATACATAGGTACTTGAGTATTAGATCCTGTACATGTATGTACGTATCGTGTCTATCACCCATGCATCATCTTCATACGATATTATAAAACTTTATATATTGGTAACATTATTATACATGATACATCACAGTTTCCCTGATTGTGATTTATTTATGTTTATATTTTGGATCAAATTTCCCTGATCGTTAGATTTATGAATTCTTCTTTGTAGTAATTAAACCTTTATCACTCGTCATTGTTAACTATGTTAATGATCAAACGAGCATGACACAGATTTGTATGATCCATGAAAATAACCAAAAGATCATACCGTACGATTACACTTTACCATTAATTTTCGTTACAATTCACGAGAAGATCGATTCATGTTTCTTTATTTCCTAACAACAAAATATATTGTTTGCAATAGGATTGTACGTGTGGTAATCTGTTGACTACACACGTAGTACCCATTAATATTTCTCTTCTTCCTTTTTCACTTTTTTTTCGTATCAACTGATTAAAGTTATGTTTTTTGCTTACTTCCATGCTCGCAAGAATCACAAACACACAATCATCATGAAAAGAAAAAAAAGGCAAATACAAAGAGAGAGGAAGAGGGAATGATAATGCATCAAAATAAGCAATACAAACGAATAAAATCACCCTCTATCTTTCTTCTAAATTTATTATTAAAGAAATAGTCTCAGTGAATCGTACAAAGAGACATGAAAGAAAGAATGAATCTTTGGGAAAAGAAAGGAAAGTGTCGGGGCTTCTTCTATGAATAAGCTATTCAATATTTTTCTTTTTCTTCTAATTTCTCCTTTGTCATGTCTCTTCTCTACTCTAAAAGTCACTCTTCTTTCCTTTTCATATTTTGTCTTTTTCCCATTTCAAAATAATGGTGGCTATGCTTCCTTTCCCATTCGTTAGTTATACTTATATATAGTGAGGTCTAATTCCATATATAAAATACTAAAGTCAGAATATTAGGTTCTTATGAAAGTCTGGCGCTTTTTCTATCATAAACTTTCATATCATCCAAAAATCAAAATTTTCTACATATTCACCACGATTTTCTGTATTAGTTATCAACTATGAAGTATAAAATGTTTTCTAATACAAAAATAAATTAAGTAATCAAATCATTGAGTAGTATATATGATAGCCGACGTTGAATATGAGGAAGATCATATATATAAAAATAGCAAATGTAAAGGCATTTTGTTGGTATGCAAGTCAAGAGAAAACAAAACAAGTCCCAAACCAAATTGCTCCCACTCTCTTAGTCACTTCAACATCAACCCAATTCTTTTTGTCTCTCGCACATTTATAACTCAAAAGACACGCATGCCAAAATTGACACATATACAGTATACCGGTCATGTATACGAATTGTGATATATGTAATATAAAAAAAAAATAGTGATGTACACAATAATCACGACTTAAAAAAAAAGATATCTATTAATTATAACGAGTTTTCCATTTGGTAACACTTGATCTCAACACCCCCAATCACCAACCAAGTCGAGTAAGTTTCCTGATCCAAAACCTTAAATACACCACATCCACACAAATGATTAATAACTGATGAGAAAATCACATGTCTCTTTCTTCTCTTAAGATCTGTTTAGCTCGTTTTTAACATTTAAAGAAAGTGGTCCAAAGTGCATTTTAAGGCAAACCCTTATGAAATGTTAACATCCACACCATAAAGACACGCCTACCCTCACTCCCAAGTCCCCCCAAAAAAACCCTAATTAATTAAACCCTTTTCTCTCGCTCTAACACAAAAGATGCTGCTGCTCTTGAGAAAAATTAATTAGGGTTAGTTCTTCAACGGAAGAAACTCATAGAAACATCGAGTGCCACTCTCTTTCTCTTTCTCAGCATTGCTACAAAACCCTTCTTTTCTTAATGGAAACAGCTCAAGTGTCTGTTCTTGATTATCCGATTCATGTTGTTGATCTTTATTATCATCATCGCTAGTCTCTGTGTTCCTTGCTGCTCTTGGCCTCAGTGTTAGAGGTGAAACTGTGACCGTATCTTTAGCAGCGGGAACAGTACTACTGTTGCTAGTGGACATGTTGGACGAAACCGTAGTGGAATTGAGAATGAGTTCACGATGATGATAATATTGTGAACAAGGGTAGAGTTCAGGTGGCAGCTGCATCATCTGCCACATGGCATTTCTCCCAGGACAGCTTTCTCTATCGTTTCCTACATGACGACCATTGCGCTTCGTTGTTACCATCGCTATTGAGACAGGATCCTCCTGATGATGATGGTCACGAGGTTTCTGGAGTGAGATTTAAGATTTTTTTTAATTTTAAAATCAATCAATAAGCATTGGAAAATGTAAAACTTGGTAACAAATAAGTCAAAATATTGGCAAAACGACAAACTTTATGCTTAAAACACCATCACACACACCCAAAAATTATCTGTGAAAGAAATTTTTCTGAAAAGGACAGGGGTGAAGAGAATGAGACCGTTAAAGAGCAGGGTCAAACTAGTCTTTTCAAGCATGTGTTGGAGTAAAAAAATCACACAAATTTATGGGAATTCAGCAAAAACGAGAAGAAAAACAAAGAAATCAATCGTACGTAGCAGCTGTCCCGACAGAAAGGAAAGTCTCTGCAGCTTTTTAGATCAATTCATTATATTTATCAAATGTATTAATCAATTAACCTAATGTTTGCCTTTTTTTTCTTCAAAGCTTACCCAAACTTCGAAAAAAAGAATTTACTTATTCGCAAGAGGTTCTCTATGACTCTATGTAATCATATGCTAATTATACCGAACCATAAACCTATGGAGACCGCCAAGAACATAAACATATATATACATAAATGAGCAAAATAATATCAGAAAATATAATAATGAATACTAGAAACAAATATGTACATATGTACCTCTGGTTGTGTGTCGCATCCAACCGAACATATCCAGTTTTTGGTCTGTTCAACCTTGTAACCTGTCAAAACTCAAAAAAAAAAAAAAATTAGATAAACATTATGTCAGGATTTAACTTTTCGAAATGTAAGTCCACCTCTAATTCTATATGGTCTCTCACCTAGTAGATCTTTCTTGTCGAATCCGTGGTTTGAGACAAGACTAGTTGTTGTAATGACCGATTCGTCGTGCCCGTTTTCCATCTGTCGTCGGCGTTTCTGGCGCTCGCGGGCTTTGTGGTTTTGGAACCAATAGAAAACGTTTTTGCCTTCAATCTTCCCGTACCGTCGTAGCTGCGCGGTGATTTGTTGGATATGGTCGGCCGAAGGAGTTCTAGTTCCTTGTTGATAAAGCTCTTCAAGAACCCTCAATTGATCCGGCGTCGGATTCCACCGTGAGCTCACCATTACCGGTGGGTGTTGAGGTTCTGAGTTTAGCATCATCAGCTCCTTCTTACTCTGCTCCGCCGTCATCGCCACCACTGCTTCGGAAATCAAGCAAGAAAATGAGCATTAGGAACAAGATAGAGTGAACTTTTTGTTCTTTCTGTAGTGTAATTAAGAGAGAGAGCTATACCCATATTAAAGCGGTGTTCGGCGTTGGTGTTTGCGGCGGCGGCGGTGGGACAAGAAGAGAGGCGTGGGATGAGAGGACGAAGCTTTCTTCCTCCGTTGAAGGAATCTGCACCTCCTTCGTTGTAACCCATCATCCACATTTTGAATTAAAATAATTTTATATATGTATATAATTGAGGGGAGAGAGAGATTGCATGTGAATATTAGGGCTTTGATAATTTTATCGAAATTTAGAATGTGAGAATGATATGATTGAAAGAGGAAGTAGATAAATAGCAGAAAAATGTTATTGGCTGTTTTTGGCTTATCGGTTTGAAGTATTTTTGTATGTGAATGGGAACATGCAAATTGGGTTTTGTAAGCACACATATGTGATATGTGTATATATATATAGAGAGAGAGAAAGAGAGCAATGCATTCTTTTTTTTACACATTAACATTAATTCAAAATATGAATAGAATTCAATATTTATTTACTCTGACTTATGAAATTTATTTAATAAATTATCCACCGAAAATGCAACAAATAAATATATATATATATATAAAAAAACATAATTACATACTACAGTAATAGATTTTTTATTAACTAAACGACCTTGTATTACCTATATACTTTTCCAAGTAGACTGTACTGTATTCTTATATACTAACATTGAATTTTTAATAATATAATGTATCAAGGAAAAAAAAACATTGAAAATCGATCTCCCTATTATATAATGTATTTGTATGAGTATTAATTTTTAAATTTAGTTGTTTACTTGCAGAATACGATTAATGTAAGTATGTAGACATAACCTGTATATTCTTCATATTGGAATGAGTTTAATTACTACTCCAAGTTATTGACAAAACTAAGAAGTTATATAGTTTAGGACATGCGTATGTATATGACAGTGTACTACAAAAATACTGAAAATGTGATATACATAAAAAAACCGGCAAACACTAATTAAAGATTCAATAAATACATTGATTATATAGTTTACTTGGAAACGTCCTACTCCTAAGTCCTATCAAAACTGAAACCATAATATATACCCACAAAAATTAGCATGGTCACTACGCAAGAATGAGATGCACATGCACGAAACCAATATATGAACTCTGAAATGATTGACCAATAATATTATTGGATTTCACTAAGCAATTTTTGGAATGATGTAACTACATTCTTAGTTTCATATATGGTATATACATATATTAATTGCTATTACAACATATTAGTTCTATTAAAAAAGAGGAGGATGAGGAATTGACTAGTAAGAGGAGAGAGAGAGAGAGAGAGAGGTGGGGATAGAGAGAGAAGAGCGTGGAATTCTGGGGATATGAATGATATGGGGAGATGCGAAGGAGCTTAAAACGACGTGACATTCTCCCATCTCTCCCCATCACTCCTAAATTCTTTCATTCTTTTTTTTCTTCGATTTTACTACTATGGAGTAGTATTTTTTTTACGAAAAATATGAGAGATAAATGTAAATGTGTGTGGTGGCTTTCACTATTATTCTTGTTCTCAACTGCCCCATAGCTTTGTCTCCTTTACACTCTTCACCTCATCTCCTTTGTCTCTCTCAATCCCACTTTTCCATAAATCCCTTTTCCCTCTCTTCTTCTCTTTGGGATCTTAAATCCCCCTTTTCTGTCTTTTCCCAAACCCTAATCCTTTTGTTTTTTCTCCATTTTTAGAAATCTGCGAAATATATTAGTCCCGAGTTTGTAAAAGTTGTACTACTAAATAATCATGCCTTCTTAATTCTACTTTAAATGATCATGGATCAATGTTACACGGTGCCTCAGTTGATGCGACATAGCTATAGCTAGATGTTATAGTGATTATTGTAGAAAGCATATTAGTTATGTTGGCAAAAAAAAACAATATCTTAAAACTTTATATATATGATATGTTTTCTGTGCCGATCGACCGTGAATTTTATTGAAATCGATCGGCCGACCTAGTTCCTCTAGTTAATGTTCTGGTGTATACTACTTTAATCATTCACATGTACATGATCTATAAACAATTCTGGCTTTCTTTTAACTTCTACGACTATTTGTCCAGAAGGAAGCTAATTATATCAATTATGATACGTGAAGTCACACGCAAGTATACATCATTGCATTTCCTTTTTGATAAGAGGGATATTTACAAATAGAATATGAGTGCATGTTGTAGCTTTAATTCTCCTATGCCTAAAGGTCTTTTTATATTCTTAATATTACTCCATTGTATCTCTTTCTCGTTTTTAGAAAAATCATTGGTGTCAAAAATATAAAACTCGATTGATAAAATATCTTACGAGCGAGATTACCTTTGGCCCACAAACCTAGTGCACGCGCTTTCACACAATGCAAGATTTGTTTTTGGAGTAAAAAGAAATTGCAGTTAAGTTTTTTTTGTTTCTTATACTAAGCCAATATATTTTCTTTTCTTTAGCCAGATAGGTGTATACAAAGTATGCAATTACTATGATAGTACAAAGTTTATTATATCGTGGAAATTCTTTGGTCTATAGTAGTTGATCAAACGTTTTCTATATCGATAATGTATATATATGGGTTTAATTTAAAAAATACAGTGTCTTGCATATTAGAAACAAAAACTTATCGGATGTTGTAACATGTTGTAGATAAGTTCGTACGGTGTGATTATGTGTATAGTTCCGTGTATTGCCGAAGATGATATTCACCGTGAAATCATCTATTGAGCCATCAATTGTGATCGTATGTATTAATGTGTATCATATAGTTTTAGACTCAATTTGTATGGTTTAACCGGATGTAAGAGAAATACATGATACAAGGTCAATAATGTAACAAAGTCAAGAGAAGATTTACTAGATCAAGAATTCTTGTTTGATTTAAATTTCAGTCATAATTTAAACTCTTCATTAGAGTTTCAAGTTTGTCATCGGTCACTCATTAGTCATTTTGTAATACAACTCTCTAGATTATAAAAGCTGGGCTTCAAAATAAGACTTTGAAGGCCCAATTAAATTGGACTAGCCCATGAAGCGATGAAGGGAGAAAACATCTGATTTTTTTCTCATATAAAAAACGGTTTGAAAGCCAAGACAGACGCACTTAACTAAAGAGAAGTCATCATGATCTTCGTCTCTCGCCTGCGAGCCAGAGAAAATGGCTTCTCCTTCTCTAGATCCCTATCTTTCTCGTCTTCCTCCGCATTCCAGTTGCAGACAACTGATGATGTTGTTGAAGCTCGAATACGCTCCGATGAAGAAGAGGATGCAGTAGAAGCAGAGGATCGTCGACGCAGTGTAACCGATAGAGCTTACTGGAGAAGACGCATACACAGTATCTGCGCCGTACGGAGGAATCCAGACGAGGCTCTCCGGATCCTCGACGGCCTCTGTCTCCGTGGATATCGTCCCGATTCGCTTAACCTGAGCAGTGTGATCCACGCTCTCTGTGACGCCGGACGATTCGACGAGGCTCACCGTCGGTGTCTCCTCTTCGTCGCTTCAGGTTTTGTCCCAGACGAGCGAACCTGCAACGTCATCATCGCGAGGTTGCTAGATTCGGGATCTCCGGTGAGAACGTTGGGGGTTATACAACGCTTGGTCGGTGTCAAGAAGGAGTTCGTGCCATCGCTGACGAATTACAACCGTTTGATCAATCAGCTGTGTTTGATTTATAGGGTAATCGATGCGCATAAGCTTGTGTTCGATATGAGGAACAGAGGGCATCTCCCGAATGTTGTGACTTACACCACTCTAATCGGTGGCTACTGTGAGGTTCGAGAGCTTGAAGTTGCCCATAAAGTGCTCGACGAAATGCGTGCGTTTGGCATAAGGCCTAATTCCCTCACGCTGAGTGTTCTTGTTGGTGGGTTTTTGAAGAAGCGAGATGTTGAAACAGGAAGGAAGCTGATGGAGGAACTCTGGGAATACATGAAGGACGAGACTGATACATCGATGAAATCAGCAGCTTTTGCGAATCTCGTTGATTCTCTGTGCAGGGAAGGGTATTTCAATGACATTTTCGAGATTGCAGAGGATATGCCACAGTGCGAGTCCGTGAACGTTGAGTTCGCTTACGGTCACATGATGGATTCCTTGTGTCGGTACAGGAGAAACCATGGAGCTGCGAGGATTGTTTATATAATGAGGAGTAAAGGGTTGAAACCGAGATGTACATCTTACAATGCTATAATTCATGGTCTGTGCAAGGATGGTGGGTGTATGAGAGCTTATCAGTTGCTTGAAGAGGGATCTGAGTTTGGGTTTTTTCCGTCTGAGTATACTTATAAGCTCCTAGTGGAGAGTCTATGCAAGGAACATGACACCGGTAAAGCAAGGAATGTTCTAGAGCTGATGTTGAGAAAAGAAGGAACATGTAGAACTAGGATCTATAACATCTACCTACGAGCGCTCTGCGTAGTAGATAACCCGACCGAAATCCTGAATGTACTGGTCAGTATGCTTCAGGGAGACTGTAGGCCCGATGAGTATACACTTAACACAGTTATTGATGGATTTTGCAAGATGGGTAGGGTGGATGACGCCATGAAAGTTCTTGGCGATATGATGACAGGCAAGTTCTGTGCGCCTGACGCTGTGACGTTAACTACTGTTATGTGTGGCTTGCTTACTCAAGGAAGAGCAGAAGAAGCTCTTGATGTGTTGAATCGGGTTATGCCAGAGAACGGGTTTAAGCCAGGTGTCGTTACGTACAACGCTGTTATCCGTGGGTTGTTCAAGCTGAATAAGGGAGATGAAGCTATGTGCGTGTTTGATCAGATGGCAAAAGCTGGCGTGAGTGCAGATAATACTACCTATGCTATTATCGTTGACGGGTTGTGTGTGACTGGTCAGGTGGATATGGCGAAGAGGTTCTGGGACGATGTGGTATGGCCATCAGGCAGACATGATGCGTTTGTGTATTCAGCATTGCTGAAAGGGCTTTGTCGATCTGGTGATCTAAGTGATGCTTGCCATTTTCTATACGAATTGGCGGATTCTGGAGCGGTTCCTAATGTTGTGTGCTACAACATTGTAATTGATGAATGTAGTAGAAGTGGGTTGAGGAGAGAAGCATACCAGATTTTGGAGGAGATGAAGAAGAATGGTCAGTCTCCTGATGCTGTGACATGGCGGATACTCGATAAGCTACATGATTCTAGGCCTCTAGCTGTGGAAGGAGAGAGTAATCTTCAAACTCTGCAACCTCAGGATCAGCTCTTTCAAAAGCAATAAATTTCATTTTTTGGACTTAATCACACTGGTTGAAGTAAAAAAGCTGCTTGGTGATCTGAGAATTTTGATATACCAACGCTATGTGTGCGTTGTTTGTTTCTCTGTGACTAATTTGCTGGTAAATTGAAAAG